AATAATTGTCCGAAAGAAAAAGTTGATGAAAAAGATTGAAAGAAGCATGATGTACCAGTTGAGGAAATGCCTCAGTGGACAGAAAGACGACAGCGGATCACCGGAAGCTTTTATTGTTTTACAAGTTTACTGTAAGAGTGTGGCAAGAAGATAAAGAAGAAAAGTCAGAAATCGAGAGAGCGAGATAAAGGGACATATAGTTAACCTCGACCAATGGGTCTTGACAAGTCTGATTCTAGTCTTTCTCTTTGCCTCTCCACGAGTCAGACCCTTGTTACGTACCGACAAGTTGTCCCGGAAACCGCGAATACTTGCGACGGTCCTTCTTCCTCACTCATTTTTTTCAACCGTAACATTTCCGTCTCGCGAGGATGTGGAATGCAGAGAGATAAGAATGATCTCAAGACTTAGGAATTTCAGTTCAAAATACTTCAGGTAATTTTCAACTTTTCCAACCATTTATTTTTGGTATAAGTGTGATTAGAATGTTGTTGATGTAATGATAACATTTATGATCACAGAATCAATAAAACTAACATGAATTAAAAAATCATCATTTATGCAAATATTATTTTAAAAAATATTTAATTTATCACTGAAAGATAAAATAAATTCAATTTAAGAATTTCATAAATACTACTTTTCATATTTAGATATTTTATGACACTCAGAATTCGTTTAATTATTCATAAGACTGATTAATGTTATTATTCATCAAATGAATAAATTCTTTTTTATTAAAAAAAAATATTCGAAAATTATAAGGCAGGTGGATAGGGCGTGATTTTTCTTTGATTCATTTCTCAATGGACGCTTGACCTATTGTCTCTGGGGTTTAATTTTTGTCCTGATTCCCGTTCCACTTCTCTCAGGGAACCTCCCACGTAATTCGCGAAAGCGACTAGTACTAAACTCGGTGGGGTCCTGCTTTCATTCGTTCCTCTCTCGATATCACGACAATACTCTGAGAGCGTCGTCGACGTAGACGAGTATAGTAGTAACGACAATGCGACAGCAATCATGCGCCGCGCCCCTGACAGCGGGGCACGCAGCCAGCGTTAAGCAGTAGCAGCTGAAGAATACTATAGAATTCTTTGGCTTTTTTTTTCACTTCTTCATTTATTTTTTCTTTTATTATTACTTTCTATTCTTTTTTTCAGAATCGATGAATGTATAGAATATATGGATATCAACAGAAATCATATGGAAGCTGAATTGCTGCTGAGAGATGATGGAAAATATTGAAAACTCTAAATTCAGATAATTAAATGGTATATAAACAAACGTTCTTTAAATAATCTGATGAAACGCACGTGTTGTATGTTGTCTCTTGGGATACATCGAGCTTATTATCAGCATCTCTAAGTGCTGCATCAACTCATCAGGATCACATTTTCACTCTGAATATATGAGGAAAGGTCAAAGAGGATATTCTGCATCTGTATATAGTGACTTTGAGAGAAAGCATCCATCCTACGATTTCACTAGGGAAACAGGAGAGGTATACTGTTTGCTTGAGGATGGATGATTCGGTTACGCAGGGGATAAACTGCAAACAACGATCGGGTTTCAACAGTGGTTCTAGTATATTCGGCCTCTTTGCCCTCGCGAGATGCGCCAAATGGCTATGAAGAAGCTGAGAGATTTTAAAACAGAGTATTGAAGCATACTAGTGAACATTAGGGAGAATATAAGCTTTCAACTTTAAAAGTATACAATAGAGAAATAAATTTAAAAAGGTGAAAAAGTACGTTGAATAAACAGTATTGTATGATCATTAGACAAACTTAAAAATTAAATATTGAATATTATTATTGATTTTATTTAAAGGTAAAAAATATATTCTCAATTTTAAATATAAAATACAGATTTTATTATAATCATTTTCTTTGCAGATGAGTTAAGTGTTGAAGGCAAGTTTTAACTAATACACCAGTATTTTTCTATTATCAAGGTGATGAAAAGTAGAAATTTGTTGATGCTGATGGCTTCAAGCATCAAGAGTCATAAAAATCTTTGAAGAATGGTTAAAACTGGTATATGAGGAGAAGAAGAAGAAGTGGAGCTGAAATGTCTTGTTAACCAACAAGAAAAGTATCTTCGTCTATTAAAGAAAGAATAAAAAACAACCCACGTGCTTTACTCAAATGACGTATGGAAGACGATGAATGATTTTTTTAGGTGTTTTAGCGGCCCGCACTTTTCCAGAATGTTATCTATGGACGCACTTAATACAGCTGCTCACTCAAGTCTTCTGTCTTTTTTACTCATACTCTCTTCTTTCCCTTTCTTGAAACGCCACTTAGAGTGACTGCATAATATATGTCACGCTTACGCCTCACTCATACTCTTATGCCTTGTTTCCTTATTTCTCTTTTACAAACAGCTTCTTGATCCTTGAGGTCTAAAGTCACTATCGCAAAGTCTTGCAGTCATTTCAACTGTCAAGTAAACATTGCAAACTCTTATCTTTTTTTGTCACGTGCCATTTGAAAGCATATCGCAGTGTATATTACAGTTGAAGCCAAAATTCTTAAAGTCGTTCAAATATTTAAAACGTTTGAAGCTTGAATAATTATTTTAAGCAAGAATATGATCAAGTTGGTACAAGTAACAAAGTAAACATAGAGAATGATTTAAAATAATATATACATTAGTAATTATTTTCCAATTAGAATATGTAAATATTTATTGTCAAATACTGTAGATCTAATTGAAAAATGAGTTATTATTGTTGCAAGCTGTTTAATCTTAAAGATAAAAAAAAATAATAATAATTGTGATTAAAATGGTATTTTGCAAGTTCAAACAGCTAATAATATGATATACGGCCTCGGGATATGTCTAATAATAATGACTTGCGTTAATTGTAACAGCTGTAGTATGAGACCTGCGACGAAGTGATGGGCATGCCTGCGGTGCCATATCCATTACGCTTATTACACAGCTTCTGGTCTTCTCTTTCTCTTCTATGCACATGATTTTATTTATTTCTCTCTTTCTGACTACTATTAACTCACTCTTTGCCGCGTCTCTGCTACCCTTGACGTCCAGTAGCACTCGTAGCCACCCACCCTTTTACGAGGATGAACATCGATCGACAGAGTTCGCTATCTATCTAGTGGATGAAGTCCACTATCGTTGGCCTTTCGCACCAGGTAGCCAAATATCTCGTTGATATTTTTAACAAAAATATGGTAGAATAATTTCATTATTGATTGAAAAGTAAATAATTTAAATACACAAAGATTTTCTACCTACTGATCTGTTTACTTCACATCTAAATTCAATTATATTTACCATTCTCTTAAGATTATTGAAATGTTTTGCTTCAAAAAACATTTTGTTATTTAATAAATGACATTTAATGCTTTTATAAAATGATTTAGTGTTTGAACTAATAAAAAAAAAAAGGATAGGATAAAAAAACGTACACAAATATAATTCTTTTGCGGACAGTACATTTAATTCTTTCTCTTGCTGACTAGCTTCTCCAATTTCTTAAAAATTCTCAGGAAAATGGAGATTAGAATAAATATGTATTTATTATATATATGTATGTATGTATATGCTTGAGTTTTTGTATACCGCATTGAAATACATGTAATATATATTATGTTACAGAGTTTCCACTGCCACAAAAACGTTTTGCAATTCATACAAATACAACTGAATACAGTAATAAACGATACCTAGTACATAGTCAGTAGCCAGATCTTAGTGAATGTAAAATTTTCAATTTAGATCTCAAGACTCTAATGTGAGTGGAAATAAAGTATGTTGGTAGAAATATATCTAACATAAGATTCACATATAATAGCGTAGATTTAAATAAATGTGCGAGATAGAAAGAAAAATAATTCTGTGTACGTTATATATTATCTGTCCTTATACATAATTTTAGCTAAGAAGAGATTACGTTAAGTTATTTTCAAAAAATATATTAGATTAATTTCTTTTAACAGTGACTTGTTTCAATTTCCTGCTAAAATTTCTAGTTTAATTATTACTGTTACTTCTTATTATTTATTTAATTAATTGATTGCTTATTTTATTGTAATATAAAAATACCATCTTATGATTGAATTAATAATTAATATTATCACTCTAAAAATTACTACAGATTTTTAAGGAATTAACTTATTATTTAAATAGTATTACTCGTTAACAATACAAAATTCTAGAACTATTCTTTCTAATAAATATTAAAAATATAAAATTAACTTTTGTGACTTAATTTCTGGCAAATTTATGGATATCTGTTATTGATTAACAATATTATAAATTTCAAATATATTAGTCGTCAAGTAGTAGGTAATGAATTATTTTTATAATAACTGCAGGAATTTTTATCAATAATTTTGTAGCCTCTGTTTGTATATATTTTTATGCTTTAAATTAAGTTGTGTCTATGAATAATTACTATTAAAATACTAGAATACAAATTGCATTGGCAGGACATTGCACATAGTGCTCTTTGCTGTAAACAACAAAATGCACGTTTGTATTTAACTTTACGTAATTACAGCTATTATTAATATTATTTTTATTGAAAATTTATAAGCTGGTACGGCGATAATTGAATTTTATCGAAAAATTTCTAAATAATTAATTTGAATAGCAAATATTTTCAATAAATTGATAATAAATTAAATAAATATCAAGAAATACTTTTATTTAATTATTATGAATAAAATCCATCATTCCATTTACCTGTTTTCAATTAGAAAAATTAATTCAACTTTCATTTATAATAAAATATAAATTTAGTAAAAAGAGTAAATATAAAGTATTCAATGAATTTGAAAAATTATTATTTATATTTTATAATTTTCAATCAATGTAATAAAAAATCTTTTAATTATTTAGAGAATTTTCAATACTGGAATATCTCAATTTATATTTTAAAAAATTGGTACAATAAGCTTATTTAAAAATTGAGACTTATTATTACTGAATTATACTGTATTATTCAACAAGTTAAACTATCATTAATAAAAGTCGATCATGATTCAAAAAATTATTAACAAAAATTTAAAGCTTGATAAAAAAAAAAGCATAAACAAGAATGTAAACATTAATTTACAAAATTACAAAGAGGTAACTTGAACAAAAAGTATGTAACAAAAATACTGTTAATTACGTCAATAAAACGTTAATGACAATATTAAAATAAAATTTGTAGAATCTTCTTCTATTTTTGCGACGTAGTTTATGAAGTTTGTGAATCTTTCATCAGACGGATTAGCGGATGAAGTTTACCTTCCTCCGAATTTCTGTATTCTTCAAGTAACTAAGAAGTAATTGGTAAATTTGAATTTATAATGATCCAACAATTATTTTATTTCATTTTATTATTTTACTACGCTTGTTTGATTTCAATTATATTTGAATAATAATTATAAAGTATCTCCACTTACTTGATAAGACATTTCACAAGAAAGGATAGCTATAGCTTCCGGATTCTTATGTGTGGCTGCCAAGAGAGTTGGTAACGTAAAAGGAGCAAGACGTGGGTCTCCATAAAATGGAAATGGTAAAGTGCAAAGGTGCTGAAGAACGCTAGGACCAGCTCCAGCAGTTTGGAGAACCAACTGTAAGAGAAAATAGCCTTGAATTATTAAAAAAAGAGAAAAAATTATTCAAATGAGAAGAAGTAGTTCTTTTTGCTCGTTTTTTCTTCTGGTAAATGGTCTGCTTCTAAGATATAATTATATATGATAATAATTTAATATAATTATGCTAAAACATTTAATTAACCAAATATAATTTTCTTACAGAACTTCAATCATCATTCAATATTTTTTATACAACTTCCGGATTTTTAAATTCATAATAATTAATTTACTCTCATGGGTTTTCGAGTGATTGCTAGAGAGATAAAAAAAATTAGAAAGTCTATAAGAAAGGTTTTTTTTTATCAAGTCACCTAATCTGATAGTTTATCTTAAATCTATATTCTTGATCGAGAAACAATGTCATAATGAAAGAATAAAGCCGTTATATTGTTTATTGAAGAGACAAATAATAAACTTAGAAAAAAAACGAAACCATGTTTCTTTTAATCGTCCATCTTAGATGCCAAATATCGTGAGAATATTTTGAGCTCAGGTGTTACGGAAGTGTCTTATATGAGTAACAAACGGTTAAGTCAATTTTCTTGATCACCTGAGGTAAAACAAGTGTTGTAAAGGAAGTACTTAGGTTCACCTGTGACTCTGCACTAAATACTTTATTAATACAAAAGAGTATAAACGTTATGCAGGATATACATGCAAACGATGAAGTGGAGACCCGCATCGTATTGCTTCATTGACTCTGTACACTTGACTCAACGAATGGCTGCTGAAAGAAGTTAAGAAAACAAAAGAGGTCGAAAAGCCTTTGTTTATCATCTCCAAAAAACTCGTCTGTATGCAAATGTCAATCTGATTCTACCTACATGTGCATAATTAATGAAAACAATTTAAGAATTCATCACAAGACCAAATGGATGATCAGTTCAGGCATTGAATTGACTAAAAAAGAATGAAATGTAAAAAAACAAAAAAGTAAAGACATGTCTTCACCTTTTTTTTACTTACAAGTGAAGTGTAAAAATAATCAAATGATTCTTGAAATTTCTTAAAAAAGATGCATACTATTCCACGTTATTTATAGCCAACAAATATTTATAAATTGTCTTAAAGAACAATATCAATTATCAAAGAATAAAATAGCTTTTTAATAATTATTTGAATTCTTTAAATAGAAATAGTAGAGTTATTTTAAAATATCAGTTATATTTAGTTTGAATATTTACTTATTGATTCTTATGTTTGATTAGGGATTATTTGAACAATTTCTTAAAGTTCCTTAAATTGGTTAAAAATTTAATCTGGACATAATTCTTATTTTCCTTCTTAACCATTGTTCGAAATAGCCTTGTAATCTTGAAATCTTACAGAACAATAAATAGCATAACTAGCACTAATAAAGATTTACTAGATTAAACAAAAATTATTCAAACTCAAATACATTTTTGTCTCAATATTCGAAAATAAAAATAAAAGTTGTTTGTGAGTTCTGAATCATCTCCTACGAATCTCGTCTCGAAATCTCTTTTCCTCTTTCTTAAGTTTGTCTTCCTCGTGCCAGCCGTCCCTTATTTATCTCCCGGCACATCCCGGGGACACGAGCAGGCGCCACGAGATACACGAACCCTTCGAGAAAATCTCGTGTGTAATGCACCACTCGGTAAGTGGGCCTCTTCAATTGGGAAACCGGAATGAAATATAAGAGAGACAAGAAGCTGCTGCTGCTGATGATGCTGATGAAGAAGAAGTGCAGGGAAGCTGTTAGACACAACACACTCAACAGACCTCCCATCAATATACGTAGCCAAATGCCGTTAAGATATATTTCCTCAGTCAAACGCTTTTCCATTTTGTTCGTCGGTGGCAACTCTCTTATAACCATCCGCGCCACTTACGTGAATGCCAACCGTTTGTGACCCGGCACGCGTCAAAATACATGTTGAGTGCATCGTTTCACGTCAACGCATTCGTTTCTCATCTTTCAAGTGGATTCTTTTATCTTTCTTCTTCTTTATTTCAAGATTTTTCCTCCTCCTACATGATTTACACATTAATACTGAGATAACAGAGTTTATTTATATATTTATCTACTTAACTTCAACATCAATAAAACATAGTGTTTATATTTATTTTTTGATCTTTCAAAATTAGGTAGAGCTTTGAGAGTATTAAAAAACGTTTTTTCTAGTCAAAAATAATTGTCCCCAATTTCCTTTTAGTTATATATTTCTCATTATTATTCAATGAATTATTAAAACACAATTGCTTCAAACTCTACATGTCACTCAGTTAGCAAATTTGATTTCAAACTCTTTTTTAACAACATATGTTGTTAATTAAAGTAATTAATCAAACAATGACAACAATTGACGTTCTATATTTTTTGAACTATTTCAATTTTAGTGAAATATTGCTATTTTATAGGTGTTAAAATACTGAAAACATCAATAATCATTTAATATCATAAAGTGAATTGAATTAAAAACCACTTGTTGATAATTAAGTAATGATAAAAAATAAACTGAATGTTTATAATTAAAATCATTGATATTTTAGCGCAATTAGATTTTATTAAGAACCTAAAGGCACTCTCAGAAACTTGGCGTCTGTATAATCATTACAAAAACCTCAGTCTGAAGCGCTCAGATAAAACCAATTGACGTGTCCTGGTCCTATCGCTACCGTAAACCATCCACAAGGCCAAGTTCTGGAAATTCCGGCAATACCAGTGTTATCACATTTGCTTCTCGCTTTAGCTTTTAGACCTACTAACTTTGAACAGGTATTTTAAACTATTCAAATATTTTTTATCAAATATAATAATAGTATGAAGGGCTCAGTTATCTCTATTTTTGTAATATTATCAATGACACCTGATTTTTATGAATAAATTTCAAGAATCCTGCCTGTACATGATCAACCTTTTTTTATTTCACTTGAAAAATTTAGTAAAATTAAAATTCAACATTCTTACTTGATAAAAATAGCAATTAAAATATTTAAATGAATAAATATTTACCTGATTATCGTTGTTATTAACGGCAAAGTAGCCAAGAACGCTAAAGAGCTCATTGAGAATCTGTACAGCACTTGGTGAACCTTGAGTTACAGCAGAAGCTTCATTTATTTCTGTTAGAGGCTCCCGGAGGAATCTGGTGATCAGGTGGCTAGCAATTAGCCTCCATTGTAAGCTTGTTCCTTCAGCACCCAATAATTTCTGTAACAAAGCAGTATAATTTCTCCATGAAAGTTAAAAATTTTATCTTGAAACACACAGAAAATTAGCTTGGAAGAGAAATAATCGTAAGAAGAGTAAAAAAAAGAAGAAGCTAAGGTATGAATTTTTAATTGTCAAGTAAGAGAACTGGTTTCTCATGACGGCAAAAAGAATAGATAATAAACGGAGGTCTTTTCAGCAATCGAGTTTTCTGTGGCAGTCGAGTTTCAACGAGGGATAATCGAGTGATCTCCCGCGGGACATTGCCAGGGGGCTATCCCGTAGAGAAACAAGGGGTTCCAACATGTGAAGCTCTTATAGATTTCAAGCCTACTGTTGTATTACTGATGATGTACTCATGGCATTAGCTTATTCCATGCATACGGTAGGCGCGAGACGCCGCTTCAAATTCAATTCGTGGTTTGATCGCCACAACCAGCCAACTGCTTTGTTACTATCATGCTCCCTCTGAATGTTGATATGCTTGACGTCTCCAGCTGGGTGAATGTCTCTATCATGCACTTAGAAACCCCGTGGGTTAGTAATAGCTAATGGCAAAAAATATATCGGGCGCAACTCAATGTGCTCAAGGGAAATTGATTATTTTTTGATGGACTAGATATAAGGGTCAAGAGCAATAGACATAGACATTTTTTCTAGGTATTAAAGAATAATATTAACAGAAATAGAAGGATTTATCTAACGATATAATAAATCGAAAGCCAATGATTAGAATAGAAAAGGGTTAGTCTCCCTCAATCTAAAATAGCTGATCTTATTACTATGATCTTCGTCTTTCTCATGTTAACAGGAAATCTGTTGATCAATTTAATGGAATTAAATTTATTTAGGTGCACTGAGACAAGAATAATTTATTTATTTGAAAAAAAATTATTTGTTCAGTATAATCACAATGTAAACATACTATTCAATCAGGCTAGTGAATATAACGTTGAAAAAGTTATTTTTTTTTTTGTTCTAAAATGATATTAGAAATGGAAAATAAATAATTGAAATTTAAATATAGAGATAATATAATAGATACCTGAAGTGTTGCTAAATCAACTTCTCCAATGGATTTAAGAAGTTTAAGTGCTCTGATAGCAACAAGTTTTGTCGATGATGAGTTGCAGCTGTTTTGTCCAGGTGTGGGTGAAGAACACTTTTGATGAGCTAATGCAAAAGTAGCATAAAGACAACCAACTGCACCAGCCGCTTCAGTGGATTCCAAACAACCAAGTAGATGTGATTCAGCATTAGTTTGCTCAGATTCACTATGGCTTATCGGGTTAGAGTTTTCGTGACTATTTAATCGTCTTTGGTGGTAGGTTAACCGATGAAGTAGATCATAGGATGCTAATAGCAATGGAGATTCGTGATCTTGATCCAATAGATAGTCAGCTTCAATAAGAGCTCGATTGTGACGAGTTATTCTGTCAATTAGACCTCCAGTTACTAAAACACTGTAATCAAAAGAAAGAAAATTTTTTTTTCAAGAATAATTATTTGTATTTTATGAGAGATAATAATTTATAGTAAACGACTTTTCATTAGGCTGATTATAAGATAACTTTGGCTGGCAAATGCTAGCTGATGGTTGATTGAAAGCAAACGAGAATGAGTAGAGACATAGTCTGCAGGGTGGTATAGAAAAAACTATTGCTTACAACGAGGCATGTGTGACGACGTAACACGAGAGGATTATAACATCAGTGGGTAATTCTGTGTAGAAAGCTCGCGACCCCTGCAAATATTCCTTCTCCCTTCGATGCTCATTCCATTGGGTTGTATATGTTTTCTTTCTCTTCCGTGTCCCCCCTTATAAACTTCAAAATTTTCTGTCTTCTTTCAGCAGTTCAGTGCAATATACCTTGCTCTTACTCAAGCTGTCCGGGAACGACCCCAATTGAGAACTCAGGGGAATGAAGAGTGTCCTGTCAGTGCGTATTATCGCCGACCCTCTCTTCATAACGTTTCTCTCTTCAATATATACAACATCTATACTAGAGTATGGACCTTATAAAAAGCATCGCGCGACGTACTCTCGCCTCGACATCTATAGAGAAATACATGCACGAATTTACAATACACCCTTTACTAAGAGCAACGACGAAGCCAACTGTCGCGTCTAATCATCAACATGATGAGGTAAGTGATCTTACAGTTCATACTTGCACTGATAGATACATTTTTAATGGTTCATTTGAATAAGAATATGTATACTAGTCATTTGTTTATTGTTCTTTGATGAAGGATATTGAAAGAGAATTAATTGTGCTTTTTGATTTTTTTATAAGTGAATATAAATTTTCTTGATTAATTGATAACTATTTTGGGACTTGATTTAAATCAATTAGAACTTTTTAAAAAAGAAAAGTTATTCATGTTAAATATTATTCATTAATCCATCAGAAACACTGATATGGTGACATCAAAAATGAAAAGCTATTAATTTATTAAAAACTATTTTCAATTTTCTCAGCTGTAAAGATCAATTACTTTACATCAAATTGGACAAGTGATTTTTTAAAATTGAAAACTTTTTTCTTTTACCTTAGTTGAATATTTGATTATTCTAAATTTTATACAAGCAATCTTTAATGCATATAAAGACTTGATTAATTATATAAAGTACTTTGTTCATTGAGTATTCAATCTTCGATCAAGTTGAAAAATTAGTTAGATACAACAGAATTAATTTATTTATTGATTGAATTTAATTTTTATCACTCTAGATTGAACTGGAGAACACTCAAAGTAACTTGGAGGAATAAATAATGAAATAAATCTGATGGAATTATAGTATTGAATTCGAAACGCAGATTCAGGGGGTCATTGAGTGACCCCAGCAGAACGAATCGACTCGCCCGTCTGGAATATTACATCGAATGACAAGGCACGCGTCTGCATATTTTTATGTTACGTTATCCCCTCAAAATTTACTTTTGGATATTATTCATGTTATTGTAAGATATTGTCGAAAAGGGAATGAACTAATCTTACTAAGATACATGTACACACATTTGAGGGAGAAAAATAATCACGAGAGATGTTAATCCATCCAACGCATTGTGGTGCATTTTATTAGAGAATTTGTACAGGACTGCTTACAATTTATTAATCTTCCTCTAGAACTACTTTATTTGACACTCGATCAAATTCAATTTAATCACCATAGTCGAAATCACATGCCTATCAACTATATTTTTTATCTGATATCAAAGTCTAACTTCTTGATTATGTTTAACTTTTATTTGTCACATGTACATATTGATATTAATTTTTTTAGTTATTGTTTGATTTCATCATAGATATTTATTCATTAGAAATTAATCAATCAAGGAACCAGAAATCCGTGACGCCAGTAATCAAGTGACAGGTCGTCATTTCAATGTTTCCACCAGTTTTCTCTGCAGTCATTCTGTCCAGAATTGGAGCAGAGTCACGATGAATGAATAAGCTGAAGGAATGTAAGCATGTGAAAAAGTGAGATAGAAACACCCTTATGAGCCACGAAGCGCAAAGATATGCACCCCTGGAGGGAAAGAAGGTGCCCCCAACACTGGGGGCACTATGAAATAATCATATGGTTAGCTAATGGTCGCCTAGGGGTAGTGATTGCTAGTCCAGCCATACTCAGTTGTATACCACCCTCTAACAGCAATGACTACAGTTGATGGGAGTAATAAATAAATTCAATATATTTACTTGGGGTCCCGCAAACATTCAATGATAGATTGCAATTTCAAGTTGATAAGATGCATACATTTTTCTTGAGAAAAAGAAACCATGATATGGTCAGTATAAATCTTATCCATCACATTAATTTATTTATATTAGAAAGTTAGAAGAGTTATAGAGTTCAGGAATTTATTCTAAAAATAAACATAAAAATAATCATAATAAGAATATGAAAATAGGGATTTTTTGATTGAAAAACAAATTCTAAATCCTGGTCAATATTTTTTTTTAATTATTAAAAGTCCTATAGAGTAAACGTTAGCTCTGACCCTGAAGATACATTGAACGTCTAATACCTTCTTAGTATGATATCCTAAGAAGTATTGGGTTACAAAACATCACTAAAAAATTCATCTTTTTATATTTCAAAAATTATGATTATTATAATGGTGAATTTAAAGTAACTATGTGTCAATCAAACACCACGAAATAAATTAATCATTATATAACTCTACTACTTCTATTTTTCTATTGAAAATAACAGGAGAATGAAAAGAATGACAGCATTGATTGTCAAATGAGCAAGTAGACTTCATTGTCCTATCTAACTATCGATTGTGTCCAATAGAGTAAAAGACATAGGCACTTTTTTTCTGTCATGCCACACTTGTTACAATATTTACAGAGTCTCTTGTTTCCCCATCGACCCCTAGAGTTTGCGACACTGACAAGTGTCCCCTCTGTATTTCCAAGTATTTTTTATCTTTATTTTATCACTGCACGCATTTTGCACTATTTCTATGAAATACCAGGAGGCTAACTTGGAGTGAGATTTATATTAGCAGACACTTCAGGATCCTAATGACTATGAAAAGCCGGAAATGAAGACGAGACTGGTTTTGAAGTGAGTTTGCTAGAGGCGCGGATATTCCAAGGTGTTACATTCTAAACTACCTCGTCGAATTGGTAATGTATTATAATCCTCAACTTATTCTCTCACTCTGACATACTCTATATATATTTCTCTCCTTGTTAGAGACTCGTAGAGCAGCAGAAACGGGCTCAGGATATTGCTACTCCGCGTTCGTTGACGCGTAATGCATTCACGTTGGGATTTCGGGGTGGTAAAATGGCCCAGAGAGAGAAAGAGAAACGTTCGTCGATGGGGTTGCGTTGGAGGGATGAGATTTGGGGTGATTGTACACCATAAACGTGAGTTTGCACTTGGGATTGTAAATGAAGCAAACGATTGAATATAAATAGATAAATTCCTTCAGTTCAGGTAAATAAGATATCAATTTTTATCAATAATTATAGCAAATTAAAACAAATAGTATTGTAGTTGATGCTAATGTTAAAACAATTCAGTACTTATTCCAATACTGTTAAATCAAGATTGAACTGGTCTAGAGGTTTCTTTGATGAAGATAAATTAAATGCCATTGATTTAGTAGGCTATGAGCTTCAAACAATTTTTTGTCAATATTTTTTTTTGATATCTTTATTTATTTACTTTTTCAGGAAGAGAAAGCTGCTGGTTAGAATAAAATGTGTCAAACGCACGCAGGTTTAATCAGGATAACAGTGTTGCGAAAGTGTATCAAGAGTGAGCAGAAGAAGAAGATGACTGGGAACATCAACAGCCGGGTATTCTAGCTCACGAACCCCTCGACGTACTTGGACGCCTGATCAAATACTTGGCTATGCTCCTATACACTTTCCATTACATCAGCGTAGTATTTTTGTCCTTTACAAAATCCATTCAACACTTGTATTAAGAAAACTCTGATTGTCGATGATTCAACAAGGCTTGTAATATAGATTGATGATGATTGGAAATGTGTACATGAAGAGTTGAAACTGATACTTATTAGTGCATTGAATCACTGCTTAGCACCGGGCAGTTTCGTAAAACATAAAAGCCAGCTGATATTCTAAGAGCATCTGCCTTTATTGAGTTCAACCCCCATATTGTCTGGGTGCCACTGATCGTCGGTTAGACAAGCATTACAGACCAAATTACACCTAAGGTAATGCGTCAGCAATGAAAATATAATGAGAAAAAAGTTGGAAATCAAACGGAAATAGAAAACTAATTTTTTTAGAATAAAAGTTCTAGAGTTTTGATCAATTTTTCATGTATAATAATTCGTCAATACTGTGATTTTAATGATTAAGTATTTATTATTATTATTTACGTAGCAAAATTATTTAGGTGGTAGATTGGAAGTTTTGGAGTCGATGGAGAAAGGGAAAAATAGAGGAGGAAAGTTATTGGAGGGATGAGAGGAAGCTTGGCAAGAGGGTGGAACCAAAGAGGGTGAATTCGGGATAGAGCGAGAGTCCATTAGCAGATTACGTACCCAACCCGCCTAGCTCATTCACCCCCTGATGTTTTTTCTTTCTCGTCTTCCTTCCCTATCCCATTTTCTTCTCATGCAAACTCTCGTGCTCTACACGTGTCTCTAAAGTCTACGCTGGTTTTGTTTTTAAGTTTTTTCACATTGATAATATATCTATCGAACTTTATATTTTTATTTATTCTTGTCAATATTATTTTGTGTCTAATATTACCAACAATAATACCTTTTACCTTTAATTTATTTAATTACTTATCAACAATGTGTATTTTTTTTTTTATATATTACTGATATTTTTAAATTTATTATTATTCTTTGATTAAATGAAGATATAATTACTATAATGAAAATTAGTTTTCTAACTAAGTTGTGAATTACTTGTGTAAGAGAATTAATTGATGAATGAAATAATTACTTTTCATTATTAATATTAATTATAATGAACCGTTAAAAAATTATAATATTATGTTATAAATTAATAATTGTAGAAAAATTAGTTGAAAAATAAAAATAAGAGTTTTAATAAATAGTCTAATTAAGTATAAATCTTTGAAGACTGAGTTGCATAAAAAATGTCATTAATGACATGAGATGATTGATATTAAATTTTTTGTCAGCTTAAATTAATTATCTGATCAAACAATCTTTATAAATTAATTGATTTTGTGTATGTATACAAGAAAGAAGATTTAGTTTGATTGTAAACTTTAATTTAATCACGTTCCGACGGCAACTTATATAACCTGGCCCTTGATTTTCAATGAAACATAGTAGTCTTAGAGTCTTAAATGATGATCGAAAAATACTCCTTCAAAATAATATCATAGGGACAAGAGAAGAAAAGCCTACTTGATCCAATATTAATCGAAATTGTTATAAGAGTACAGGATTCTCTGTACAAGGATTTTTTAGCAAATTGAGCTTTCTGTTGATGAAGTTGATGAGAACAGAAATCTACAATTTTCTTCCTTCTGTTATATGATTATGAAATTTTCCAAAACATTTAATTTCACTTGTTATTAATTTATGAATACAACAATAATCAACTGTGAACTAATTGAAATAATTTAGTTGATAAAATTGTTCCAATGGTTGATTTTTCTGCAGATGAATTCTGAACAATTTAAATTCGAATAGACATACTCCAAAAACAAGGAGAATAATTAATGAAAGATATACAGAGAGAAAGTAATCAAAATGTTAATGAATGAACTTCTAAGAAGAAAATATGATAAAAAAAATTGGTACGTTGATGTTTTTTAGTTGAATGAAAAAATTAATATGCTTTTGAATATTTTGAAAGGTTTTGTTGTGATTATTGATACTTAATGAGCATGTAATAAATTAATATCTATATTTATTGGGCCATAAAAGTACTGATGGAACATGGAAAAAATGGATAGTGTTTTCTAATAAAAAATCATGGTCGACAAGTACGTTGAATAGATAAAGTCAAGGACATGACACTTTGGTGACTCTCGATGTTCCTCTCTCATCGAGTGTTTCCAAAGAGTATTATCTTTCTTATCGAATCCATTGATGCACATAATATTCTATGAACTCGGTAAATGCCACTCGAGCCGGATCCATTTTCGACATCGTCATCTAGATAATCACTGTGGCTTTACACGATAAAAAACCATTTCTCTAAATTTTCAACTCTTGAAATACTGAAAAATGCCAAATGCGATAACATCAAAAAATATGTTCAAATATTGAACTGTGAGTCAAAAGATATGAATTGATAAAAACTGTATAGAAAAAAAATTATTAAATGGATATTCATAATGGTACTTGAAATGGAAAATATTGTGAATAAAATATCATCAGAAGTTTAGAAATATAGACAAAATCACTTCCATTTTATTTTAGCTGCTGATTTGAAATGGTTTCTTGTTCTTCAAATAATTACTTTGATAGTAGTTTGAGCATGAAATATGGTTGTAGTATTGATCGATTTTTGATTAATCTAAAAATTTTTCTAGTTGAAAATTGAACAGAAAGCATGTTCGTATGCATGACTCTATGAGACAGAGAACGCAATCGTGCTAAGTAAAAGTCATGACTGGTCGTTTTGCATCGTCAGGGAATTAATCATAATACATCAACCCCTACTATGCATGGTACCTTGGTGAGTTATATAAAAAAAAGAAGGGAAAAATATGCTTGTGCTTGGATTATAATTGTAGGATAATGAATATTGAAAAAGTAGAATGAGATAAGGAGTGAAAAAATATTTATGTACAAGAAATAATAATGAATTAAAAAAAAATGAAAAAGAGAAAGGGAAAAAAAAACTTCACAGAAGTAGAGAAAGATTGAAAAACTTTTGTGATTGAAAAAGAGAAAGGGTTTGTGTTTTGGGAGGTCCCCGAAGAGGAAGTTGACCCAGGTGTCTTTCATCTAACGGCATCAAGAGGATCAGCTACTGGTAGTGCAGTGAAAACAGATTGCGTCTCGTCAATGTGACTAAATGAAGAGTATTATGTTTCTGTCGGTCAACTCGCGGTGGTCTAAATCTAGTTCTCTAGGGTGGTCTCTAGCTGCGGGTCTTTTTATGTCTAAATATTAGGGGTAGAAATAAAAACAATTGATTCTATCCCCTTCTAATTATAATACGAACCAGCATCATAACAATAATAATTGGCTAATTCCTGATTTAATTTCAAAATAGAATTTTAAAAATAGAAAATATTGAATAACTACGAGTTTTGATTAATCTTCAATAAAATTAGACTGAATACTTACCCAGTGATGTCATGAATTCGAATTTGAATCGTTGATTTATCAGAAGGCACTTCTGGTATTAGACTGCAAAGCAATTGAACAGCAGCAGCAGCAACACTTGCATTGCTTACACTACTTGTTGACTCCTGAGACTGTGCTTGATCATCTAAACTAGCAACTGCCTGCAAAATTGAATTAAAAAAAATCTGAATAACAGTTGAACAAATTTATTGATAGTTATAAATGTTCTGATATGAGAAAGGGGAAACATTGAGTAATAAGGGGGAGTTTTTGGTAGATTTTATTAGAAATTTGAAGTTTGTTGAATTTAGGAAAATGAAATTCAACCCCTCAGTAATATTCTCAGGTTTAATTTCATCATGTCAAACATCATCAATTATTATGTAATAATTCTTGATAAGACATAAAAACTAGGAATCTTCGTTATTTATTAATTTTTAGTTTAAAAAATAAAATAATATCAATACTTAAGTAAGAATTTTTTGGAAAATTAATGATAATAAATAAGTAAAAAATAGTACAAAATATTTAAAACTCAATGAATGAGCGGTAATGGAAGCAAGTTGAAGAATGAAATTGACTGTTGAGGATATTGAAGGTATTAAGTGAAAGCAAGAGTCTGAACGACCATTTCGTAGTAAAGTTTCAAGAGACAGAGAACGATTGGTAGGATCGTCAGTAGTGCGAATAGGTCGTTGAAAGGAGAGCGAGCAACGAGACAAAAGATTAGGTTGATTCGTGTGACGACCACTTGAGTAGTATGAGTATGAGGTAGTGTAAGAGAAAGAGTAGAAAAAGGCCAATGGAAATATCGATATATACCCACACGACTCTTTGCTTTTATTTTTTCTCCTTTTCCCCTTGCTTATATACTTCTCTTTCCCCTTGTCTTCCAGCATTCGAGAAGTCTGAACATCATGATGAGATGGTGTGCGTGACGTCGCTAAAAGCTCTCTCGCCGCTAATGCATTTGAGGGGAAATCGCAGTAACCAGAAAGACAGAGAAACAAGAGATGAAGAGACGAAAGCAGTAGCTAGCAAACGAGAGATATCACGCACTAACTACGAAATAACTTGAGTAATTGTCCTGCTTCGGAGTTTGACTGATTTGTGGATGCCTGAATTCGATAAATTGTCCAAATGATCTATAGATTTTCTCATTTTTATTTAAGCCAAGATGAAAGAAAGAAGCAACTAGTGAATTAGAGGTGAATTAATGTAGCTCTAGAGAGATTTCATGCCAGTAAATCAGGATTCGTTTGGTCTTTGTGATAAGTCTGTGCTCTAGTTCTTGATCTTAAGACTTCTTAATCCTTATTTTGACAGGCCAACAAGTTTACTCTGGCGTCAATGCCTTATGCATACGGATGAGGTTGAAAGAAAGACGTGATATCTCCTCGTCTATCTGGAGGCATTAAGATGCCTTTTTCTTTGATTTATACGTCATTCCACAGTTGTCGCGTTCGAGTATTTTTATTTCTCATTTATTTCTGATTAAACTCTACTCCAAAATCCCGCTCAAGTCAGCTAACGAGTATTCAACGCCATCTTATGAATTTATACTCGAGTTATGAGGAAAGTTAGTAGGACATATCAATCCCTTTTTATTCATCGCGCAAAGTTGAAAATTTAAAAATTGTACGGTATCTAAATTATTGATAAGTATTAATTTGATGAACCGTTTGATTGATAAATTAAAAGAATAAATAATTTCGCAATTATATTGCTGACAATTAGTATTTAGAAAAATTAAAAAAAAAACATCATTGTAAATTAATGTAAACTGTTTGTAAAATCATCAAATATTTACCTCAAATCTTTGTAAAATTAGGTCGAGAATTGCCAAGACTTTGTTACTAAGAAGAACTTCTTCAATATTTGTTGGGTGATCATTCACTGCAGCTTTGTATACTCGACAAATAGATATCATACTCCTGAAATGAATAAGAGTTATTTCAAATTAATGAAAAAATTTTTTAATACACTCAAACTTACTTATTAGGCAAAGAATGTGAATTATTTTGAATATTAATTCCAAGGTGGAGTAAACTCGTCAAGGTCTCAAAACCATTGAGTGATCGAAAAACATCTTGATCAATTGAACTCTAAAATATTTTTCACAATTAATCATTTTCAATTTTTCATTATTATAAATGGTATAAACAAATATTAAAATCAATTTTACCGATTTATTGAATATCCTTCCAATTTCACCTAAACACCTTTCAAGTCCAGCAATAGCTACACTAGACCAAATAGTTTTGGCATGAGCACTACAAAGCCTATCCAACTCTTTCAAGTTTCTTTTAAGCTTAGTTTTATTAGACGAATCAAAAGTCTGACCACTATCTGTTTGAGAATTTTCCCACTCCTGTCCTTTAACTGTCATTCGTTGTTTAAGTTTTCTACTACGTCGCTTCAAAGCTTTTTGTTTTTCTTTCAGAGCTTTATAATTACCTCCAGCACTTCCTGACACTTGGATATCTTTAATCTGAGCAATATTGAACTTCTGAAGATCATCTCTTGATAGTTCTTTGCCATCATGCATTTTTTTTACAGCTTCTAGATGTTGTTTTCCTTTCAGATGACTGAGGAGGCATACTTCATTAAGTATCATGATATTACATAAAGTACATTGTTTTTGTGCCGGATAAGCTTTCAAAGTAGGTGGAATTTCTTCCATTTTCAATATCGAAAGTTCAACAGCACGTTGTCTGATGTGTTCAATATTTTCTCCATGACGTCGTGCAGATTCTTGTTGCTTTTGAGCAATTTTTTTTTGTAATTCTTCTTGATTAGCTAATTGAGCAGCATGAAGAGCACTTAAACGTTCTTCACGATCACGAGCTTTTTCCCTTGCGAGCTCCTGCCGTTCTTTTTCCCTTTCTAGTTGCATCTTTCCAACCCTTTCTTCTCGTTCTCTTCTAGTTTGTTTCATCTTTTGGATCCTTAGTTGGCGTTCAGCTTCTAGAGCACGTCTGCGTTCTTCAGCGGCAGCTTCTTTGGCTGCTTTTTCTTCCTGACGTCTTTGCCTTTCCTCTTGAATACCTTGAAGACGTTCTTCTTGTTCCTGACACAAAGCCATAAAGTCATGTCGTTTATTTTGTGCTTCAAGCTCATTAATGAAAGCTATCTCCTTTAACTTTGAGTCTTCATCATGAGCTTTTCGTACAACCTCTAATAGATGTTGTGTTCGATTTTCCTCTGCTCGTTTTAATCTCATCTCCATCCTAATCCTTCGATCTTCTGTCAATTGATCCTTCGCTCTTTTAACGTCTTCAACTTTGTTTAATAACTCTCGAAGTCGTTGAGACTTTTCAGACAACAACTTTTGACGTTTGTGTTGAGCACATGCTTGTCGCGTTTGATATCTTCTCAACGTCTCTGGTAGTGAACGCTTTCGTGATGGAGATGACAATTTTTGATGTAATTCCAGTGCTCTACCTGGATGCCTCGCAACCAAAGCTTGAAGTTGTGCTAATGTATCAACTCTTTCTGCCCAAGACATTCCTTCTAGCATATTTTCATATCTATCTTCAAGGCTCATGTTATCTAATGGTTCATTTGGTTGTTCATTTTCAATAGTTTCTCCTTCTTCCATTTCCAAAATCATTTCTCCATCGGTTTCATCAGTCTCAGTATCCACGTCAATTTCAGTAGATTCTAATTCTTGAATTTGTTTTTGTAAATCTGCTTCTTCATCAGACAATTGTTGAGATCTTTTAGAATCAGCTTCTTCTGTTTTCATTTCTTCTTCTAAAATAATTCTTTCTCTTTCAGCTTGTGCGGTCATAAATTGTTGAATTCTTTTTTCCAATAGTTCAGCTTCACTTTTAAAAATTGCAGCAATCATCGATGTAGAATTTGATTCACAGACATTAGGAACTACGTTTTCTTTGCTTTCATTGAGAGCATTTTTTTCTTTACTTTGCGAAATATTTTTTTTGTCCTCAACCTCAATATCTTCTTTATTTTCTTCACTCTTGTGACAGTTTTCATGAGCAGTATTAGATTGTGATGTTAAACTTTTTTTTCTTTTTTCTCCAGAACTTTCAATTGCCAAGGCAGGCAATGAAGTAGCTGTAGTTGGCCGATGAAATCTTGTAGACATACTTAAACTATGAGAGCTACCTCTTCTATATCGCCCTCGTACTGTTTGCCATCCTTCACTATCTTCTGATGGTTTCCTGTTTTTCGTTTGTTTCGATAAGACTTCAACAGATCCACTGATATCAGAAGATTCTTCCAATTTAGTATCGTTCTTTGAAGGTTGACGACGTCGTCCCACCATTACAGAAGATCCAGGTCTAGCTTTTCCTAAATTTGAAACTTCACGGATACTCAATGTAGTTTTACTTCTAATCATTTTAGGAGGTTCAGGAAGTTGATTACTACTTCGGGTTTTTGAAACACTTGAATATGAATTTCTTGAAGAACTTGGAGCAGTTTTAGCTCTCGCTGTGGATGGAGCACTTTTTGAAACATTTTTATGAGCATGTTTATTATCAACGATTCTTACTCGATTATTTTCAACTCGCGACAGCTCCATCAAAGTTCCATTTGTTTTATTCTTTACTCTTTCAATGTCAGCAATACTATGAACTCGTTTCAAATTACTCGTTTGAATATTTTTATTTTCTTTATTGGTCCCTACGTGTTTGATTTCACGAGACATAATTTCATTAAAAAGTTTTCTACTTGTCACATTATTGCTCAATTTATTCGATGTAGTCGACCTCACTGAAGTTCTTGCCGATCCTCGAGTAAGTACAGATTTCTCTCTGGACATTGATTTTTCACTTTCTTTATCTACAGAATTTCTCCGTTTATCCTGAATATTTTTTGGATCTTTTTTTGTTACATTATTTTTATTCTCTTTCATTCCTCTATTGTCACAATTATTTCCAGCAATATGAATATTTTTTGCCGGATCATTAGGCTTGTTTTCATCAATTATTTGATCTTCAGGACTCCAACACACTGGACTAATCCTTTGAAGTGGGCTAGAGCATTTAGATGCTCTAGAAGAATTCCACATTCTACAAGGTGATGTTTTTCTAACTTCCCATGCTAAAGAAGTCTGTCTCAAAGGTGGAGGTGAATTTTCATAGGCCCATTTAACTTTAAACCATTCAATTAGATTATGAAAATCTCGTGTGTAATTTTCTAAAACTAAAATTACTTCCTTACACTCTGATATATTCTCATCTTCTTCACACGTTTGATAAATACCATCTACTGCTCGTTGTAAATTACCAAAAAGAAATGCCCAATATCTTGCATGTAGCTCTTCAAGAAAAAATAGAAAAGAAAGATAAAATAAAATACCTTGATTTAAATTTATGTAGGAATAAATTAAAAAGTCATTACCTGATTTTTTATCCCGGCCTGTTGAAGCAGATCTTACTCGTGTTGAGCTCTTTATGTTTCTTTTCATATTCACTGAAGAAACAACTCTCGGAATACTCGGAGGCTTTCTTGTAACTCGTTCTGTATTACTTGAACCAACTGGTACATTGAATGCTACTAAATTCCGCGCTGCTCTCCCCTCTTCTCTGATTAATAATCTGACATCTGCCATTTTTTCTTAAATCTGTAAATTAATAATGAATATAATTTGCATATCAACTGAAAAATGTGTGATATGTATAAAATACTATTATTTTGCGAATAATAAGCCAAATACTAAATTAATTCTATTAAATTATAAAAACATCACAAACATGAATAAACAAGTTTTTTAAAAGAATAAACAATAATATTAAAAAATTTGTTAATTACCAAACGTAAATTTTATTTAATAATTTTTACAAATACTTTTCAGAAGTTGACTGATTGAGTATCCAAAGTAACCTTTGTTAATACCTACGCATTTATGATTAGAAAAACAATGACTGCTTCACTGTTTATTTCATATTTTTTTCAATATTTATAATGATTATTCACCGAAACACTTACATGAAAAGATCGATCAGATATTCAATCACGTGGACTGTATATTATCTCCAAAATGTCATATAATTTCAATTATTATTGATTGCATGACATATTTGTACCGAATTTCAACATGACATTTTGTTATCGTTTTATTCCAGTTTGACATTACTCTGTCAATGCTTATTTTTTATTAGTCGTTGATTACGTTGGCAACAATGATAATATGTTGGTACAGATTTGAAATAACAGCAATTGAAATTTATATTTTGCACGATTTTTGATATATCATGAATGTTTCAAAAAAATAATCAAGTTTGTATCTGCTCAAGTCAAATAAATGTACTTTTTTACAAATTTAGATAATTAATTTTTTTATAATTATTGTACTTTTATTGTTATTTCTAAAATTAAATTGGAGAGAAATGTCCTATTACGTCATCGTACAGGTTAAACGTTTTTGGAGTATTCCAATAGATGGAGTACAAGGTAGTTTCTTGAATCGCGCCAATTTTAACATTTTTTCTCAATTTTAATAATTGAATCAATTGTTGATCAATCATCCAAAGAGTATATGTACTTACTCTAATAAGTAATTATTATGAATGGAATGATGTAATAGATTTTTTTCTTTTTCGTCTGATAAAATTATTCGAAAGATTTTTCAAATGAGTTATGCTCTCTGATGAATTTTCAACACTTGTACAGCAGCGCCATTGACGGCATCAAATACGGGTGCATCGCACTCGGTACTTATATTTCTTCATCAAAATTAAATTAAATAATTTACTTGAATATTATTTGAAATAGTCTTGAGAAGTTAATCATATAAAAAATATTTCAGTGAAAGCGATCAATAAAAGTGTCTACTTAATACTTTTGGCGATAAACTAAAAATTTGAGATCTTAACTCGAGTCTTGTCATTTCCATGATCAACGTCTTTCTTTCTCACTCACCGTCACGACGCACTCCACCGCTTGTACTTGGAGGTGTTGGAGATTTCTAGAAGAGAGAAAGAGAAACGACGACATACAACAGACAAAAAATATATTATTATCATCAGTTAAACACAAGAAATCTGTGTGCCAAGACTTATTACCCGGGTTTAACGCGGGCATTATTTATTTCGAAAAATATATGTGAGTATTCTTCTCTAATTTAATATCAGTTTTGCTCATAAATTTTTATCACTTTTTCAACTACTTTTTCGGTTGCACTACCGCCAAGAATCTGATCATGAAGTTCGAAGTTACATTTTTGTTCTTTTGTTATATTCATTCATGGGAAAAATACCGCGAAATAATCAATGAATTTTTATCTATCTTTCAAGCTGTCAAGTGAACATAACCATCATACACTTGAATCATTCATGGCTTCATTGATCACTAAACAAAAAACGTAACCAATAAATGATTCAAATAGATCTATTTTATTCTTGAAATTATTTAGCATTACAATTCTTATTTCATATTTTACTCATTATTTAATATTTCATTCGGATAAATGACATTTTCTTTGTTACAATACATATACATATATGTGTCAATGTCACCAATCAGGATATGATGAAATGCATAAAAAAAAAATTTTGTTTGATCAAAAAGTGAAAAAAATCTGAGTTATATAATTCAAGTAAAATTATATCATTATAATTTTTTACCACTGTAACAATATTTTTTTATAGAATTCCAGTAAAAAATGGCTGCATTGCCAAGGAGAATTATCAAAGAAACACAGAGACTGATGCAAGAGCCTGTGCCTGGTATCAGTGCTGTACCAGATGATACAAATGCTAGATATTTTCATGTAATTGTTACTGGACCTGAAGATTCTCCGTTTGAAGGAGGGTTATTTAAACTTGAATTATTCTTACCAGAAGACTATCCAATGTCCGCACCTAAAGTAAGATTTATCACTAAAATCTACCATCCAAACATAGACAGGTAAGTGTTGTACATAACTTTTTATTACACAGTATATTTTTTTCAAGTAATCAATTTTTGATATCAGCATCTGATATTTTTAAATTAATTATTTTACATAAGACAATATAAAAAAAATATTAATTAAATTGAATGTTAATTCAATCACGTTTTTAAGAAGTAACAATCACAATAACGATTGATAATTACTTTAGGCTTGGAAGAATTTGCCTGGATATACTCAAAGACAAATGGAGTCCAGCCCTCCAAATTAGAACTGTTTTGCTATCAATACAAGCGCTACTAAGTGCGCCTAATCCAGATGATCCTTTGGCCAATGACGTGGCTGAATTATGGAAAGTTAATGAAAGCGAAGCGATACGTAATGCCAAAGAATGGACTCGTAGATACGCTATGGATAACTGATCTCAGCCTTGTTGTTATTATCCGTCATCAAATGTGTTGTTGTTGTTCAGTCCTCTCAGCAACCTTGATTTATTATTCTCCTGGCACATCGGTACCATGCCGTTTTCACCCGTGTCCACAATTTTGCTATGCAAACAATAAAATTTTTTGTAAGAATAAAAAATTAAGAGATCAATTATGAAGATGTATTTTCTGCATATGGCTGAGAAAAAAGAGAAAAAATGGTTATTTTGCAAGTAAGAAGTAAACATTTATCTGAATAATGCCCATTTTGATTAGATAATGTATTAATTACATTGATGAGCAACTGAGAAATAATAATGAATTCGTTGTTAAGGTATCTCGAGCGGTGATATACAGTATATGTATTAAAATGAAGCAAAACATTATATAATAATTATAAACGAATGAATAGATAAAATTGAAAGGAATCTTTGAAAAGAACTGAAGAAAAAATTTTATTTATAGTGGAATAAAGCGTCATGAGGATCGTTGGTCCATGGAAATTGGGAAATGAAAACTGGAATGATTAAACAGTCTTTAAAAGGTCATTCTACAGCATAAATTTTTCCGAATTCCATCTATTTATCTGATATAATTACTGCATAAAGTTTTGTCTTATTCTTATACATATATATTTTCATTCGAGACCCCTTAATTTGAATGAAAAAATATTCTTCGTACATTCTTGAATGTAAGTCGATGCGTTTTGTCGATTTACATTGATGTACATTGTCAAAGTGCTTTCGTATGTTTTATTTTCCATTCAGCGTAGCAAGGATATTTAGTAAGTAAATTAAAAATAAATCGGTAATGATTAAATAACTAGGTAAAAAAGAATTGAAAAAAAATCAAGCGCTTTATATCACATGTTTTTTTCTTCGTTGGGTTTAATTTAATGAAGCACTGCATGATTGAAGCACGTTTTTTAACGGATTTTAACACTTGCATAAGCTCGACTGTAAAATAAAATTATATTAAAATGCTAAAGATAAATTGATAAATAATAATTTTAAAAAAGACAACAGTTAATAGAATAAAAATTAAACCCACGAAATGAATTTACATGATCACTGATTTCATGTGGTGTACAATATTAAGAATATATAGCAAGAATTATATACTCCAGCTATATTTATTAATGTACCCAGATGATAAAATAAACATTAATAGAATAATTCAGTAATAATAACGATGTAACTAATTAGAAATTAAAATTTGCCTTCTCTTCTTCCGTAGTCTTGAAATTCGTGCTTCAGATAATGCATCACTTTCAATCCTTATAATGTAAATAGCAAAAGATTAATATTAGCAATGGTATTTTTTCGATTATTTAAATTTAAAAAAAAATGTTACATAATTAATTAAATAACAATAATCGCTCAATTGATCGATCTAATTACTCTGCAAGAGAATTTTTGTTTTTGCATTTATCTTTACTCTAAGATATCAATTAGTAATAAATGTTGCTTTTACATGTAACTCATGGTATTTTATAAAAAGTAATGAATAAAAATAATAATTAATAATATTATTATTTTATCAATGAAAAGAAGTAGAAAGTTGAAAAAAAATTTCATTATTCATTAATAGATTTTCACAAACAACTTTTTTTTTTTTTTGAATTCAAAATTACAGTTTATTGTTTATCTTTGTGTGGACTAGCATAATAATTATTACCATATACACATTCAATAGCTCACTGATAATTTAACTTACATTATACCACTCACAAACATTGATAAAGATAGTCGTGATGATTTTTAAAAATTTTTGTAGCGTGCTTTCACGACTCTTTAAGCTACAGCGCAAGCCCTAGCATTGTTAATTAAGGATTATATTTAAATTTATACGCGCGGGCTTCTCAATTATTTATAACGATCATTCTTCCCTTCGTCATTATAATTTTTACTTAACAGTGACATTGAAATTACATTTAAATCGACTAAGTGATTCAAATGAATTAGAATTACAATTCCCATCGAGTCATGTTTTTTTTTCTTTTAAAATTCACAGTGATCTTTAAACAGCTTTACATCTATAAAGTATTAATAATTTAAATACAAATGTCAAATTTTTAGTAGTGATTTTTGATGAATTTCTTTACTTTTGTTCTCTAATTTTTATGTTCGCATTTTCACTTCTTTAATTTTCAATTATTACATCCATTTCTAGAAATTATTAACAGCCGACATTGATTTTTCATTCTATAATGGAGAGGTGAGTATTGGCGCTAAGTCTAAATACTTGGAACACCGATAATCATCCACTACCATTCAACATGATGTAAAAAAAACTCTTTTACATATATATCTCTTCTTTCTGTCTTCTTCATATTATCATTAATTATTATTTATTATCAATTAGTAAATAATTAATATTATTATTATTACTAATACCATTTTATCATTCTCATTATCTTGTTAACATTATATTCTTCACGCACAAAATAAATGACCAAGATGAAGATGTTCATTTGTAGGTGCTATCTACATTTCAAGTTACAAAAAATATTTTTCACAGTAAAGAATACATTTTCTATTTTCATAAACCATTTTAAATATCTACGAACAAAACAATTTATATGAAAAAATTTTCACAATAGAAGGCAATTAACAACAGTTGATTATATTCTAATACTTCCATTTAAGCAATTGTTTAAATATTTTTCATTAGCTAATTTTCGCATGAAAGCTCATTTTAATTGTCAAATATTGAATTACTACAATATTCAAAAAATTACTTTGGTAATAAATATTTAAAAAAAGTTTTGAAAAATTGAAATATATTTTTTTACTGTTGAAAATAATTTTTTTCTCTTGCTGATGAGGCTTTCCAACAAAAACAATGTAATGACAATCATGAGCCTAAACAGTTTGACTATCTTTCTTCATTATAATTGAAGCAGGTATCGATGCAATAAGGGATTTCGAGATATTTTCATCACAATTTAAATACCTCGAAAAACGTCACGGTGAAAGATATAATATTTTAGTCGTAAAATGTTTTTTAAATATATTATAATTATGGCATCAGGACGACGTTAATATTCACTTTTATGGCAAAATTATTTTCGCAAGAGGTGAAATCTATTATCGTTTATAATTGGCTTCATATATATGTCGCAAAATTATCAGTCAGGGTGGCTTTCGAGTATTTGTTACGTTTATTTTTTCCAGTTTTCTTTCTTCTCATTATTATGATTATTTATAATAATCGTAATATATGTTTTTAATTTTTTCTGATGCTCATTCCCTTAGTATTAATGACTAGATAGTTTTAGGTAGCCACCCATATTTATATATAACATCTTGTTTGATCCCATAATGTATAATACCATTCCAATATGTCAAATAATTGTCAAAGATATGGATTGAAATTCTCATACTGAGTTCTCCACTTTTTCAAGCGCATATATATATATTATTTAACAATTCAAATCACGCGTTTTGACGTATTTATTACATATACATTGACATTGAAATTTTTATCGACCATCAGAAATTTTAAACAATCCTCGTTTCAAATATTTGATAATAATAAATATTTTAAGCGAATTTAATGATTAAAATAATTAGAAAAAATTTTTTAAATGACATATTATTTTATTTTTATCTTTAGTCATTATGTCTTTTCTATAATTTTTAGCGTAAATCGATAAAATTTATTCTACTATGAGCGGTATCTATTTAAAAGAGCACCACCAGTTGTATCAATTTCTTATTTCACGCAATTTAATTTATCTATAACTTTGATTTATTGTTTTCTCTTAAATAATTCATCTTCAGTCTGTTAATTAAAAATAATCAACATGAGAGCATTTTAACTAGAGGTATTGTTTATAATGATCATGATAAAGTTTTAAAAATTACATTGATGCATAACAATCAAGTAGTATGAATAGCTCAAAGTCATAAATAATATTCCATTTCATGAGCTTTCCCTAATTACGGAAGCTCAAAAGTTAAAGATTTATGAAAAACAATATTAAAATCGAGTATTATCTAGGACTTGGAACACATTTTTAGGACAAGTAATTTTTTTCTTTCACTTCATTAACTTTACATGAAACATTCTAAATATTCTAAATGATAAATTTTCTCTTTTATCTACTGTACTTTTTTCACTTAGTTGGTGTGCTCCTCTATATAAATATCACGTTTTTTGTGGTGAGGATTACAAATGCAATGTTACAGATGGCCTTAAACACAGTTTTTCTGAATTAATTAAATTTTTAGTCTTATAAATGAATAAAGATGAGCATCACATGTTTGAAATTTTGTATAACTTTTTTATCAAGCACTTTATAGTAAGATTAAAGTACGAAATGAAGGAATGTATACTAGAGTGTGTATTCGAAAATTGTAGGGATAATTATTTGAGAAATAACAGCTACATAAATAGCTAAAATTACGTAATATACAAGTTTTTGTTCCAGCCATGCTCAAAACAAGATTGTAATGAGCTTTTTGTGCTATTTATAATCATGTGCATTGCAATATATATCATCTTCCTTGGCGTAATAATATCGTGACTCTCTACAGCAGTAATTTATCCCTTATTCAATTCACTTATGTGATTAAGAAGAGGCGTATATTTTTGTTTATCACTTATCTTTATTATCATTTATAATTAATATCTTACCATAAATTTTTTATTTTCTTTTTTTTTTCAAATACTATTTATTTAGCAAAGCTATGTTTAGATCAATAAATTTGCTTCTCTTGAGATTCAGCGAAGCTTAAAAGTTCTTTTAATTACAATATTAAACGCGAGTCTCAAGTCTGATTATAAGAACAAGAAAATTAGCCTCTTGACTGCCATAGAAAATCCCATTTTTGTTGCCTAATAAATTGTTACTTATATTCTTAATTATATTTAATAGTTATTTATATTGTTATTATATATATTTATGTATAATATCTATAATAATCGATATAAATTATACTCGGATTAAATATTCAATCAATTGAATCAACGGTTAATCATTTTCTCACTCTTACGCTCATTTTATCTTTTGCTCATCATTCGCACTTTCTACTTTTTCACTATCTCAATTTACGTTTATATTTAGGTATTTTTGTTTCAAAAGCTTCACGAATACACACAGGGCTGTTCCGGTTGACTGGAATACAAAGCTTTTCACTGCGTTGAAACAAACCTTGCGGATTGTGGAGATAAAATACGATAGTGGATGGTGGTTGTATTGTCTTTTCACTACAAAACGAGCAGGCAACCGAGATGCATTTTCATGTTTTCTTACATTTCTCGATTGTTTACCGACTTTTGTCTTTTATATGTACACCGGAGACTCTTGTCCGGTCAATAATCTAAACATAGATGTTGGCATCGTCTTCATGAGAATCTGAAAAGAAAAAGAACTTGTAATAAAGTCTGAACGTTACTATTCGACATAAAAATCATTGTAAGGATATGTAATAAATCCTTGCTTAAACATTTTTATTGATTCATAATACTATTTTCAGATTAAAAAAAATATTCCTTCTTTTCTTTATTCTTATAATTAAATTCAAATGATATGATCCATTAGTTCACGGTATTAAACTTATCTTATCATAAAAAACCAAATTTAAATGACTGTAAAATGTGAACAAAACATATCATTTGACGAAATATCTGAAAATGGCGTAATTTAAAATACTACTTTAATTAATTTTTTTTAACGCATAAAACTCATAAAAGAGGTCTAAGCACTATGTTATCTCTTGAATAAATTCATATATTTTAATATGTGGTTTTCATGAATAAAAATATTGAAATAATAAAGTAGTCTTAATCGTTATAATTAAAATATAAAGAACATTTTTTTAAAATAGTCACAATGACGTTTTCTAATTTGCATTTAAATATCTTTTATTGATTGTTTTACCTCTCCAACGGACGTAGCCAAGAGATTAACGATCTTTTCATGGGGCACAGCAACAACGCTCTGATTATTAATCTCGATTATTCTATGGCCCACTCGCACGCCACCCCTTTCAGCAATTCCACCTCTGAGTAGACTACATATTACACCATTTTGTACACTGAAACCTAACTGGTACTTGGTGTCCGGCCTCTTAATTTTCACTTCAACAACTGGAGCGCATGGCACAACTGTAAGCTTCACTACCGTCTGGTTTTTTGAATTCTTGATATAAGTCTGACACGTTGATAACGGTAATCCGACTAGGGATACTCCATTTATAGCTATTATCTGATCTCCAATATTCAACTGACCACAGCGTGCAGCCGCACCGGCTGGCGCAAGATTTGCTATCACTACTGTCGGCAGCATTGAACCCCAACCTGATTCCACTATTACGACACCCAAAATCTCGCCTTTAGCCTTTGGTACCACCACCTAAATTCAGATCTATCTTTAATATCTCATTCTATTTATAGACAACATTCAAAGCCATAGAATTGAATGTATACTAAAATTTACATTTAGTTTCTAATAAAAAAAATTACCTCTTTTTGCATTTCTTTTTTTGCAAACATTTGTAATTCATCTCCAAATATTTCTTGAGAATTTAAAACCTCCTGATAGTCCATTTCTTTAACAAAGCTATGATCTTCAATACCATTAGCTTTGAGAAATTCCATATAAGCTACTTGAAACGCTTGACCAATAGATTGAGCGATAAATTGCGCTTCTTCACTTTCAAAAACATGGCAAATCATCTTTGGTGTTCTATTAATCTTTGGAGCTTCTTCCATCTCATGAGGTACAAAACGTCTTCTTGCCATCAACACTACAAGGTCGCCAATGTCGGCTATATAAGATATTGTCCTTAGAGCATGATCCATCATGATCTCTTTAAGATCAGTATTTAATACCATAATCTTCTCAGTGGATATGAAGAGATCAACTTCAGCGCTTGGTTGTGTTTCACCATCTGGTGCCTGTCAGTTATAAATTCAGTTAAATAACTAATTAGTTACTAAACTCAAGTATCAAACTAATTTATTTACTCACCAATGCCTAAAGTCAAGCGAGCAGCATGTAAGCAAAGGGTGTTAGTTACATCTTTTCTTAATCAATTCATTGTTAACCCATTAGTTAATGCAATTTATTATCTAATACTAATTATATTATGACATAATATGATTATGATATGTATTAAAGTAAAAAATGAAAGTCAACTTATGGATGAAGAGAATTAGAGTTATGAAATGATATGGTATAGGTAATTTTAATGAACTTGCAAACCGTTGTTCTATCGTACATGGAAAACCAGGCTAAACAATTTATATTTATTTTTTAAATTAATTGTGTTTATCACTAGCACATATATTTTGAAGTGAAGCGTGACTAATTTTAATCTTAATTGCGATGCAAAGTCAATAACAGTATAATAAAAGCATTCACTTGACAACATCGAAGCGTAAGTGCATCTCCAGAGAAAAAGAGAGAAAAAATAGTTTTCAAAATTCATATTTTTATTAAATAAAATAATTCGATATTTATTTAATTTACTTTTTCAATCAGAGAATGTTTATTTTTGATAATATTTATAGCAATTCAAATTGTTATAAAAAATTTTTTATGACATAATCTCCTATCATAAATTTCAACTTGGATTAATTGATAACTTTCACTTAAAATCAAAAAAAAATATTTAAGAACTTTTTTAGGTCAATTTTTAACATTTTTAATTGGTGAACTATCTAAAGGTATTTAATGATAAATATTTATAATAAACTATGTAAATAAAAGAAAAGTTTTTTATTCAGAAAACATTTTTTTCTCGCTGTCATCGTAATTTTTAAGCTGGAAATCCATTGTACAATAATTAAACTCGGTTTGCATTGAATCAACAGGAGTTTTTAATTAAAAATAAACAAAACTCACATGCGAAACAAAATGAAAGTAAATAAAAAAAGTAAAACTCAAGCAGTAAAATCAAGCTAACATTAATTAATTTTGATTAATAAAACAAGAAAAAAATTATTTAGGCGCCAACCCTCGGGGCGAAAAAAAAATAGCCAATGGATTTTAAAAATAAATATTGGGTAATTTTGTTAATGGGACAAGCGGACCTTTATCTTAGTGACAGCTTCCTCGACCATGTGCTTCTTAAGACGCTTACGACGTTTGCGTCCCCCTTCCTCTTCCACCTCGACCGAACCGAGAAAATGTAGTCTGAAAACAGTGGTGGGACCAAGCGAGCTACTGATCGGGGCCAGTTTCCCTGACTGGGACGCCAATTGCTGCCCCGTTTCTGGCTGAGCCCCACCGGCTACATTTCCTATCAGCTCCTCGCTCGAGTCACATTCGTCTTCATCAAGGCTTCCCTGGGAGGTTACACTGCAACGGCTATAGCCATGCTGCCCTGCACTCCCATAGTTTAACAGCGCCTGCATTGACACTGGTTCCGGAGCATCCTTCGCAGGATCACACGCGCGCGTTCAACAAACAGACAAACAAAAGGCTCTGCTAGTCACATTGCCAATAGCACCACCAAAAAACGAGGCAATGAGCCAAGGCTTTTCTCAAGGTTGAAACTTATTTACTGAGATCATAAACTATTTTTTTTTGGCAGGTTTACTCTGTTACAAGTTTCAATGTAGTGAATTCAAGAGAATAATGATCAAAGTTAGTTCTCTGTCTATGCTAAACTCTCTTTCAAAGTACTTAGTTGATGACAATGAAAATAATTTGTATATAATCCGCTATGACCAACTACTAATATTTCAAATAATATTTAAAAAATAATTAAATTACAAACGAGAATTATTTAATTGTTTTTTACTATGAAAGCTTGTTTTATAAAGTTTTAATCTTGATATTTTAATAAAAAAATAATTTTTCATGAATAAATAATCCTTATTCCGTTCAAGCTTAATGTCACTAACAAGACTATTTATAAAAAATCAATTTATTTATCGTTAAAAACCTCCAATTAGAATTGTTATTTATAGTTAGCTTATTATTTCTCTCAAGTTTAATTGTTTTTCTAACTTTTAAAATGCAATAATTATTAAATGATGTTAAATAATTTACTTTCTCAGTATTTTTACCTTTATTCTATCACATTCTTTTCTTCTGATAATTAAACTAGATCAAATTATTTCTTTATATTTTCAAAGCTTCTGAGGATCTTTAAAAAATGATTTTAAATTTCATTAAACAATCGCAGTAAGCGCTAGTTAAGCTTTCAAAAACACGTGCACTTAAGAAGCCGATGATAGTGATTATCATTAAGAGCTTAGATTAGTTATTGATTATCGGAAATAAAACATATACTTGTCGTAATCTTAAAAATAATTAAATAACAGTGTTTTTGAAAATTCAAACAAGCCAATTATATTTCTAATATTCATTGACGACTGTTTTTTATGTTATAATACACCGTAAAATGATTAGAATAATTAGTATTAATTAACAACTTCGCAAGATGCAGTTAGTTTTAGGCCAATTCTTTTGTCAACATATCTCATCAGTATATCTACGCATTATTAAATACAATAATAACAATTTTATAAATTTTAACAAAGAATAACAATAATCATATACTTGATTATATAAACATTTACATAGATTTGCCACTCTAATAATTTTTTTACATGCCAATAAGAGACAGAAAATATTAAAGAGATTTATAATTAGATTTCTTAGAGATAATAATTAATTAAATAAATAATAAACATTGAAAAAAAAACATAAAAATTGAGTGACGATAAATTTCGACAATTTTTTTTAGTACAATCAGAAGTGTTATTGTGCAGTTAAGCATATCGTGACAGATACTTAATTCATTTATTATTCTACGAAAAGATACCTAAATTATTACTGGCAAGCATATTTTAGAGCAGAGCAGACGTACGATATTGATAAAATAATTTATTTAAATAATAATGACAATAAAATAAGAATAATAATAATAATAATAAACCGATATAACATTCAGACAGACACATAAAAAAGTTACACTGAGAAGATGACAGTGTTCGGTGGTCGGGTGGTGTTCGTGATGTGAGGAAGGGGGTCGCTACACTGAAACATTCAGGCCTCTTTGCATAGACGGCCAGCTCACGATTAATTAAATTAATTAAAATTAATTAAATATTATAATCTGATGACAAACATATTGAGTTACTGTCAGTAAGAAAATTTTTAGTTTAGACACAATTTCTTTACTCAGCGTGGCTCCTTTATGCGATTTTTTTTAAAAAAATGTTTTATCAACACTATGAACATATTTTTATATTTAAGACTAGTTTATTTAATCGATAAATTAAGTTTTTTAATTTATCAAATAGTCAATGCTCTAAACAATCTAATTGATTGATGATGCAATAAAGTACAATTTAGATTTTTATATAAACACTACTGGAGCTTTCTGCTATAATTACACTGAGCAAATGCACCGTCTAAACACTGCCCAAATTATTTAAACAAAGAAATCATTAAGCTTAAAATAATAATAATAAAATAATAGATTTATTTCTAAGCTGAAAAATAAAATAGATCATTGATTATTTAATTTCACGATAATTTCGAGTAATCAAGATGATAAAATGAAATGATAAATCATATAAGATTGATTACAAAAATACGATAAATTTTATTTGTTAACTTATTATTATATTTTTTGCTTAACGATGCCTTAATTGTAAATAATTAAATAAATATTATTCTTTCTTCTAATGTACATTAATTATTACAGCAATATTTTGCACTCATGGCATTTTTAAATGAATTTTAATGGCAAATAAAATGAGTGTAAAAGCATTCGAGGCATGCTATTATATATTATGGTACATAGTTTTTTTAAGAAATTAATAATCAATAATATTATTGAATAAATAATAATGAGAAAAAATAAAATATGAATATAAAAATAAATTAACATGAAGAAAATATCGAGAAACATGTTACGTTACAGACGATTATTGCAACCGGTATTAATAAATACAATATATAATATTTACATAGTTCATCATAAAAATTTCACATCGAATTTCCAATTTCAAACCATTATTAGCTTTAGTTTCTATTCGTATTAACCCAATAAAGTCATTTTAATTAAATTATAATACAAAAACAAAAACGTACAGATAAAAATAAAATTCTCTGAAATTATATATTTTTTGAATTAAATTTCTATAAATAACAATTAAAAAATCTTTTAATGAAGATTAATCAGAATATAAATGAAATTAAGAAAAAAAAATTCATCAACCATTCATTGACATTAATGGGTTAATTAGTTTTCTGTTAAGATAATAATTTATCATTTTGACTCTTTGATTAATAGTATTTACAATAAGCCAACAGATAATATTATATCTAACTATTGTGTAAATAAATATAATTAATAAATAATAATAAGAGATGTGAAATACAAGAATGTGACAATTATTAATAGTGAAACTTACTTTTATCCTGGAGACAGCCTCCTCTGCCTGACACATTCTCGTAGATTTGGTAGGTTGTCCTTCACAAACCAATTGAGTAGATCCAAGGTATCTTGCACGAAATAGTACACCTTCGATAAGCACTGATGGATCATCCAATAATCCTGCAAGTGGTACACACACACGTGATTTACAGTTTTCATCATTTTCTTTTCCTATCAATTGTCCAAAAGTAATAATAAAGTCATTCGAACAACGAAATAGTTTTATATCAGACTCAATGTCTGAAAATGTAACTTTATTGTCAAGAATGTTTTCAAGCATTGCGTTGAAACTCACAGACACGTCAATAGTAAATGAACATGGTAACATGAACTTAATTACGGGAATTGTTTAGTTCTACCCCACTCTAGATTAAAATATACATGATAATAGAGTCATATAAATTTCATATCTATGTCGTTAATGATAGCTAAGAACTTGAAATGATAATGTAAGATTTCGTTTTTATTTGTTTATCGTAAATATTAACTTTAATAATTGAAACTACTTTCGAAAGAAGTCATTTAACGTTACAAAATGAATACAATAACTAACAACAAGGCGCTAGAAAAACCTTCAAACGCGCCAATCAATTTATGCAAGAATGAGACAAGATTAACTGCATGACGTACAATTCGCATGAAACATAGTTGAATTATGAATACAAGAAAAAAAATATAACATACAAAATAATTTGAATAGATATAGTAGTTATTTAAGTGTAAAAAATGATTAACTTTGAAAAAACAAAAAAGTATTATAAAGAATTATCAGTTAAAAATGAATGCATAGTCTAGTTAACTGCTTCAAATTATATCATGAAATCATTTGAACAGTTTTTTGATTTAATAATATAATGTTTTTAGTGTATTTTATGTTATTAATTTCTTTCCTTCATATTTTTAATACTAGTGATTTATGATTGAAGTAATGAAAGTTGAGATAGATACATACCCAGCGTGTTAGTGACGTAATTCCATGAAGGCAGCGTCGAAAAACGGATTAAGATAAAAATAGTTAGTATAATGTTACTCATAGAATCATAGAATAACTATCAAGTGATCAGTAGAATTATTTAAAATCCCACATCATGCGTTTTCAGCTGAAGAAGTTTGATAAAATTATGATGATTACATCTACAGAAGAAAGTAAAGTATTACCTTCTTTATTTCTGCTCTTTTTCTTTCCTTCTTTGTCCTGTGAATAGAAAAAAAAATGATTAATTATTATTATTTTGTAATAAGAAATTTTCTATTTGAAACTAAGGATCTAATTGCAAATAATTCGAATTTTGCTGACACGTGCTCATAGAAAAAATGGGTTATCATTTATGGGCGTAATTATAATTATTGTCATGCATTCAGAGAATGACATTTTAGAGAGTATTGAAATTTAATAAATTAAAAGTTACGAAAGGATGAAAGGAAAACCTTGGAATTCATACAAAAAAGAAAGGAAAAACGTTTAATAAAAAGAGAAGGATAATAAAAGAGATGTAAAATATTTAATATGCTCTACTTATGCAATTGGACAAGCTCAGAACTTTAGTGAAAGCATAGTTATTAATGAAAAAACTAATATAGTTTTGTATTTTAACGAGGAAAAAGAGCTAAAGCTGTTCAAAGTTTCTAAGAGTTGATTATCTTCATTGATTGATGCAAAAATGATTGATAGTTAAAGCGAAATATTGCAGAGAAATAATTTAAAAAGAAAAAAAATTCTTGAATTGTAATGGATTACTTAAATCTCAGAAAAAATTCTTTTTGTTTATCAGTATTTTTTCTTATTATCAATTCACTTATAATCAGTTACTTGTTAATTTTTTTAAATAAGGAAAAATATTAACATAAATACTACAATTTACTCAATTTATAATTCTAGCATGACAGTATTATTTTTTTCCTTTAAAAAAATTATTTTCTGCACACAATAAAGAATAAAAAAAATACTAAGACAAAACCTATGACAGAAAAAAAGAATCAATAAAAAAAAATCTATGAGGATTTCTAAACGTTCTGAGCACCTTTTTCACCTTGCCGTTGGACTCCTTGAGGCTTTGTGTAGGCGAGGGAGAATTTTTAACCGGGGTCTTCTGGGGACTCGTCGAGGGTTGAGTAGGTGACGTCGCTTCACGTTCAGACGTCGGCGACTGTATTACAGTGACAATAGGAGGCGGGGATATGGATGAAGACGTCGAGGGTAAGGGTTCGGGTGGCGTTAGCGTTTCTAGTGGAGCTACACTCAATGTTTTCGGTGGGGTTTGCTTTGGTGTTACGACTTTGGTACTCATTGGTGGTAGCATTGTCCTAGTTTTAGGCTTCCGCCACCCCTGCATCAACACCAAGTATGAAGAAATTATTAGTTGAGTGATATATCAGCAACTTGGCACGAGACTACGTGCATTAAGGAAGGATTATGTGCACCAATCACCCAGTATGTACTTTTAAGACCAAAAAACTAATAAAAACAATTATCTATTATTTTGATTGACATTTACATTACCTTGTCATCATAAAATCCTTGATCGTCAGTTCTTTGTTGACCAAGGAGTCGATCTGTTTCAAGATCTGTATCTGCCTCTTCTTCATCCACGACTTCTTCCACTTCAACTTCATTTTCATCTTCTCCACGTCGTGCTTCTGAATCTTCACTATTGCTCTCAGTACACATTCGCCGCCTGCCATCCAACATACTATAACTTAGTTAGACATACTTAATTGAGAAAAGATCATATTCAAATGATTATGATTTAAAGAAAATTATTCAAGCTCAAATAAAATCCTAAGTATTTTTTCTTAAAGAGTTGACGTTTTATAATTAAAAATTGGAGTAAAATATCAAAATATACCTGGGGATCCAAATAGGACTGACACTCGGCTCAGGTGGATCTTCGGAGGGAGATTTAACTGGCAGGGTCTTAGTCTTCTGTAAAGCCATCCTGATGTCTTTGATTGCTGCTTCAACCTCTCCGCCAATCTCGAGACTCATACTTTGTCTACCCTGAGGCGCAGGCGGTGGTGGAGTGCCAAGAGGATCAAGACCATCTAGATTCAACTCATTTGTTTCATAAGAATTTTCTTTTTGAGCTATAAATAAATCTGGCGATGTCGCTTTTAATGTTTGAAGTATATCCTTTGTGACATTGAGACTAACATCCTTTCCATTGTCAATATCAGTCCCTAGCATGTCATTTCTCGTCCTTTGAATTATTTCTTTCTCTATCTCATTAATCTGCCGCTTCATTAACATTACCGTGGGGTTATTGTTGTCTGTATCACTTGCATGGCCGCTTGAAAGACCATCTTCAAGCACTGGCATACTTGTATATATTCTTAAAGAGTCTGAATTGTTTCCAAGATCTCCAACAGACCCTAAAAGTCCACTAGCTGGTAGCATCTCATTATCCATCATCATTAAAGACATGTCACTGTCTAAATCACCACAATTACTGTCGCAATCCGTTGATTCAGGACTCAGGGTAAAATTCCGCGAATGACCAACCTGTAGGCCTACTTCAGTCTCTCCTAAATCTTCACTACTGCCAGTTCCCACAGAAAGATCCAAAAAGTTATTTTCGTGCTCATTCTACAAAAAACATGTTATTGGTTTTTTTAAAACCTTTTATGAGATTTAAAACTAACGTGGAATTTAATTGATACTATTTATAGTAAGTAAAAAAAGTTTCTTACAGTTGGTGGAAACTCTGGTTTTTGTTTTTTAGGAGATTCATGTACCATAACCTCTTCAGTATTTGGTAATCCACTAGCTAAGCGTTGACCAACATAAGAATTACCTCCTTGTCGTCGTAACTCATAGTCTAACTCCTTTAATGAAAAGAAAAATTAATATAGAAATGAAAAATTTGTTCAAAGAAAAAAGATTACAATTCAGTGGAAACTTTACCTGAAAAGGAGCTGATTCTCCATTGTTTTCTTTTTCTTTAGTAGGAGCAGGGCATTTAAAAAATTCTTCCAGGACTTTGCGAGTTTCCGAGAACTCATAAAGATAATCAAAAGTACTTCCCCCAGGTGTGACGAGACTCGAGAGGTTATCATTACTAAGAAACGATGGCTTGAGAAAATCTTCTACTTCTTCTTCTAATTTAGTTTCTGAACTCTGCGTTGCAGGCTCAATGCTAGGGATTTCCTCAGTGGATTGAGAAATAACCATGAGATTATCACTTGTCTCTGTCGTAGGACTTGTCGTATCAACGAGTACCTCAGTAACTGGCTCTTCTTTCGGCAAGTAATCAGTCTCCTTTTCTTTTTGGTTAGGTGTTGTGGGTAATATTCTTTGAGGAAAACCAGGTCTTGGAGTCATGTATATCGAAGGAGATGATAACAGACTTGGTAATCGTGAATTTTCTCGAACGCCATAACGTCTAGGACTTCCAGAATACTGAGCAATTGGTAGTTCTCCAATAACTCTAGCTACTTTATGATTTCTTTCAGGTGATGGTGAATTAACTTCACAGTCACTCACCGGCGTAATCACCTAGAATAGCAAAGAGAAAGAAAGAAAGAAAGAGGTTCTAATTAGTTTCGCATGTGCGAAGAGAAGACTGGAATGATAATTAGTGCAGCTGTGAGTACTTGGCAAAGAGCTCTTAAAACAGCTGGGTTATTCTGATGACAATAGTTTCTAATAAAACAATAATTACCTTGAAGAAGTCTGAAGTGTTTCTGGAATACGATGTTGGACTCGGGGTATTTCCAACACTTGATCCAGGAGGATCTGGTGGAACTCGTCGCTGAACTTCATCTTGTTCGGAATTTAAACAACTAGTGTTAACATTAACTTGTGTTGTGTTGTTGGTTGGCCCAAGATCCAGCCTCAATCCTTGCCAGTTGTCATCAATATCATCAAACACAACAACTTCACCATCACTTACAATTGCCATACTTCTTGCGGGTGTTGTATGATTTGATTGATAATCTACGCAATTCTTGGGTAGTCCATAATCAAGATCAGTTATACTTTTCGGCACTGAATATTCTACATTATTACTATTAAAAACTGAGTCATAGTTAATTATTCGATTGCCACGAGTTATATTTGGTGAGTCATAATCAAGGATTGATTTTGTAGGATTACGACGAACTGAATGAATTTCTGAAGAAAATACTGTTTCGGTTATTTCGCGATTAGATCTTTGCCGTTTTGGTTCTCCACATCTAGAAAATAAACAAAATACAATGGTGATTAAAAATTTGCAGAAAATATCAATAACATTGAATAATAGCTTTTAATAAAAAGGTCAAAAATACCTGCTTCGGAGTTCCCAAACACTGTGTCGGCTGGGCGATTTACTATTTTTTTTCACACTCAGCTTTTCTGAAGTAGACTCATCGTTAGGCACGGACTTTGAAGAGGTCAGAAAACGAGGTTTCCTGGCAGCAACTTTTCCTCTACTCTGAGAGAAAACCTCTCTTCCTCCTGCTATTTCAATAATCCTAGAATATAAAAATTCATTTCAAGTGTCATAACGTGTGCCAAATATTACTATGAAAATAACTAACCGATCGAAAATGAAAAATATGAGAAAATTTGAATAATAAAGTGATCAGTTTATTTTTCTCTTTCTCTATCTTTTTCAAACTCACCACTTGCTAACCACTTGTTAATGAATACAAGCAGAAAGTACACAAGCATGTGCTTTGAAATAATTTTGAAAAGTCAAACCGAAAATTTAACTCCAATACAATCGAATCAATAAAATAGTTTGTCAATGACTTAGAACTTTACGTATGAAAAAAAATTATAATTTGACATATTTTGGTTAAGATTTATATCACAGATTGTTGATACGGCTGCGTTTGCTCACATAAATACGCCCCCCTCAGCATGTGGTATTTTTCGTCAAAACGAAATACTTCCGATTGCGCTGCTATCGACTTCCTTTCTTTGAATTTGAAATTTATTCGACGTTCTAGTGAGTATATAGAGATGAAAAACGACTGTACTAGTTTGCAATTTAAAATCAATAATACCCTGAATCAGATTCAAAGACTTTTGTATAAGCAATGAGAGTTTTGAACTCATCAAAGTGTTTATATTAACTCATAACTGTTACATTTAATGACGAAATATGTTATTAAAATTGTATTCAAAATTATATATAGCATTAAATGATTTAAAATCTCATGATAATTGATTCTATGGCTTATCAGGAAATTTATCTAAAAATGTTTCATTAATAAATCTCATTTCAATAATCCAATTGATATAATCTAACCCTAATATTACAAATGCAGTAGTTATTTGCTGCATTTATTTACAACTCTTTTCAGAGAGAATTAATGACTGAAATTTCTTTTTAAAAGTTTCAGAATAAATTTTATTCAAAAATTTATTTCGTTCTCTACCCTCTAGTTTTTCTCTCATTAAATTGATTTATTATTCAAACAAGAATATTTAATTAGACACAGAAAAAATGTTTTTTTTTTCTATAAATAGTTAATAAATTCCAGTTAAGACAATACATTTTAAAAGATTTATCTTTTAAAATTAATAAATGATATAAATATTTTAATTACATATCAGTAATTAATTATTATATTTTGCCTTTTAATAAAATAATTATCAATGAGTCTTTTAAATTAAATTAATGGTGAATAAATCGTTATTTTTTGTTATATTAATTGATAAAGAGTAATGAATAAATTTACCGAGAATCTCGTAGTTTATAACTTCTATCTCCTTTGGCTGATGTTAGAATATAAACAGGACCTTCTTCAGGACCACTATCATCCTGTTGAGATTGTGCCTGATGATCACTACCATGTAAACTTCCATAATTGGGGGCATCCTCACTCCTACCAGATGCTGATGATGATGAGCTGGAAGACGCGGGCTTGGCAGTCATCACGTTATGTTGCTGATGTGGTGTCTGCTGTTGTTGTGTTCCCTGGGTCTGGGTCTGAGCCTCAAATCCCGGCATCACGCTCGCCGTCCTACGGGACAGCGAACCTGATTTTTTCCTGCGACTCGTTGCTCGTTTTCTACACCTACGAACGTAACTTGGAATACTTAAAAAAATGATAAAATGAAAATAATGAAAATAAAATCAAATAAATCAATAACATAATAACAGAAATAAATTACGTAACGAATTTATAAAGCACACACATTATAAAAAATAATAAAAGTTAACTCAATAAAAATCAGATAGATATAAAAAAAAATATTCGCGAGCAACAGGAGATCAGATTATTTTCTTTCCTTCTGCCTCATCTTTTTTATTTAGTTATTTTTTATGTATATATATTTTGTGCCCTCTTTTACAGTAGGAAAGGAATAAAAAGGTGAAGGTAGGAATAGTACGATCGATATTGTTGCTCCAATTTTCAATGAAGAGTAGAGAAAACAACTTTCACAGAAATGTATATACTTGTTTGTGCACATGCATTTTACATTTAATAAGAAATATAATTTTAAATAGAAAAACAATTACTGAACCTGAGAAAATATTTACAGTAAATTTTTCTAACAAAATACTCTTTTAAAAACGTCATAGTCATGAATTTAATATTGTTAACTCTTTTTATAAAAGGAAACATTCTTACATTATACAAAAAATACGATAAATTTTAAAAGAGAATAGCTCCACAATTAGGACGGAGTTTTCTTTCAGTCAAGAATATATTTTAATGTTTATTCTATCTGTAAAGCTTTATTTCATGTTCAATCTATATTTTCCTTGATTAAAAAAATTTTCTCTCCGTTATTTCTCACTAAGAAGCCAAAAGCTTTTATATTATGAAGAAGAAATGTATTATTAAAAATCGTAAAAAAAATATTTCCTCATTCCAATTAATCTTTTTCTCCTTTTAAAGAATATATTTTTTTCTCTGTGTAGGGAAGCGCAGGTATCAAATTACGACGAGAACAGAAAAGAAAAGAAGCAAAAATAGAACGAAAAAGAAAAGAAAAATTCTAAACTCGTCCAGAGCACAAATTGCTCCCTTAGTACACATAATTGAGCTGCAAAAATTGCATCCTTTTCAATACATCACAAATGTGATGATCCTTTTGCTGTAGTTTTAGGATCTTGAGCCAATACAAAGCCACCAAAGCGCTTTTGTTGGTTGACACGTTGACTTGCCTGTCGGTGTTGTCGTGCTCCAGGTCAATCATATCGGATACAGGGAAGCCAGTTGATGCTGTTACGACGCTCGTTGACGATGATGACGACAACGAAGACGACGTGAGTGCTGGTTCCAGCTTCTTGATAATACCACGACGATCATGCGACTGTTGGTGATAGTGCTGGCCTGGATTCTGTTGATGCGATCCTGCCCCCGAGTCCGGGGGATGACCGCCCCTAGGCCGGCATTTCGGAAAAAGTCGGTTTAAATCCGCGTTCTCCAAAATCAAACTTGTCATCGCCACCTCCAATTCATTTCGCCCGAGGTTGTGTCCATTCTGTAACTAATTACAATTCATTATTAAAATCTTTTCTTTTAATCAAGTTTTATTTTTCTCTGTTTCTTTCTAATTATTTTTAGCTAAGCTCTTTATCAGATATTTCATCATAATCCGTACAAATCTGATTTTCTTTTTATCATTTACTTTTTTAAAAAATTAATTAAATTAAAAGTAGAACAAATTTTTCAGTAAATATTTCAAATTTATTAATCCAAAGTTTATTAGTCGTAATATGAATTTCACTGATAAGAATACTCAAGAAATAAACAGAGAATAAATATGATTATTTAAAGAGAAATTAATTCTCCACTAAACGAATTAAATAAAAAAAAAATGAGAGAAGCAGTGCAGTTAATTATGGTAGTAGTTAATGAGCATCACTTATCTCATGTTAATTACGTGAATAACAGAATTTTAAATAAAATCTAATTAAAATTCTAAATCCATATAGATTTATAGTTCACTTATCAAACTAGGCATGAAATCCATTTGTTGGCGTCCCAATGGATAGTCTGATAGGTGAAAACACACGAGCTTGGAGCTCAATTTAGCGACGTGACAACGCAAACCACCAATGTGATTACTTCATTAATTGCCATACGAATTTTATTGGATTTCACAGATTAATAAAATAATCCTAATTCTCTCGAGAGATTAAAAAAAAATCAATGAAGATTATTGGATTATTCAATGAAGAATCTTGGAGTGGTTGAGTTTACTCAAGCACTTAAAGCTTGAGTAAACGCGAAACTGATGGAAAAGAAAAGTTTACTCATCTGAAAAGAATTAAGATTGAGTATCCTAGTGGCTATACATCCGGTAAACATTTAAGTGCAACTTAACTAGCGATAACTTTGTCATCGAACGCTCGTATCACGGCAATTAAGATGACGAGATTGACTTTAATTGTGACGAGAAATATCGAGAGAGATTCTAACCTTATACAAGGATACACTTATTCAAGCATTCAACACTACAGCTTCTTCTCAGGTATATCAATACAACTTCATTCTCTATTTTTCTAATTTTTTTTAATAAATTTATCAATCAAAACAATTAGAATATATTTATCATCTCCAATTGAATGGAAAAAATTTCTTTTAGAAAATATTGTACGAGTAAACTTATCATCTTCTACATCAGAAACTTTTTGAGTGCACCAGCTGTTTTTCAACAGCTTCACAGACGAAAAAACACGTGGATATTACCTGTTTGACAGAAATTCATCTTGCAAATGAAATTCTGCGATTATATTCAACAAGAACTTTCGACGTTACTGCTTTTGTTGAAAGTTGTTGAATATTACAAAGAATCTATCTTTATTCAATTCTTATTCTTCTTTATTTCTTTATGCTCTGACACGTTTCCTTTTTCTATCTTTTAGTTCAATTGTTTACATGAATACAGACAATTCAACAATCTAGTGACAATTTTCACGTCGACAACTCCACTCCCCTAACTCACCAGCCGTAGTTTCAAGCGTTACGAAAACTCGAAAGTTAGTGAAAAGAGGAAGTAAAGTAAAGACGTCTCACATTTCACACGTTATGATGTAAACACTTCAGGCTTAGTTCCAATCCAAATTTAATTATTCCTTGCTAGTAAAGTTGGTAAATTTAATAACTGGAATTAGTGTCCTTATTTAATTAATTTGATATCCAACTCATCTATTTAATATTTATTTCCTTTAATCTAATATAATTTTCGCTTTATCTTCAAAAAAACATTTTCAACGAAGCAAGAGAAATTGGTTAATATGGCGGTGTTAATAATGCCATGATATTTTTATTGATTTTCTGGATTTTAAAGGTCGAACTTTTTCACTGATATTAAACGAAAAGTTAAATTCAATTAGTTTGGACTATTGATTCAACAGTTAGCAAAGATAACCTCTTTGTTTTTGAATGTATTTGTAAAAAAGAACGTTTCATGGTAATAAAAAGTAAATATTGTTAAATAATCGCCAGTCAAATGTGATTTTAATGAATAATTTTAACCTTTTAGGCTGAAAAGGGGAATCATAGATAAAATAAATGACAATTGATGAAAATAATGAACTACATGACATTACAATATGATGGGAGTGTTACTATCACTCTTGTGCAATCTCGTTCATCAATTGAAATTGCTTTTGACATTGACAAATAAATCAAAAGTAGCTGAAGTTGTTCGGACATCCTCGTATTCCCAATTATTTATTCATAAATATTCTGTCAGTTAAAACGAGAGGATATTCTGACTGGCATTTCTCTTCAATTACTGTATAGCATCTATCAATTTAGCGGAATAATAATCAAATTACTTCCAAAACAGTATAATATTTGCATAAAACTTGTCATTATTTTTGGAAACAAAACTTATTTAAGTAGAACAACTATAAGTTAAGTTCAGTGTGTTGTTTTTTGAATTTACTCAAGACAAATCACTGAAGAGGAAGCAAGTAAGAATGCTTTTGATCGATTTGAGAGACCCTTGGGAGTCCTGTCGAAGCGGTATGAACGTGAATAAAGAGCATAGGCAAGAAAACATGACAGAAAAAAAGGGGAAAAGAGCAACGAAAAAGCGGTCGACGTAAGGGTGGCAGGTGGTCTGTTAAACTACATTATTTTCTGGGCATTGACGATGGTCTTTCAAACACTCATTGGATAAAATTTGTAACAATTTCAAATGTTTATAATCCTTTAAAAGACTTTGTAGTTTAAAAAACTTTTTTCCCTAGAAACTAGAAAAGTTTTTATTACTTTAATAATTCACTCAACTCTTCCAATAAAAGTTTTGTATCATTTTAAAAGACAAAAAATGGAAAAATTATTAAATAAGTGATAAATTAGTTATACAATGATCTTATTAATTTTTTAAATACAATAGAAGACGGGTCAAGATAGTTAAAAAAAAATATGTCTAACAAGTGAATGCATTATTTAATGTTGGATCTTAAAAAAAGAAGATGAATCTAAGAGAGAATTTTAATCACTTAAAACTATTCTTATAAGAGCTTCTATAATGATTTATTCACGTGTGACAAACGTTTAGTAGAGAGAAAAGCACAATTCTCTCAATTCCAGTATCGAATAACTCACAAAACAATAGATAAAAGAGAATTCCACATGTTGAAATGAATTTACTTGATATTAAATAAGAAGAAATTGATTTAATATAAACATTTAGTAAAAGAAACACCAATATACATTTATTTGAATAATTTACCTTTAATAACACAAAAGACGAGAACTTTGAAATGCGGAAATAACGAATTTAACAGTTGAAATAAAAATTAAACATCATAGAAACGGATAAACGTGTAGTGATGAAACAACAGACAAATTGAGTATATAATAGAGAATTTAATTTGTAGAATGCAAGCAAAGAGTAACATTGGGCTGAAAAGTTGTGTTGAAAACATAGGGAGGGGTCGTAACTACGAGGAACAGGCGATACGTCAGCAAGAAGCCTGGTGGATGAAGGGCGAGAGAGAGTTAGTGGAAGGTAGAGAGGGTGTAGGCAGTGAGCGGGTGAGTGCGGAGGAATCAATAGGAGGTCACTGGCACCAACAGATACAATCGGCACATTTCAAGTGCTCGTGGACGTTGCCAATGGACGCATATTCAATTGCACTTAGGAAATACCTCTGTGGCTTGTTCATCCTTTACCTACTATTTGATGCCACCCTTACCTCAAGTATTACCTTCAGAGTGTTTCGAGTGCTTTCATCGTCCTAGCAAAAAGGATTCATCGGCGCCGGCGCGTAAAACGACTCGTTAATTTCTCACTGCTTGCTGAGGACTTTACTTTGGATTTTCTTCTCACAAGGAAATGCTTCTAAGAGCTTTCAAAGGCTTTACAATCGATAGCTTAAGCTTCAACATAATTTTCGTTAACTAGTAAACGTGGACAATAGCCCTAGATTTACTGATACTTTTGAAAATCTGATTAATTATTAAAGCCATAAGAGAAAAAATTATTAATTAAATTTTATTCATGATAATACTTTCTTAATTAATGTATGAAGACGTCTGCTGGAAACAAAAACAACAACACTCTGAAAGCTTCAATATAATCGATAGCTAGAGCTTCTCGACATTGTCTTTGTTGACTGTAGATATATTTAAAATACTAATCTGCATTACTTTAGACTCATGAAGATAACATAATTAGATGTTTTAGCTAATAGAATGGTATTTCCAATTGAATCTAAATTCCCTGATGAAGATATTCGAAACTAAATTTTCTCTAAAAATATTACTGAATCAATATTTTATTGTTCTTTATATTGACTTTAATAACAAATGATTACTGGCATAAAAAAATAAACTCAATAAGTATTCCAAGTTACGAACGAAATGATGTCACAATATTTAGTAGTGAACCAGTCTGTTAATGATCAGACGAACTAAAAGGCCATCGAAACACGCTCTTGGAGATAATAAAAGACTTGAAAACTTCAAAAGATTCTGAAGAAATCAATATTCTAAGCTTTTTGACGATACTATATTAGTTTTAAACAGGATGGAAAATAATTTGGAATTTGCTAATATCTGAGGGAATCAATTGAATTAATGATCAAAGCAAATTTAAAATGAGAAAAAGCTTAAATCTTGTAATAAAGTGAATTTTGAAAGCCACAACGAAGATTGTGAATAAGTTTTCATGGATGAAAATGCTTACTTAATTGGCATATGGAGAAATTTTAAGTGAAAAAGCCATCAAAATTCTCAAAGCTTAAAAGTTGAACGTGTGCCAGGATCGACAAAAGAACAGTGTCGGCACAAAACGAGTAATACGTTTGCAAATTGTAGGGTATGAGTATGAGAAGTTCAAAGCTCCCTTTTACACCTTCATCCTTTCCGCTCCTTCATCTGTCGTGTCTTCAAAGAATCCCAAGTTTCTCATCGTTGCTGGTGGCTCTTCATCTTCACGTCTATTTGAATAGGTAAAAGTATATGTTGGAATTTAACGCCTGCACAACGCGAAAGCTTGTAAAAGGAGAAGCAACCACAACGTGTCTCGCGTGGCCACGATCGATCGATCCTCTGGTCGTCTATATTGCCACTATGTCGTTGTATTATGTGTGCCACATGGATATATCCATTCTGCATACGATAGCCCTGCTACACAAGACAGAGAAGAATTGAGGTTTCCATGAAATACTCGTTTGCTTTACATTCATTTTATTTTTAATTCGTAATTTGACCAATTTACCTGCTCTGTACAATAACCTGCTTTTGATAAACAATCTTCTTGGACTTATTTTTTTGCATCTATTTATTTTTCTTCTATCAAATCATTAATGTTTATTGTTTTTAAATGCATTAATAATTCGTCACGTATTTATATTTTGCATATTTTTTTCTCTCAAAGAATTACTGTAAAAGACTCTAATCAATAGTTTGATAACTGAGATTTGAACTTTTTTCAACTTAGCTATTATACGATAGTATTAAAGAGACTTTGCTGATTACCATTTTGGAGTAATTGACTTGAATGACCGACTGCACGTATCATTTAATTTTAATTAATTTTAAAACCTTTTTCATTTAAAATAAAAGTATTTATATTGAAAAATTTAAATCAGTATGAATTTATAGAAAATTTCATCAAGATTAAGTTGTAATTTTCATTTAATTATTATTAATAATAATAATTGAAAATGAAATTTAGCATTTAATATTGAAGACTATGAAAGTTTTAATAAAGAAAACAATTCGAAAAATTAATTCTTATTCTAGTACTATCGATTATAATAAAAAATCTTTGCTAAATTAATTATAAACTTCTTTAAACGAAAGTCTATTATTGGTCCGAATTTAAGATTCACTCATTAATTATTTATATAATTCACATGAATAAATGCATTTGAATTCATTAACCTGTGAGATTCGATACTGAGGCTGTTGCTCCAGGTACTTTAATTATTAAATCAACTGATTTACTTTTTTTACTTCAAAGTTTTTTTTCATCTTTAATACAATCTTAGGTATTACTAAACAAGCTATTCTGTAGGATTGGAATCGATCAATAAACATGCTATTAATCGAAATATTGTGTACCAGTAAACTAAATTGAAAATTAATTTCATCGTTACAGCAGTTTCTACATCTAGACCATCATTCTCTCATCTCCTTCTCTCACTCTGTATGTGATATTGCATTTCAAAATCGTTTATAGCACGACGTACATTAGGGAACAGCCGCATTCATCGACGTTGATCGGGAACGATGGAGTTTGAAACGAGTTTGCGAGAATGAGAGAAGCTGATAAATAGATCGAGATGGGCAATAAACGATGATATGAAGTGAGAGATTTCAATGTGTAGCGGATATCACTGTTGGATTGTTCAAATTTTTTTTTCGTCACCAATAATTTTCATTCCAATTTTTTCTCATCATTCACATGATTAATGTGTTCTGAGTGCTCGTAGATTATCATTCGATTTTTGTTGATGATAACAAAATCGAGTTAAAACAAATCTAGGGTAAAAACATAAAAATGAAAAGTTGATGTAATACTGACAATGGTTGTGATGAAGATATTAAAGAGTATTTAGTTAACAACACCAAGTATTTATAGCTTGAGATGTCGGTACAAAAATCGTGGGTTTATTGATTGAACGAGTGATCGCACGAGGAAGAACATTCGAAGCGTTTTCTCGTGGTCGCATGAACACGACACTCGTATATAATACATACATACACTTAGATGCTTTTTATATCGATTTTCTCGAGTAAAATGCTGTTCTGCTGCGGCAGGTGCAAGGTTTACCAAGGCATGGTGTTTACAGCAAGGCCTTACTCACCCCCAGAACACATATCGGGGAGAACATGAGTCATATCACTTGCACATGAGCGGAAGAAATAAAGGGGGATAAAGATAATATAAAGAAATAGGGGACGTTAACCGGATTTTCCTAGGACACGTCATTGTCATTCCGCAGACACTGTCTAGAAATTAGAGGAAAATGGTCACATAATACTCGTAACCGTGATAAATTAATGTGATTGGTGTCTGCAAATGAAAACTATAACTTTCTGGGAATGAATTAAAAAACTTTTTGTCGCCATACTTGAACGCCGTCATGATCTTCTCATTCTCAATGGCCGAATATTCACGCTCTTCATGATTTCCACAGTCGTTGCAATATTCAAACTTGGGGTTGAATTTGATTAATGACAACCCCACCCTACATGTTGAAGAAACGTGTTCACAAATAAATGTTTTCGACTAATTCAATGTCTGTTACATTGATGATTTGAAAAACAAAAAAGGGATTGGATACAATTAAGGATTGACATGTCGTCCTGAAGAAAAAAGTAATCGATCCAACATGTTAGTGTATCTCACATCAGCAAACACAAGAATCTCACCCAACCGGATGCCCTCGTTCGTTCTGATGGACGAAAGCAATAGTACTATACACTTCTAGTGTATTCCAAAAAAGAAAATGCTAATCCAACAAAGCCTTATATTTCTTCTGTTGATCCTTTACCTTTTATCCTGGATTACAAGTCACGCACTTTCTTCTGGCACTTGATTTTCAACTGACTCACAATTGCACACCGGTTTTTCTTTGCCGAATACCGTATCACGGAAATGCGAGAAAGATTGTGTCGCGGCGAAGTAGAGAACAGCCACTCGTTTCGCTATTGTAGCACAGGCACTTTCACAAGGGTGGTGTTTCTCCGTGACAGAAAGAGAGGGGTGGTTTTGGTCTTGTCTGCTTTGGTAGATGGCAGTACTGACGTTTTAACAGACACCCTGAGTAATATTCGCAATCACGTTTTACTACCCTGTCAACACTTTTATGATCACAAATGTTAGAACTTTTCACCTGAAGAACAAGAAATTCTGTAAATTTTAATCATCATAAATTTTTAAAACATAGTACTATTTATATTTATTTGAAAAAAAAATTATTAAAAAATTTCCATCAAAAAATAATAATTAGAATTGATGATGAAGAGTAGGTATTTGAATATTTTATGGATTTAGGGCAAACAATTTGGATAAAGAGTCTATTAACTGAAGTTCATTATTCAATTCATTTGTATTATTTGTCGATAAAAAATGATTTATTATAACAGGATTCTTCAAGTTTTTTATAAGGAATCAAATTATTAATATTACTGTAGTAAAGATGGAAAATATTTCTTACATTTGTATGTCCATCATTAGATTATATACAAATTGTTGAAGAATTATTTCTTTGTTTTTATTAAGCTTAGTTTATTTTTTAACAATTTGAATAACATCCTCATCGTGCATTATATGCTGTATTCCTACCCTTTGCGGTGAATACTTGGTACTCGTGCCCTACAATATTGCAAATTAAATGATGAGTTGATGAAGATTTATTTGAGGATGTAAAGATTAATGAAACCTACCCAAACAAGGGCGTATTTAAATTGAGCAACGAGACTACGATGAATGGCATGACACACATGCTCCACAGTTACTCCTTTACGAAGAATTAAACCATCCCCAAAGTCTGGAGGTTGGCCAGGTTTCTTCGTGTAAACTCTAATTAAAGATAGATATTCCCAAAGTGTTTCTAATAAGAAATCCAAGTTCAATTTCATATTACAACTGAAACAAATTATTCTCTCAAATTGATGGCAATATAAAAAAATACATTTAGTTTCATTAGAATACTTACCTAACTACAACACTGTTAGGCTGCCGTGCAATTCTATCTACTTCTTCAATAGAAATTTGATCGATTTTATTATAAACATAAAGGCATGGTAGATAAACTCGATTAGCATTGATGACATCAATTAATTCATCAGCACTACAATCTTCTCTGAATAAAACTTCAGCATTAAATATTTTATATTCATGGAGGATCATTTGAACTAATTTCTCATCAACTTTAGTTAATGGGCATGTAGAATTGAACGATAAACCACCTCCTTTCTTTATCTTGAAATAAATGTTTGGTTTTTGTTTATTGAGCCTAATGCCTACAGACTCCAATTCCTTTTCTAAAAGGTGCCTCTGAACGTCTTGTTTTGTAGCATCTAACATCATTAATACCAAATCAGCTGTTCTTGCAACTGCTATTACTTGACGTCCTCTACCTTTGCCCTATAAAAAAAGTTGTCAATAATTTAGAGTAATGACAAAATGAACTGAGTTCTTTATTTATCAAAGACTATATATTGAATAATTTACCTGAGCAGCACCTTCAATAATACCAGGCAAATCTAACAGCTGTATGTTAGCACCTTTATATTCAATAACCCCAGGAATACAAGTAAGGGTTGTAAACTCGTAAGAAGCTGCTTCTGATTGTGTATGAGTTAAAGTGCTTAATAGAGTAGACTTTCCCACAGAAGGAAAACCAATAAGTGCTACTCTAGCATCTCCAGATTTTAAAACATCGAAGCCTTCACCTTTTTCAGATTTTTTTGAAGGCTCCAATAATTGTGATCTATACTTGGCGAGTTTTGCTTTCAAGAGACCAAGATGATACTCAGTTGCTACAAAATAAGAATATTTCAGATACCAAGTAATTGGCAATAATTGATTTTGATTAATTTGTAATAATCAAAATAAAAGTTTCTTACCTTTATTTTTTTGAGTTCGAGCAATTTCCTTTTCAATTTCTGATATTTTCTCTAAAATACCCATGTTTAAATTCAGTTAAATTTATTTAAACCGAAATAACATCAAAATATAAAAGTTCCCATGAATTAGCTTAAATTTAATTAATTATGTTAATTTATAATAATTGAGGTTATATTAATTTTCGCAAAACTTCACGTATTTTACGATTTTTTTTTTATTTTTTCAATGGTCAATTTATCTCATTTACATTTGATCTTCGAAAATTAATCTAAATAAGTTCACTTTTCATGCATAAAATCAACAAAGAAAATGAAGGAACATTAAACACAGAATATCGGGAAGGGAACTGACCATCGCCATTTATTTATTAAATATGGCGTCGAAAATTCTAAAATATTCACTAGCGCCCTCTCAACATACTACATATTATCTACAAATGATATCTTGAGATCTGATGTAAGAAGTATACATCAAAATTAGTTGATTGTTATATAGCTCCAAAAATTACATTCTTTGTGCTCTACGTTTAATTTTATTTTTTATAACAATGTTTTTTAGTGTTTAAAATTAGGTGTAGTGTCGATTGTCTTGGCACAAACATTTGTTTTAACTAAAAAACAGTTTGGTAAGTAAGTGAATATTGTAATGGCACATATAATTGCTATCAATAAATGACGTGTTGATTAATTACGTGGTTTTTCTTTGTAAAAAAAATGTTATTATTATAGGTAAGGTAATGAACATAAACCGCTAAAAGAATGGCATCAAACAATCAGTGGCCTCCTGTGACCTCGGCATCCCTCAGTGGAGGTCAAGGTAGAAATAAAAATAATGATAGTAACAATCAGATTACGGAAGATCAACAACAACTAGTACTTAACATTGTCACAGAAATGTTTGAAAGTACTTTGGAATATGACGTAATTATTTCTATTGCTGAAAATTGTAATTGGGATCTTCAATCGACTATTGATGCTCTTATTGCTCTTTCAGCAACAGTAGAAAATAATAGTAAATCATCAGTCGATGTTTCTTTGCCAATATCTCAACTAAATAAACAAAGAAGTTATTCCATTCCGAATACCCCTTCTAATGATTTTATAAAAATAGATAAAAGTGAGTTAAAACAACAGTTAGAAGGACTTACAAAGTTTGAACAACTTAAAATGAATTTTCCAAAAAATCGAATGGATTCTTTTCAAGGAAACATATCAAAGTTAGGTGCAAGTTTGAATGAAACTTTAACTGATATTCCAGCCGATAAAGTAACATTAAATTTTCCTTGGAGTACAGTCATTGATTTAAAGAAAAAGGACGAAAAAAAAGTTGAATATAACAATGACAATCCAAATCTTGCGTCTCAAAATGTTCATACAAAAGAAAAACTATACGAAACAATGAGTGATAACTCAAGTTCGAATTTTAAAGATCTTACCTCGAACTTTGGAAAACAAAGTGAAACGTCAAATCCTCTTAAGCAATCAAATGTTCATAACGATACTAAGTTTTGTGGATTGAAGGTTCATTACCGCCAATCTGGAACAGAGAGCAGTTCAGAAGATGATGACGCTGATGTAGTAGTAGAAGAAGAACTTAATGACTTTGATAGTCAATCAACAATTCCTATCAATGTCTCTCAATTTTTATCATCATCGTCATCATCATCATCATCATCATCATCATCATCATCATTCGTTCAATCGTCACCTAAAAATATTCCAATTAAAAAAATAGAGACCAAATCCGTAGAATCGCCATCGAAATCTTCAAGAAAAACAGCAGGAAAAGAAGTTCAATTAGAATCAATAAAGTTTGCTATTCGAAATAATGCTAATATTTTGATCCTTCTCAGAGGATTACCGGGAAGTGGAAAGACAACATTTGCTAACAATTTAATAGCTTCAACTATAGGAAAGAATCCTTCTTCTTATGTTTTTAGTACTGATGACTATTTTACATCACCTAGAGGTGTTTATACCTATGATCCTATTAAAATTGGTGAAGCTCATAGTATGACTCAATATAAAGTCATGCAAGCTATGAAGGAAAGAAGAACTCCTATAATAATTGCTAACACCAATCTGCAAGCATGGGAAATGAAACCTTATGCAGCAATGGCAGTTAAATACTGTTATTCTGTTGAAGTTCGAGATATGGACACGCCATGGGCTTTCAAAGTTAATGAATTAGCAAAGAAAAATTGTCATGGTGTTCCAAAAGAGAAAATCAAAACAATGCTTGAAAAATATGAACGAGGAATTACCGGAAAAAAACTCTTAGAGATGTTTTCTTTAAAGTATCCAAGGAATATGATGCTGAAAAAAATTAATAGAAAACCTTTTACAGCAAATATAAAGTCTCATAATGATGATATACTTTCTTCTGCAGACATGGAAGTTTTGCAACAAATAGAAAATCTTCCAAGTATGACAAAATCAGAAGACGAGCATATTGAAAATAATTCAAAAAATTTTACAAATAATAAAGATATGTTCAAAGATTATATGAAGACTTTTGGAAAACCTGATACTTCAAAATCAGAAAATATGACCCCAGAAAAAAATAATGAACAAAGTAAAAGCAATGATAATAACGCCACATCTAACAGTGATGACAATCACTTACTCCAACCATTAGGTGCTATTGGATGTGAAAGAAAAAATAGTTTAGTAAATTTAGATGTTATCAATTTACCTAAGGAAACAGAAGTCTTGAATCAAGATGGCGATGAAAATATTTTATCAAAATGTTGGGATTTTACATTGTGTTTAGATGGTGAAATTCTCCATAGTGATCATAATCATGAGTTATATCAATGTAAAAAGCCAACAGGATCTCCAATAAATGCTGAAGAGATGAGAAAACAGGATGAAGAGTTTGGTAAAGAAAATAGTAGTGGAAGTAGTAGTGAAAATAATGATAATGAGGCTGAAAAGATAGATGAGAATGATAAGGAAAGTTCTTTAAATGATGAAAAGAACAAAATGGATGAGTTTTTCAGAAAATTAACTGCAGAATATAATGAAGGCGGATCTAGTTTTGAAGTAAAACAATCAACTGTGGTCATTACAGAAATTTTTGATGAAGATAATAAAAAAGAAGCAGACCTAAGTGAATGTGAAGATGCGATTATAGCTGAAGAAATAAAAGAAGATAATCATGTAATAAAGAATGACGGAACTTATAAAACTAAAATTGATGGTGATATAGAAATAATTTTATCTGATAAAGACGAAAAGCTTAACTATGTAGACGTTCAAAGTGATTCCAAATACTCAGAAGTTGAAGAAGCAATTAAGGAATTGATTGCTGATGGTAGTATTATCGGAACCCCAATGGAAATAAAGAAAGAAGAGTTAAAAAATATCAAAGATCCTAAAAAATTAGCATCTAAATCAACTTTAGGATCATTATTCCATATTATCAAAACTTCAATTTTAGGAGATGGTAAAAGTGAAGATCAGGAAGAAAAACTATCACAAAAATTAGTAGACGAAGAAATATCGAGTGTTACAAATGAAAATGAAGCAAGTACTGATTCTAAAAATAATCCACAATTAGTGATCGAACGTCAATTAGTAGAAAGTAAACTTATGACACCAAAAGGGAATCTCATAAGTATTCAATTAAACAAGCCAGGAATATGCAGCGATAATGAAGAAGATAAGAAAATAGATAACATAAATAGAATAACATGGAAAGAATCTCCGTTTCCTCTCGATGATGTATCAGATCTCAAATTAAATCTTGATAAAGAAGAAAATGCGGATAACAAATTAGTGTCAATGGTAGATAATTCAACGAATACATCGTATTACGACTTTAATGTGGCATATATAGGAGGAACAATGGAGTCTGGTTACCGAACTATTAATGCTTTTGATAGATCTATTAATAATGGATTATCTCAACCAAAGTTCGAACGTCCACCAAAAAAATTGATGTTAGAGAAAAGCTCTATGACAAGTGATTTGCTTAGCAAGAATGATAATCTTGTATTAGGGGATGGGAATCAAGAACTTCCAGATCTTATGGATCTTTTTCCGCATATCCCTAGAGATTACTTAATCGAAATTTATGAAAATTTATGTCAGAAAAATTTTTCTTGGGCTGTGGAAGTTTTATTAGATGGTGTTCCTGATGATACGATGTTCAAAATACCACAAGAGTCTGAAGTAGTCGATAATTCCTTTAAATCTCCACCAGCAGATACTTCTAATAATCCTCATAAACCATTAGATAACTTTGAAAATAATCTAAATTACTTAGATGATCAAAAAAATTTAATTGATTTAGAAAATATGGAACCCAGTGTAGTAGATTGTCCAAGTGTTTTTGAAATACATTATCCAAAAGATTCTACAATGAGAAAATTATATCGACTCAGGTCTAAGAATAAAGATGAAAATTCTTCACATAGTTCTCCTTCAACTCCACCAGTCCCTCGACCAGACTCAACAGAAAATGAAAAAAGTCCAGAACCTGAAGAAATAATTGAAATCAATCTTGGTTTCGATATAATTCATCAACTAGAGAATCAGTTTGGCAATCCTGACTTTCATATTCCTGATGGCTTTGAACCAATAGTTCACATGAAAAAATCAATGGCTGAAGAACTTTATGCTTTATGGATCGAAAGTATGTATCATCAATTAAATGCACGTCATGAGCAATTAGATCAAATGCTAGCAAAAGATGCCGAACTTGCTAAAAAGCTGGAGAAAGAATTTGAAGAAGGGGCAAATGAACTTGAAAATCCTTCAGAACCTCCAGTACCAAATTTAAATGAAATTATGGATATGGAGTTGGCCTTGGCAACATATAAAAAAGAAGTGAAGGGAATACTTGAAAATGAGTTGCCAAATGATATGGCATCAATGTTATCAAGACAGATGCTTCATGAATCTCATCCAGATATTGATCCTGAAACGCTGAATGAAATTCTTAAAGCTCACAATGGAAATTTTAAAGCAACATTTGACACTATTTCTTTGAGTACTGGAAAGTCAATTACTCCTTGTAGTACTCCTAAGAAACACGCAAATATTCCAAATAAAGTCAAAGAAGAAGATGAGAATATTGAAGTTATACAAAGATCAAGAAGTTCAACTCCAATAACTGTTGTTAAACAAGAAAATAAAACAGAAAAGTCTTTATACAGAGATGCTCTCTTGAATGCTACTGATTCTAGAAATGAAGCTCAACGACATTTCTCTCTAAGAATTGAAAATTTAAATAAAGCTGATGAAGCTTATCGACGAGGCTACCCAGCAGTAGCTGCTTATTACTCACAAATTGTAAGTATTTTTTTTCTTTAAAATTTTTTTGTTTAATAACTAAAATATCTTCAACTTTTAATACTTAATCACCTCATAATTATTAACTATTATAAAAAAAACATTTACGTAGGCTCGAATACATGGAAAGAACAGTAAAACTGCTCATGCAGATGCAGCAGATGCTCTAATAAATGCTCAAACTCTTAGTAGCAATCAAAATATTTTGGATTTACACTATTTATTCGTCCCTGAAGCTTTGCGTGCTTTAGATGAGTTTTTAGAATATCATCAAAGTAAACTAACTAAGAGTAATAAAAGATCAACAATCATTTATATTATCACTGGAAAAGGTATAAGAAGCAATAATGGAACAAGTAAAATAAAGCCTGCTGTTTCGAAGCGTTTACTTAATCGAAATATTCGGTAAGAAATTAATCATTAATAATTCGCGAAATTAATGAAAAAAAGAATAAAAGATTTAACTAATTTTGGTGCTTTATTTTTAGATTCAGTGAAACTAATCCAGGTTGTCTAAAAGTGGTTCTCTATCGAAAAAGTGGAATAGACTGAAAAATAAAAACGCACAAGTATAAACACGTTTACGTTTATATAACTAGAAATTTATTTAAGTTGCATCGTAAAAGTTATTATAATTAATCCTATTAATTTTACTTATAACACTATTATCATAATTATTATATATCAAAAAAAAACTATAATAAGTCATATGCGTTCACTTTTTTAATAAAACATTATATTTTATAGAGTTTAAACTTAATGTAAAATTCATAAAAAATCATTTGATATTATGATTAAAAAATTTAGAAAAATATCTTATTTTAGTAGATTTTATAAATGAAAAATTTAGAACAACATTAAAAATCTATGTATGAAATTTATATTAATGTATCTATCACTTGAATGCCATACACTATCCTTTCAACAAATATTAATCAAAATAAAAAAATTTTGTTTGTTATTTTTAGTTTCTTTTAATTTAGACGTAAAAATACCGAAATAATAGTAAATAGATTTTAAAAAAGTTTCAATATCTGTCATGATCACGGAAACGTTTTGATGTATTTAATTATTGAATTTTAGAAACAGGTTATTTTTTTCTTAAAAACTTTGAATCTGTTTCATGTTTTGCAATTTTTTTCGCCGGACTTTGAATGTTTGAAGATCGTGTATGCGGGAGAGTAGAACATATTTCTGTTATTGTAACTAATTTTATATTACGTTTTTCATCAACTTTTTTGTAAGTTTTTTGTCGAGGAGTTGGAATTGTTGCAAGAGAAGGTCGACAACGTTCAGGTTTTAAAATTATTTGTGGCAAAAATCCAGACATGGATTCATGTGTTTTACTGTTTTTGCTATCAATTTTTTGCTTATTGTTTGGATATAAGTTATGTTCTTGAAGACTGTATCGAGAAGAAAAAGGCGATAAATTTTGTTTTGAAAAATATTTGGTTTCAGTATTTTTAGATTTTTGTGAGTATTTTATATTCTCGGAACCAATCGAAGATGATTTTATTTCGAAATGTACGGCGGATTTTGATGATTCGTTTAGTCGATCTCTTTTTAATGGAATGATATGAGTAGTTCTCCAAGAATCCTGAGACACTCTTGACGAATCCTGAATAGAAAATTTTTTTGAATTTCTCCTATTACTATAAGATTTATTAAATTTAGAAAGACTAGAATTGTATGTTAAAAAATTCTGATGAGAATTCGAATTTGATACAGAGATCTTAGGAAGCTTCAAAGGTTCATCATCAACTACTTTAAATCTTCGTGTATTAAGAGGCTAAAAATAATTAGAAGAATTAAAAAAATAAAAATTACTTGAATTCTGATTGAAAATTACTTTGTGTCGTTTATAACTTTCAGATGAAAAATAATTCATAACAGAAGAATTATGCCATTCCAGCGGAATTGATGGCAATGTCAGTGTGCTTATATGTCTAGGGGTGTATTTTTCTCTGAAACTGTTGAAATATCTGTGTTCTAAAAGACTTTTCACATCACTTCTATTTTCAGGATCATAAACAAGCATCATTTTTAAAAGTTCTTGGCCTGTTTCACTGACATAATACAGTAGATTTCTAAATCCAATTCCTTCCTTGTGTGGAAAAAAATATTCTCCATTTCTCGCTCTACTACTGAATAGCAAAATAAGATGAAAATTACTCAAAAAAGACATTTCATTAACAATAATAAAAATTGCCAATAATTTAATAGCTTACTGTCTTCGAAATTTAGCTATAACTTTTGCATGAGGAGTTCCTAAAATCGTATGGATCTTGGTTATTTGATCAACTTCATCAGAGCCAGGAAAAAGAGGTTTTAATGTTAATAATTCATAAAAAACACATCCAGTTGCCCATATGTCCATTTTGGGACCGTAATGTCCATTTGTTAATAAACATTCTGGTGATCGATACCATCTTGTTGATATGTACTCAGTGTAAGGAGGTTTACTGGAAATTGCTCGAATAGAACCAAGGTCTGCTAGTTTAATCACATCACCCTATATAGATTTTCTTACTGATTATTTAATCAGTTATAATACTAAAATATTTTATAGAATAATAAGGTCTAGCTTTCACCTTTAGAAGTATATTTTCTGGCTTTATGTCACGATGAAACATTCCATGCTTATGTAAATGTTCCAAGCCTTTCAGCAGCTGATAAAGATACATTTTCACTTTCTGCTCACTCATTATCCGATTTTTACATTTTTTTATCATGTCATAAAGGTTCATGTCCATTAAATCAAAGATTAAAGTGACTTTTCCTGGCAAAGGATCACTATAAAGATTTATTAAAATTTTTAAACATAAAAAACTCAATCTATATTGAGCTTTTTAATTATTAATTAATTATTTTTCTTACTAATGTGATTCGATCATGTACAAAACATTTGGATGACGACTGATCTTTCTCATAGCAATTATCTCCGGAATTTTAAGAATTTCATCAGCTCTGAAAATAATTTATTATGCTAAGAAAAAATATATAAATAATAAAGTATATAAAATAATTTTCAAATAAAATAAAAAATAAATAAAAATATATTCGCTTTGATGATCAATTTCTCACGTATGATAAATCTTTTTCAGTCTTTTGCCTGCATAATAAACTCCAGTGAGTCTGTCTTGACATTTTAATACTTCTGAAAAAGAGCCTTCTCCTATTTTTCTAATAACTTTGTACTCTAGAAAAAAAAAATAATATAAAAAAATAGTTTTTTTTCGTCACTATAACCTTGCTTATGTTCATAAAAAATTAATAATTTTAATAATACTTTTAAGAAATGATGTTGACATGATTAATAAAAATAAAATTTTAAGTACTGCATTTGACTTGGCATATCTTTTGCAGGATGATAAAAATTGTTAAATGGCTCGAGATCATTTTATAGATACTTGAAGATAAATATTTAAAAAGGAGAAATATTCATGAGAACCGAATAAATTGTTTTCCATAGTTACCTTCAAGGTGAAGGTAAATATTATTAATCTATATATAAAAAATATATAAACACGAAAGTGGATGAGCAATCAACGATTGATTACTCACACTATTACAATAATTACTCGCTAATGTTTTACACGTTTATTCTCGTCATTAAATGGTTACATTATCTTATTTATATTTTTATTTATAATTATGTTATGATAATAGCGTTGAAATTCTTTTCAGAATTTCAATTCAAACGATTCACGATATTTACTTAAAAAATAAAATATCGCTCTTTGTGTCATTCCTTCTGAAAGTGTAATATCTTTTGTATTTATCTAACGAACTCAGGTATATTATTTAAATCAACTTGGAATATATTGGATTTAATCATAAATTTGACGAACAATAACTCGTCTTTCATGACTTTAAAATCTTAATTAATCATTAATTAATCACTCATTCTAATGACTAACAATAATTAAATCTGTATGACTGTGATGAAATAAATGTAATCTCTACTATTTTAATAAATTGATTATACAAATTAAAAAATATCCGAGAATAGACGAGGTATATGCAACAATACGATCGTAACGAATGGCAGTTACAAACGATTCCCGACTTTAAACTGGGGACAATTTTTTTTTCTTTTCATATTCTTCTTCTTTCACATTTTTTAATTATTTCATTAATTAAATTATTCATTAATTTACGAACTTTAAAAATATTAAAGTATTGTTAATATAAAATTCTATAGACTATAACATTTTTAATAAATAAGTAATAATTAATGTTTTTGACATCAGAACATGAATAATATTGTAAAAATACTTTCAAAACAATACTTTAACATTCTTATATTCAAAGTTAAATGAAAATTCAGATTACAACTATGAAAATATTTTTGAGCATCAAACACAATCAAGTTTGATATCAAATAGAAAACAATTAAGTAATTAATTTCATTTTATCATTATTTAGTTTGCCACACACCACTCCTCTCGGATTACATAAATAGTTTCTTTTTTCTACAGATTGAATCATCTTGAACAAAATTAATACGTGAACATTAATATATATTACAATTGCCGAGCCAATATATACACTTTTAATAACCAATGAAAAATATGCTTTTATAGATAGCTAAGCAATTAAGTCGCGTAAAAGTGTCCTCAGTAATAATACTAATTAGTATTCATTTTTATTGATTTGAAATATAATTCATTTTGATTATTAAAAACTTAAAGAGACCCTCAATAATTATCGAATTACTTGAACCATTCTCTATGTCAATTTATGATTGTATTAATGTCAAACTATTAATAATAATTAATTTCAAATAAATCACTTTGAATAAAATAAAAATAATAATGACGAATAATTGATAATGGCATGGAGTGGTGTGGGCTTGAAACTTTCATAAATCCAGTAAATCATTGACGATCTTGAATAAAATCGACTAATTTGTTATAAATGTAATTATATGGACAGTACCTTGCACTTGTCACTCAGTTTGAGTGCAAGCGCGAGTTTTCCATCGCTGCTGCGGTCGTGCAAGAGTCAACACGTGCGTGCGTGAACACAGGAACCGAGTTGTGATTATTGGAATCTCCACCTTACAATTTTTTATTTTTTTATGATCATTAATTATAATTATGAAAACCAAAAAATATCTATTTATACTAATAATTTCTGCGCTTATTTTTTTAAGTGTCATTTAATTATTCAATTTATTGATTAGGGAAATATATTTTCATGCAGTATTTAATTATGGTTTCTTTCACATTTCTTTAAAAGGATATGTAATTTAATATATGAAATGTAATCGTCAAAACAAAAAAAAAAATATTGGAATGACAACGCCGTATTTGCTTTTGTTAAAAAACAATACGTATAAAATATTTATTTGTATTATTGATTGAGCAACTATTTGCACAATATATTCATTTAATTAATTTTTTCTACTAGAAAAATATAAAATTATTTACAATTCAATAAATTACTTATTAAAGTATTTTTTCTTTCGTTCCTATCATATTTGTTTCGTATGAGGTACATTACTGTCGCTGTATCGTACCTTGGGTGATGATAATAATTGATTACAGAAAGATTCAAAAAAATATTTTCTAATGATATTTAAAAAAAATTATTTAAAATTAAATTATTTATCGGGATGCTCAAAAAATTTTTTGTTGTCTTTCCACTTACGTTTCATTCTAGAAACTATGACATTAAATCAATGATTTCAATTCTGTATAATTTTACTCTCTAGGACATTAATGACATATTTAATAGGTCCTGTGTTCACTATCACAGCAATGTTTAAGCAGCAATTCTCAATCGAAAGAAAACTTCTCCGAACTCTAATTTACATAAATTAATAATTTTGTTTCTTGTGTTTGCCTAATTTTTACTAATTTTTTGTTTAAATGAAAATTCATTAAAAGTAAAATAGCAAAAAAAAAAAAAATAGAGAAAGAGAAGAATATTCTAATCGAGACTCACTGGACTCACTTAGTTTTTTTCCTACCACTCCAAAGGCCAGCACTTAAACTTCCAACTGTCCATAACTTTTTTTAAGATATTTCCCACTTAGTGCATCTAATTTCTTTTTATGTACACCTTATTGTGTGGATAATTTACAAAATAAACCCTTTTAGGTCTGAGAGATCCAATTCAGTCCTTTACTTTAGTCACTCTCAATATCCTAAAAGCGTATTTAAATCTGTTACAACTTTTCTTCTGTTTCTATCACCGTCTGTTCACTTTCATTTTGATTTTCCACTGCTTCCGTTGGTTCCCTTTCTTCAATATGTACTTGTTTCCCTGTTTCATCAGCTTCATTCGTTTCCGTACACTTTACAAAATCGTTATTATCAGAATTTTCATGTTCATTATTCGTAAATGTTTCATTCTGTGAATTTTCAGGATTATTATTAGACACCACGTGATTTTCTTCAGAACTTTTAATGGCACTATCTTCATCAGGATTCTGAGGTTGAGTTGATTCTTCTAATTCTTCTGGTTCATTTGGAATTTCTTGAAGGTTTCTCAAATTTTGGTCATTACTTGACTCTCGATTATCCTCCTCATTTCTTTTTCTATCATCTTCGCAGTCTTGTTCAGATGTAGACATATCAGCTTGATCAGCTGGAGGAGGACTTGCATTTCCCCATCGAGATTTTCTATTTCTCAAATTCCTATTGTCTCTATCACGATCCTGATGCTTACCATGTCCTTTTGGATTGTCTCTTTGATTAACATGATTTTCACGCCCATGATCATCCGATTCAGGTCCATTATTGCTGTCAACATTAGCCCACGGATTTATTGGACCATTATCCTGATTTCTCCATGGATTTTCTGGTATTAGAGGTGCCGGTGGTCCACCAAAAGGAGGTCTCATGTGTGAAGAAGGAGGAGGACCACGACCATCATCAAATGGAGTTCTGAAGAAAGCTTCACCTTCACGCGGATCAAAAGGAGGCCCTCGAGGTCCGAATGGAGGACGCATTCCTGATCTCATTCCTCGTGGGCCCATTCCTCGATGGAACATGGGTGGACCTGTAGAAAAACAATTTTAATATATTTTCTCACTCATAAAAAAATTTACTTATTATCAAAAGACTTTTGAAAAATATTTGTTAACTCACCATGACCTCTAGCTCCCATTCCAGGTCTTGATCCAAATCCATCAGGACCCATAGGCCCTCTTGGACCCCTTGCTCCCATCAAAGGTGCAAATCCTGGATCCATATGTCCATAAAAGTCTCTCCTCCTGGGATCAAAATCTGGATGGTCAGGATGTGCTCTAAGATCAAATCCATCGGGCATTCTTGGGTCAAATCCTTCTCTTTGACGTCTTTCAAATTCAAATCGTTCAGCTTCGTAATCATCAACTGGATGACGTCCACGAAGTTCTGCACGTTCAAACTCTTCTCTTGCAAGTCCTAAACGAAGATCGAAATCATCTGGGCGCGGTCCAGCAGGCCCAAGCCGATCAAACTCATCAGGAAATCGACCACCGTGCATTCTATGATCTGGAAAATCATCCATTGGCCCTCGTAGACCTCCTCTGGGGCCGAATCCTGGTCTATCTCGATCTCGAGGAAAATCTCGAAGATCTTGAGGTCCTCGTGGAAAATCTGGGCCTCTAGGTCCGAAATCTGGTCGATCTCCAGGTGGTATTGAAAACTTTGGAAGATCCATTAACGATGGAGGACCATCTCCGGGTCTTCTATTACCTTGGACATCTTCAAATGGTGGTGGTCTATCACCTCTATCCATGCTACGATCATTTCTATCACCTCTAATTCCTCGATCCATTCTATCATCTAATGGCAAAGTTCCATCTGCCAGCTGCCTTAATCTATCTGCAAGACTCATTTTATCTTTCTTCGGTATCATGTCCACGTTATGTATCGGTGGTTCTTGTAAAAGTCCCATGCCTGGAACTTGAAGGGGTATTGGACCATCATGTGGTCTCATATCACGATCACGATCTCTTCTGTCGTCTCTATCTCGATCCCTTCCATCTCTTCTCCTATCACGACCTCTGTCTCTTCCTCTTCCTCGATCTCTACCTCGAGCATCATTACCATTCCTATCACCTCTATCACGATCATTTCGATCTCGCCTATCACGATCTCTTTCTCTATCTCTATCCCTAAAATCTCGTTCATTGTCCATTCTTTCATTATTACTTTGATTTTTATTCATAGCTGCTAATAATTGATCACTTAAATTAGGCTTATCTTTAGGAGGATTTGATGTACTTTGAGGCATAGCGTCTTCCATTTCAACATCCATATCGTCAGAATGCTGAGCTTGCATAGGCATTTGTTGCATTGGTGGAGGTGGAGGGCCAACACCAAATGGCTGGCGAAGCATTGGAAGATTTGGTAAATTTGTTTCTCCTGTAGGTGGTGGCACTCCCATTGGAGGAACATTATGAGGCATTCCTGAAAAAAAAAACCAGCAATAAAAATGTTTTCAGTCTTAATTTGTAAGAAAAAATAAATCATTGTATTTACCTGTTGAATTCGATTTATCTGAAGGAGCAGCGGGTGCTGGAAGTGGAATCTGAGTTAAAAGGCCAACACCAACACCTGTACCAAATGGAGAATTAACTGGAGGCGTAAGCATTGAATGCATCATTCCTGGAGGACCTAAAAGACTTTGCATATTTGGAGGAGGTACTCCAATCGGTACATTTGGCATCAAGCCGTGAGCCATTTGCAAACCCATTGGTCCAAGCATACCTGTATTACAAATTTATATTAAAATCGGAAATTCATCAATTAGTTACATAATGACAATAAACTTACGTGGTACTCCAGTCATTGGAAATCCTGGTGGTATCATTGGCAATTGAGCACTTGTAGGAGGCATTAAATTCGTTGATGCCGTCGCTCTTATTGGCGGTGGCTGACTTGTGTCTACAATTGGTTGGGGTTGAGATCCTGATACTGGTGGCATTACATTTACAATACCATCAGTCAATGTGGGAATCGGTGCACCACCTATTTGCATTTGCATTCCTTGTTGTACATTAACATCATTCGATGAAGAGTGCTTCAGTTTTCCTAAAAAATAAGAAGGGACTATTAATTTACCTTAATCTAATTTCATTATTAAGTTAGTAATATTTAAATCAGATGTTAGTAATGAAAAAATATTTGTCGGAAATTTGCTTGACCAAAGAAGAAATATGTCCGTTAATTGGCTCAAAAATTTCTAATTAATTTTGCAAGTTGGTTCAAGATCCACGAAATAGAATTTATGCTTCGAGGCTCTAGATTAAACTTGCGAAATATTTAGGTCTTTCAAAATAATCATAAATTTACCTATTAAACTAGGCGGCAATGTGTCTTCATCAATCATTCCACCTTCCTCTAATAACTCGAGATCATGTTCTTTTACATTATTCAGTTTATTCCAAGGAATATAGCTAACACCTAGCTCTACTTCCCAGTAATCTTTCCATTCTTTTCCTTTTACTCCTTTTCCTGGAGCCCAAGCTAATGTAATAGCTTTACCCTGCATTTTATGATTTTTCAATTTTGTCAAAGCTCGATAAGCATCTTGTCTCCTGTTCATACATATAAAAGCACAACCTCTTGGTGAAATTAAATCAATACTAACGATGTCACCAAATTCACCAAAGGTATCAGAAAGTTCTTCCTGGTGTACAAGTTTTGATAAATGTCCAACCCAGAGTGTTGTACTACAAACACTCATCTTTTCTCTCATAATTGGCGGTAAGCCACGTTTCCTTCTCTCTCTTTCTTTTTCTCTTTCCTCTTCAGTTATTTTGTCTCGATTGTCATCGTGTTTACGATCTCTTGAACGTGATCTCCTTCGTCGTGATCGACTTCTTGATCGAGATTTTCTATTCCTATCACGCTCCCTGTCTCGACCACGATGACGGGGAGATCTAGACCTACTGTGGCGTCCAAAACGGTCTGGTGACCTGCTTTGAGATCTCACCGAGTCTAAGTTTACTATTTCAACGCTACTGCTATCACGTCTTGTTTGAGCAGATTGATAATCTTGCGAGTCTTGTCGTTCATCAAGAAGAGGACTTTTTTGATTTTGATGCATAGGCTGTCGAATATTAGCACCTTGGGAAACAAAAGCTGGAGGATATCCAGGAGGTGGTTGGCTCATATCCTGCTGCATTATCCCTGCAGCGTTACCATATACATTATGTTGATTTGGTTTTAGAACATCTGATGGTTTTAATTCACACTCAGAAGCAAATGGAAGATTCGGAACTGTTTGAGCTAAATGTTTATCAAACTCATCCTCTTGCTGTTTCATTTGTTGTAATTTACGCATTTTTTCTTCCATTTCATGTTGTGCTGATGCAACATTATTTTGCATCGTTTGTTGGAGTGTTTGAAGCTGTCGAAGAACTTCTGGATTAGCTAACAATAATCCTAGACTCTCAAGACTACCCGTTGAAACAGCGTTGTGTTGATTAACAGCAGAGGCAGCTGTAGCTGGCGAATTAGCTACCATAACATCATCATCTTCTTCCTCTCCATAATCAAAATCAAGAAGTTTCTTGTCAAATTTAACTGAAGATTGAGCTTCATTTACAGCTTCTTGCTTCTTCAATAATATCTGTTGAAGATGTTGTAATTGATCGAGGAATGAAACATCTACCTGATTAGCACTCGATTGTCCCAATAATTTATTAGCATTTACCATATTAGCAGTTTCTAATTTGGTTTGAGCTAACCAGGCTGGATCAATTGGTTTAGCTGTAAAGATTTTCTGATCCTTTGGAGTGCCTTTAACGCCTGGAGATGTTTTCGTAAGAGAACCTAGACCTCCTAAATTATTAGATGATGTATTGATTGCTCCATTGGAATTAATTGCCTGTTCCTTATGAATAGGATGGTTAGGATCAGCTAAGTCGAACAAAGGTTGGATCACTTCTGGTGGAAATACTGAATTTTTTTGCCATAAATTTAAAACCCTTATAACTTTACTTTTATCTTCGGTCGGGCATTTTAATAGATTTAAGAAAGTTGTTTGCATGTTCTTAGCGAATCTTGGTGCAAAAACATCTTTTTCAACTCCAAATTGGTGTCTTGACTGTCTTACTATTGAATCTATTACATATAAACCAGGCACCTTATATTCCGGTTTGCACTAAAAACAAAACAAATTATTTTCAACAATCGTTAGATTGGATGTTAATTATAATGTACGTATACTCACTTTTTGAATGAACTTCTCTACACTCTGTACAACGTGCTTATAAAATTTAATAGCTTTTATTGCTCCTCTGGTCAGTGAGTTCATTTTTGCCTTTGAAATTGGTGGTTTGACATCGTAAAGAGCAGATAGCTGCGAAAAATAACATGGTTAGATTCTGAATTGTTGAGGTAATCATACCAGCATAAGTTTATGAGGCTAAATTCTAGATTACAAAATGATTCTGTCAAAAAACTATAGAAATAAAAAAAAGGAAAAAAAAATTATCAGGTATTTCGAGGAATAAACATAAAGAGTAATTAAATACATAATTTTTATGAACGGCATCATCGTGGAAGAGGGAGGGTTTACCCCAACACGGTGACCTCCAAAATACCTCAAAAGGCCGCGAGTAAACTTACCTCCGAATTAAATGCCTTGACGGCGTCCATATTCATTGGAATAAGTGTGCTAATTGCACTTGAAGATTAATCTTTAACAGCTTACATGCGACACAACACTATTATTTTCATCAATTATCGCCATTTCTTGTCGTCAACGCACTAAAGAGTAAAGAACCATGCCATTCAAGATGGCAGACATAAATCCCAGCGTGCATTGGGAATATGGCGTTGTGACGTCACGCCGTGCAATTAATGCCCCAAATGGCGCCAATTTCAATAATTTTTCTAAAACAGAGTAAATGTTAGTATGTACTCCAAAATTATTTATAATAAATTAATTAATAATTAATCCAAGATTATAATGAAATCTTTTATACTGCATAAAATTTTATTTTCAACAGAATATCAATCAATACATGCATAATTTTTGGAGTAGTAAATTTTTCACAATATTTATGCTTATCACCGTCGATATAAACATGACCAAAGCACACACGAGGTTCAACAAAAACTTGGTTAGGGAATGTATGGAGTTTCATTTTTTGTTTATTGTTCGTTATAGTTCAACAAGTTGATGAGCTAAGATTATTATATATTTCAATTTTATACATTTTTTATTAATGTTTAACATAATGAAGAGTGCTAAAAAGATAATAAATCGCAACATTTTCAAATCATTGTTTTGGACAAGATTAAATCATACTGAAGCCAAAGTTAAATATCCACAAATTAAATCAACATCTGAAAGTGAAAAATCAAAAGAAAAATCACTTCATCCGTATCGTAAAATTCATCCTTGGAAATCGAAATCCCATTTTATCAAAAGTATTATTGAAAAACATGTTATTTATAATTGGGGTAAATACATTTATTTTGCAATTCTATTTATTATTAAAATCATTTCCATAATTTTCATTTTCTAATGTTAATATTAATCGTTTTTGTTATAGATGGTCTAGTAGCTGTCAATAAACCATATGGTATTTCAGCTCGAATTGATCGTAATTTAGTAAAAAATACTGAATATCAAAGCGGTATTCATAATGAAGTAAAATATACCATCACTGATGCTTTACCTCAGCTTGCTGACGAATTAAAATATGATTCTTTAACTATTGTAAGATGTCCAGAAAAGTATGTGTATATTTTATTTTTCTTTATAAACTATGTTTACTCATATTTAATCAAATCATTTTTTACATATTTGATTTAGATTTACATCTGGAATTGTGTTGCTCAGTGCAACTGATAAAATAAAAAAAGCAGTAGAAAAAGCATTGGAGAGAGCAGAAAAATTGCGATTAATTCCACGAACATATTGGACAGTAACGAGAAGAGTGCCTGTTAGTACAGAAAATGAAGAAAAAGAAGAAAGATTAGCAATGCGACTGGTTATTAGTCCTGATAAAAAAAATGTTATGCCAGTTATTATAAAACGGTGGAGTCACAATGAACAGAAAAGACGAGAAGTGAAAATTTTGAATATTCAATATAAAGTTCTTTGTAATTCAACATTAAATCTAGCATCTCTAGTAGAAATAAAATCATCAACAACTCAATGGCATGCAATCAGATTATATGCTGCGACAGAATTATTAAGTCCAATTCTTGGAGATCGAATCCATGGATCACGAGCTCAAGATGTTATGGGTAGATTTATGAAAATGAATCCTTTTGTTGAAGCTGCTCATGTGATTCCACAATTAGATAGAAATTTACTAAAAATTTTACGAGTAACTCAAGGGAAAAGTATGATGATTCCAGTTCATGTTCACTTAAGAGAGATCTTTCTTCCTTCGTTTCTACGAAAAGGCAATGACATTGAAATAAAAGCACCTCTACATCCTGAATTTTTATGGACTTGTCGACGACTAAAGTTTAAAGAAGAAATTTTTAATCCAGTAGAAAAAGAAGATAACACTTCTGATACAAATATAAGTTCCAATAGTGAAGTAAATAACGAAGAACAATGTGCTGCAGTCACATAAAAATGTAAATAAAAAATGAATATGTAAATAATCAATAACTTTGAAATTTTATTTACTAATAATTTTTATTAATGACATGATAAGTTTTATATTTAATGAGAGAGAAAATATCGCCCGGCTAAAATACGTCTCATGAGTACTTTTCGTCCATGCTGTGTAGATAATTTTTTTTCAATCCCATAAGTTGCAATTTTCTTAGTTTCTTTAGGACGAGGCCAATTATTTCTCGTCTTCTTCTTGACTGGTATTAGGGACCAAGGTCCGGGCTTAACATCCCAATATTGTCTGGCTAGATTGATGCTAACCGGCCTATATCATGATAAAAATAGTATATTTTAAATAACACAATTACTAGGTATTCGAAAAAAAAATTGATTCAAAATCAAAATACTTACTTGATATTGTTAAAAATTCCTGACAACAATTCTCTAAACATTCTAAATTATAAAAATTATACAACTTAAGATTATTGGAATTAACCTCTAAAAGGTTAGTAGATAAACTGGATGGATCGATGTTTATTCTGTATGTTTTACATACAGTCAGTTTTTATTAATTCAGAACTAAATTCTGAACAAATTTGAAGTTTTTATAGAAGTAATATTATTTTTGTATCACATTAAATTGAAAAATAACAACAAAAATTTAATTTACTAAAACTTTTTGTTAGTGATGGTCGTGACACCTACAATCGCACAGAGGAAAGGCCATTTAAATTAAAATGAATAAAAAAGACATGTAAATAATTCGTAGACAGTATAACAGACAATGATACATAAACTCTTTTTAAAATGTATTTAATTTAATTTTAAAATAATTAAATAAAAATTTTTGTTTCAGAAATTAAATGATATGTTACAATTATTAAAATTTACTAAGTTGAGGCACGAATGGACGGAATGATCAATAAGATTATCCTATTGATATTTTTTTTACTATCAACACGGAATCCTGTTGTCTTTACCCCATTTTCTCATTACACGAATAATTTGATCTACTTGGGAGTTTGAAGTATTTCTGAGTAATTGAATAACTTCTGTCAGTAACTCTCTGTTAAAAAAGAAAAATAACGTTACTATACGATAGAAAGTATTGATATTAAATTAAAATTCTTACTTTGGTAATTTTTCCGCAACGATATACTGAAAAGTTCCACAACAAGCTCCTCGTTTACCTTCCCAATGTTCTGGAGATGGATCCATTCTCTCCAACATATCGAAGGCTTTTGCAGCATACCAGAATTCTCCAATTTTATAACATGTATTGGCAATCAATTGCAAAAGATTAAAAGTCTGTGATGTGGTTCCCATTTTTAAATAAAGATCCCAAGCCTGCTGCGCTTTTTTATTCATTATATAACAATAAGCTAAAAGGCTTATATACACATAATCACTTTTCAATCGCTCGCTTCGAATAAGAAGAAAAGCTTCTTCCGCCTCTTTAAAGTATCCAGCAGCAGATTGAGCTTGAGCATAATTAAAATTAAAGCTGTCTTCATTAGAAAAATATGTTTTTATCGAATTTAAATAGACTAAAACTTCTTCAAATTGTCGTAAAAGGAAAAAACATGCAGCCATGCAATGCCTGCCTGGAATTGTGTCACATTCAGAAGCAGATGAGCCAACTAAATGAAAATATTGCTGAGCAATTTTTATACTTTCACGTGACCGAGTCTCTTGACCAATTAAAGCATTAACAGTCCCTTTAAGAATAAATTCTTGGGGTACAGCTGGTTCTAGATCTTTAATTAAATCGAAGGCTTGTTGAATCTCATTTTTTTTCAAATAATAAATAACTAGATTTAATCTGGCCTCTGGAATGACATCCACTAAGCCAGGAAGAACTTGTAATGCTCCTTCACCATCTTTAAAAACCTATAAGATAATTTTTTGTGTCAATAGTACAACAAATAAATGTATATGATGAAATATTTCTTCTATTTCAACACTCACGACTGTATTATGACGAATTAAATCATGACCAAAACTATAAGAAGATGAGGTTTTTTCCACCAGTTGCTTCATTTCTGATTGAGCCGTACTTCCATCATATAATCGAAAATGATTACAAGCTTTTAAATTAATTGCAATTGCACTATCTGGATATTTTTGAAGATAAACTTGCAAGACTTCTTGAGCTACATCATAATAGTCTAATTTATAGTAGCATAATGCCACATACACATTCAATGCCAAATAGTCCCTAAAAACATTAAATAATTTATTATATTTATTATACTTACTTATTATCATTTTGAATAATAATAAATTAATAGAAATAAAAATACCTTGATTTAGTTAATTGGGTAAAGAAAAATAAATCAGGATCTAGGTCATTATCAACTAAATGTGAAATATTCCACAAATCACTAAAGGATTTAGGGCATTTAAAAAAAAATCATTAATAATCTATTCTCAACTATAATAATTACCTATTATCAAGAAGAATTTTTTTGTAAATATCAATTGCTTCTTGGTAATGAGCTCGTAAATAATGGATAGAAGCTAAACACAATTGATCTTCAATAACATCTTTGAGCTTTCCATGATATTCTGTTAATTTTGCTTCATCTCCCATTTTATGAGATAAATGAAATAAAAGTCTAGTCTTTAAACCACTTTCTGGAGCATCAATAAGTGCATCTTTAGCTTCAGGATACATTCCAAGAAAAAAATAACAACAAGCTAAATTAGTATGAACTTCTGGCGGTTTTTGATCTTTCTTTTTAAGATTTTCATAAACTGAAGCTGCTTTTTTATAGTCTCCAAGATGAAATGAACAATAAGCAATCCACATATCCGTATCCGTAGCATTATTATTAGTTGCATTGAACTCTACAAGAGTTAACGCACCAGAGTAGTCACGTCTTTCAAGAAATTCTTGAAGCTGTGGGACGGATTTTCGTGTCTGTAACTTTCGACTGGCATCTGATAGAGCCGGTTTTGCTCGAGAAAGTATCTATTAAATTGAAAACATTGATAACAATGAAGATATAAATTCCGAATTACATTAAATTAGTTGAAAATGTTAACATAAAACTCAAAACCTTCAAAACTTACCATTTTTTATTGGAAAATTCATGCAAAGAAAACAATACAATGCTTATTTCACAACTCTATATGAAGCATCTGTAATAAATATATTTATAAATACGAATGACAGTACATAGTGACCTTTACAATCAACCTTTCTATGAAAAGTTTGTAAATGACTAAAACACGAGATATGTATTGATTATTTTGAAACTCACCGTCACCTGTCAACAACCACTTCCGTATCGACAACAAAAGTGAAAATTGTTAACGTCTATTTACTTCATAAAACTTGTCATTATTATAAAGTTAATACATTTAATACATTTAGTATACTATTGAATTATTTTTTCTTATGATAAAAATCGATTACAAATAATAATAATGAATTTTTTACACATTTAAAGGGCATTTTTTTTCAAAAATGTAAACATTCAAAAACAATAGCAGCTCCATCTAACCTTTATGGTTGAATTAGCGAATGGAAAAGAACTATCTGCACGTGAAAAAAAAACAGCAATGAATACATGAACTGATGGGCTAATGTGTGTTACGGAGTAGATGGATGATGGTAATGAGTAAATGAAGTGAGAAGGAAACAGTACGAGAAAGGCATATAAATTATCGAAAATAACGTGAAGTAGTTAAATTGATAATAAATTCGCTGTTGACAATATGTTGGAAGGAGTCAAGCACGTTTTTTTGGTTCTCTCTGGTAAAGGTGGTGTAGGAAAATCAACTGTCAGCACACAATTAGCCCTAGCACTTAAAGTTTCTGGTTTCAAAGTAATTTTTGAAATTTTTATAAACTCTAAGAGGTTATATTACTTTTGGTTAATTAAATATGATTTAAATTGAATTTTAGGTTGGTATTTTAGATGTTGATCTTTGTGGACCTAGTGTACCGCATTTATTGAATCTTGAGGGCAGAGATGTGTATCAGTCTAGTGAAGGGTATAATTTATTAATTTCAAAATAACATTTGAATGATTAAATTGCAATAAATGAATTATTGAATTCATTTCTATTATTCCTAGATGGCTTCCTGTGTATACTGATGACGATAAAACACTAGGAGTAATGTCAATTGGATTTCTCCTTAAAAATCGTGATGATGGTATCATATGGAGAGGTCCAAAAAAGACAGGAATGATAAAAGAATTCCTTACTGATGTTCACTGGAATGATATTGATTACTTAATTATTGATACACCACCTGGTACTTCTGATGAACATATTTCAGTTATGGAAAACTTGAGGTAATTTATTAATTTTTTATACAATTTAGATAGTATTAAATTTTGGAGAACATTAATTTTATTGGGTAAAATGGTTTAAAAGAAGAAAGTCACATGCACTATTTGATGCGATATCAGTAAGTCACATGTTTGTGCTGTTATAAATTGTGACTCATTACGGGAGAAATAACGCTAAATATAGATAAACTTATGGTCACGAGGATGATAAGTTTTCTGATGATCAACCAACAAATTGAATAAATAGAAAGTCACGAGTTTTAAATTTTCACGTAAAATTGGTGTTATCTTTTGCAAAATTTTGTAGAGGACTTAAATGCGATGGTGCCATTATAGTAACAACACCACAAGCAGTTTCAGTTGATGATGTCCTCAGAGAAGTTACTTTTTGTAAAAAGACTGGAATCCCAATTATTGGAATCGTTGAAAATATGAGTGGATTCGTTTGCCCTACTTGTTCTGTAAGTAACATTCAACATTATTTAAAATACTTTTATTATAAAAATGAATACAAAATATTTATAAATATAAAAAAATTATTTAGGAGTGTACCAATATTTTCTCATCGGGTGGAGGTGTTGCATTATCAGAAATGGTAAAAGTACCATTTTTAGCTAAAATACCAATTGACCCAGCAATTGGAAAATTAGCAGATAAAGGTCAAAGTATATTGGTGACTTTACCTGAAAGTCAGGTAGCTCAGGTATTCCGAAAATTAGTGGAGGAACTTACAAAAAGTCAGGAAGCTTAAAACATCTTAGAGCAAAAATACCTCAATATAATAACATTATTATGTAAAAAAGTTAAGTGTATATTAAAGAAACTAATAGTGTGATTTCACTGCTTATATTTTAATTATGTTTCATGAGTGCCGGTGTATTGTGATAAATAATAATTATAGAATAATAATGTAATTTTATAGTCACAGACAAATTAGAATTATATTTTATATCTATTACTTCATAAGTCGTAATAAATAATTATTTTGTATTATAAAAATATAATTTTTTGTTTAATACGTTATTGATGTCGGTTTAAAACATATTTTTTAGTAAAAATTTCGTCATATTTTCACTTGTTTATGCAATTCTTTTCTTATAAGCAGTCCAAAGTTGTGTTTTGTACTCTAAAATTGCCTTCAATTGGTCAGGTGCTTCTGTAATACCACGACCTACCACTACTATATCTGCTCCATTATTTACAACTGATTCTGGAGTATTGTACTGTTGTCCCAAATTATCGGTAGATGTTTCAAGTTTAACTCCAGGTGTTAATTGAATTAAACCTAGATCATTGAAAATATTTGATTGACATACATGCCCTACTACTAAATCTGACTGTGCTGATAACGATAAAGACTCTTTGATATAATTTCCAGTAGTTAAAGCACCTTTTGATGACATTTCTGTGATTAAAAATATTCCTCGATCTTTGGAAGTACTTTTTAAAGCTTCTCTGACACCATCTAAAACTCCTGGACCAGATACTGGATGAACGGTTACCAAATCCGCCCACTCAGAAATTTTATACAATCCTTTGGAATACTGCAGAGCTACTGTGTTACCAATATCTCCAAACTTTCTGTCTTCCATGATCAAAAATTCATGTTTTAATGCTAATTCTTTTAAAGTACATGGAAACTCTTTATAAAAATCATCAATTATGTCTACGTGGATTTTTAAAATAACAATGTGAGGTCCAGCAAGTTCAGCTAATTCTATGATATCATTGGTTTTTGTCATGTCAGCTGCTAAACAGAGATTTGTTTCTTTTTTTTCCATGAGCTCGAAAAGATTGGCAGCCAGCTGATTCATAGTAAATTTGGATCTTGATGCATAATTCATTTTCAAACGATCATGTGATGATTCTGTAAACAGATTGAATATTTTAAAATCAATCATTCATGTTTATGAATTTTTGTCTTGTAATATTTTTAAATTTATATTAATTTTTACCTTTATTCAATGTTATCAATGGTGCTGAACATTCTTTTATGTATTGAGTAACATTTTCAATCGTTTCTAAAGTAATTTTATCAGCTTCAAAAAGATAATTCATCAACTTGGTAAGAGTATATAAACTTTTCACCTTAATACCAGCATTTTCTATATTTTTTTTACCACCTTGTTCTCGGTCCATAATTACTAATGCTTCAGTAACGTTTAAACCTTCTTGAGTTAAGTCTTTTACAGTTTCTAAAATACTACTTCCACTGGTAATAACATCTTCGATAATAACACAATTATCTCCTTTTTTGTATTCACCTTCAATCATTTTTTTCGTACCATAACTTTTTGCTTCTTTTCTCCTTATTACCATTGGAATGTTTGATTCTACAGATATTAAGCTTGCTATTGGAAGTGCAGTGTATGGAACACCACATAATTGATCAATTTTTTGATTATTATCACTTAGTTTCCAAAGAGTATTTGAAAGCCGGCTCTAAAATCGAGATAAATCATAATTAAATGGAATTGATTACACTAAATTTAAATTTGTCAATAACTTACAAAAATCTTTGGATATGCTATGATAACTCTTAAATCAATGTAAACCGGAGTTTTTAACCCAACTTTCGTAACAAAATAACCGAATTTCACTGCATTTATTTCAAAAAGAGAAATAGCTAGTTCTTTTAGTTCTGTTTCCATTTTTGACCGTCAATTATTGTTTATTTTATAATATGAACAATCAACAAATGTCTTTTTATGTATTGATGGATAAATATTCAAACAAGTATCAAAGAGCTGCCACGTGTAGTGTATAGAAGATAAGAATTAGATTAGAATGCATACAATAGTCTTTTCTTCAACCATAAACTTTCAAATTGGATGAAGATGGCGCATCAATATGATCTAAATTGAATAATTGTTGTATATAAATTATAATGTACAAAAATATTATTTATTTTGAACATTTAATTAAATTTGTAAGTACTAAAATATAAGGATTAATCTTATTATATTTAAAAGATAAAAACTTAATGAACTTTTTATCAAAACTATGTTTTATTTGGCTTCATAGTATTTCCATCAGGATATCGTTTTCTAAAAGCTTTAATTAGTTGTGGATCAACTAGATGAACTCCATCAACTTGATTCCCAAGAGTAATCCAGTTAGGTTGGACATTATGTGGTCTCCCAAATAATTCAATTTTACGAGTACTTGGGCTCATTCTCTCAATAATGCCATAAATTTCATCAGGTTTATGACTAGTTGCTCGCACTTCAGCAACAATAACATCACTATCAAGTCCACGATTAATTCGCGGGTTTCCTTTCATACCAACTAAGCAATGCTCTTTACCATGATTAAGCCAATGACCTGTACGACCTGTTCGAATTATTCTTTGCAATTGGTTTGTCTTAACCCAAATGATTTCATCAACTCTTTCATATCCCCAAAGCTGCAAACACTCTCTTCCAAGTTCCATAGCTCTTCCAGTTACCCATAAAAATAATAAACCTTCATCTTGAAGAGCAGGAATTCCTAGTTGGCGCATTTCATCATCAGACATTGTACCATACGGTAATTCCATATGAATATCCCATGGTGGATCAGCCATTATTACTGCAAATTTACCGAGAACAGTCATGTCTAAATAACGTAAGTCACATTGGATCCATTGAGGAGGATAAAGAGTTAACTCGGTACCAGATCCTGGTCCGGTAACTGGACCAGGAGTTTCCACTACTGATGTCTTGGGTGTAGAATTGCTAGTATTTGAAACAACTGTTTCATTTACTTGTTCTTTCGATAATGCTGTCGATCCATCAACTTCATAATGAACATACCTAGTAACGAAAAAAATTATTATGAAAAATTATTCAAAATTATTATGAACTTCATAATAATGATTAACTTACTTGCAAGTATCCATATGAAAACATGTATTGAGAAAACTACAATCTCCCAAAGATTCATCAGTATGACTTTGAATAATTTTTTTAAAGTGAAGTTTTTTACATTTCGCTGTTCCACTACCATTTAATTTAGCACAATCAACTCGTGTGCCATGTGGACAAAATTCCATCACTTGAGCTCCACCTTGAGATCGAAACCTTTCTGCCAACGATTTTTCTTTAGAAGTTTGTTTTGATAATAGATCGAGTATTTGCTCTCCGACTTTTTTGTTTTCTTTCTCTCTGATCGTTGGCATCAATATCAACGACATAATGTCTTCAGCATTTTTTTTATCAAGTTTAGGTTGTTTTTCAAGACTTGCTCCTTCATCATCTTCTTCCTCTGCTTCATCATCATCAGTCTTATCATGGGAAGTTGTATCTATGGATTCAAGATTTGTTAAATCATCTAGCTTGAATTGAGATTGTGATTCAATAATTGAAAGCACAGTGTATCCAAGCACACCATCTTCTGTTACTTCTCTCATTCTGAAAAAGATTAAAATTTTTTTATCTTACCGACTTAACCTTGAAAAAGTTTATTAACAATAAAATTGAAAATTTACTTCAATAAATCCTGTGCAGCAAACTTCTCTAATATTTTCTTTACATCTTCGTGAGAAACATCAGCACTTAGATTTTTTCTAAGCTGAATACTCAGATCTGTTGAAGTTGTTGGTGTTGCTGGAAGTGTTTGATGTAAAATACATAAAATTTCTCTTTCCAATTCATCGTGCCTTGAATTAATTGCAGCTGATGTTGTTGCATCTATCAGTAAATAAAATTAATTATTTTACAGTCAATAATTTTAAATAGAATAAATTTTTACCCTTTGGAGCAGCATTATTTGTCTTAAGGTTATTTGTTGTTGCATTTGGTAGAGTTAAAGTGAATAACTCATGCCTTTCTCTTTTTCTTTTTTGCAACTTTTCTCGAAGACTATTTCTTTTAATTTTAATAGCTTGAATTTCTTCAAAAGCATCAGACATTGTTTACAAACAAAATAATATTCACTCATCTAATCTCTACGTACTCAACAATAACAATACTTGTTTATTTTTTCATGGAAATTGTTTTAGACTTAATTATCGATAAAAAAAACTTTTTGTTGTATCCAGGTACGTGCAAAAAATCACCAGGAGGCAGAAGTTGATGATATTTTTGGAAATAGTAATGTAATCTTATAACCTCACATACTTCAAGATTTTGGAGCTACTGCTACGTCCTCTAGGGTACACAAAAATTAACTTTTAGAGCGAATCGCGCGCCACAAAGTTGATGGCCACCGTATGCGATAAGAGCAAAGCGAGGGTTCAGAAATAAACAGTGTGACTGGTTAGTGGTGTAGTAAAGTGTGTAGTGAAGAGCGCGCGACAACGTTGAGAGATGTCTTCGTCTAATAAAAAGATGAAAAAGGTAGAGGAAGCAATACTTAATGATGGTAATGAGACACGAGATTACGACCTTGAGATACAAAAAACACTTGAAGAAATTGATGGATGTCAAAATCAAATCGATGGTCTCAACGAGAAAGCCAGCGATGAGATTCTCGAGGTCGAGAAAAAGTATAACAAGCTACGTAAACCTTACTTCCAAAGACGAAATGAAATCATCAAGAGGATACCTAACTTTTGGGTCACTGCTGTATCCTTTTATACAATGACATTGCATAAATGTTTTATTAATGCGTCTAAAATTTGACATTTAGCGGCAATACCGGCGTCTACCGGTGCACACCGCCATCTTGTTTCACACATACATGGATACATGTCGATTTATTCGTTTTATCAATGGCGCGATTTATTTTTCAAACATTATGTGATTTATTTATTTGTATGCATATTCTAATCCGTTATAGTTTTTTAAGTAAAACATTATTGATAACAATGGCTTCCTTAATTTAATATAAACAGTTTGTGAATAATAAAAAAATAGCTGAAATTTTGGAAGAAGAGGAAGAAGATGCTCTCAGATATTTGAATAAATTAGAAGTTGAGGAGTTTGAAGATATTAAATCAGGATATAGAATTAATTTTTATTTTGATGAAAATCCATATTTTGAAAATGAAATCCTTACAAAAGAATTCCACTTAGGATCGTCTGGTGAGTTATGTTTATTATTCAAAATAATTTTCTTATATTTTATTTTCAGTTATTATGACTGTTAGTATTCGTATACAAGCATGAGCTATATAGTTATGAAACTCCTGCTTTTTTGCAGGAGATCCAGCTTCACAAAGTACAACTATTCGCTGGAAAGAAGGAGCAGATCTTACAAAAAGATCTAAAAACAAAAGTCAATTGAAGGGACGTAAAAGACCATTAGGTCATAGATCATTTTTTGATTGGTTTACGGATCATGGTGATCCTAGTTCTGATGAAATTGCAGAATTAATTAAAGATGACATGTGGCCAAATCCTCTTCAAGTAAGAAATTTTTTTTCTACTTTTTTTTTTTTTAATAATTAATATTGCAACTTAATAATAATTATTGTTACAGTATTATTTAGCGCCTGACATGGAAGTAGAGAATGGAATTGAAGGAGATGGAGAAGACTTAGAAAGTGATGAAGATGAAGATGATGAGGATGCAGGAGAAGAAGGCGAAGAAGTAGGTGAGGGAGAAGAGGGCGATGACAGCATAGTAGTAGTAGAAGATGATGCAGATGAGGACGATGAAGAAGAAGAGGCTGTGAATGAGGAAGATGAAGGTGCGAATGATGAAGATGATTTATTAGTAAATGATGAAGTTGATCGGGAAGGTAAGATTATTATTAACTCTTATTCCGGAATTTAATTCAGAGAATTATTTTTCACAGAGGGAGAGGGTGAAGAACCTGAATAATAATCTTGCATCAATAAATCATCACAGTTGTTACAATTGTCTGCAGAAAAATCACATAATTGTGGGCAAATGATTAAAATTAAGGATAAAAAATACTACGAAATAATTGAGTATTCAAAGATTTCAATAGTTGACTAAAAACTCCTGTCTGGCTCTATCACAATACGATTATATAAATACAATAAGAATTTTAACGATAATTATAATTACAATAATAATAAGAATATGAATAGTAATATAGATAAATAAGTTTAGCGTCAGACAGGTGTTTAATGTCAATACTACAAATCTCATCGAATGAAATATGGAAAAGTCTTCGTAAACGAGGCGTGCTCGTGAATGTAATTTTTTATCATTTTTTAAATCGATGTGAATTTTTCGTGTAAATTTTTTTTTAATGTTCTAGTGGAGCCCTGTTTGATAGAATTTTTAAATCATAAACTTGTAAGAAAGTTGTATATATTTGGAAACTATTGCTAATTACGTGATTGAATCATGCTTTTTAAAGTTGAAGATATTTTAATTTTCACTAGCTCTGCCTCGTTTTTTTCTTCCATTACGGCCATGAAAACTTCATATATATATTTTAAATACGAAATAATCATACTAAATTTAATAAATAAGGTACTAAGTACATGTATTTGATCATTGTTTTTAATCAATTGAAGATAGGACGTCAAATTGACAAACAAATAAAATAATTTACATAAATCGTTAAAATGATTATATATTGATTTATTGAAAAATTTTGAATTTTCAATGCAAAAAAAAAATAGTAAACTATCTCGCACAAATATTTTTTTTAACAAACTTGACGTCAATGTATTATAAAAACTCAATACTAGAATAAAATTGTGGATTAACTTTGAAACTTAATTTTTTATGATTAAATTTCCATTGTTAGATATTATAATTCACTTAGAATAAACTTGTGTAAAAAAGGAGTCAGTTACTCTTTTTATTCCCGCTATTATTATTTTCTTTCCTGCGCATGACCGGATTTATGCTTATTTAGTTGATTTGTGGTCAAACTATAGCAAAGGACAAGGATATAAATATATCTTTCTCTCTTTTCTATGAACTTCATCACTATAGCAAAGAAATTTTTAGTGAAAGAGTCGACCACGAGTAGTGCTAGTGTCGATTAAATGTAAGTTGCGCTTTTATATTATTAAATTGATAGATTCTTACAAAAACTCATTATTTTCGTGCATAATTTTTATAACAATTTGATCTTGAATTATCTTATTTATCTGTGTAAAGGACTGTGAAAAAATATACCAACTTTGTATATTGTATTATTTGTTTACGTTCAGGGAATATAGAGCTATTATGACTATAATTGTTTCCTAATAGCTGTTTAAGTGTATTGTTGACAACATAAATTGATAATATATAGTGTATTAAAATCCAACATGATAATTTATATCAATGATAATTTTGTTTGAAAAATGAAACACATACAATATTTAAATGACAATACATCATATGTATTTAGGTATTTATTTTGGAGTAATATTACTTCTAATCAATTGTTATTACATTATTGGTCTTATCTTATTCATTTCACTGCTTGCTATTGTCAACATGTGTTTTAAATAACATTTTAATTGTAATAAAATTAATTGTTTTCAGATGAATATATTTTTACAAAGAACAGATATATTTTAGACCAATTAAATAATTTTATCAATACAAAAAAATGACTGATGAAGATTTTATTGAAAAAATATATACATTCCAATTTCCTACTTGTACTACAAATCAAAATTATTTAATACAAGTGCCAATAAAAATTCCATATGGTGGATCAATTAAAGAACTTGCTTATAGAATAATTGGTTCTTTTAAACTGCCATGTTACGTGGAAAATGATTTGATTAATTCTTTAGAATTGACTACTAAGAAATGGACACAAGATTTTTACGATGAAAGAGATGACAAGTTAATTGAAGCTGCTCAAAGTGGTGAAATAGAAATAGAGAAAATTATCAAGAATTGGGAAAAGTCTTACAAAGAAAAAACTGTTGAATATGCAGAACCAATTGGAACTACTGATGAGGAATTATTTGCAGCTACTTATCATAGATTAGTTCATTCGCCTTCATTAGAACCAATTCTGCAAGCAGAACATAAGTATGGAAAAGATGTTACTGAAGTTATTAAAATCAAGGATTTAGAGCACGAACAGTTGACTGCAAAGTATGTATAAATTAGAATTTTATAAGATGTGATTTTTCAATACTTTAAATATACACGTATTCATATAATTCTAGACAAACAGAAGAGATGAGCTTAGCCGTTGAAGCATTGGAAGCTGGATCAACTGAGAGGTCGATAAATGAAATGACTGCTAGACACTTTGAGGAACAAAGTTTATTGCAGGGCCATTGGGGATCAAGAATAGATGCATTAAAATTGGAGCAACGTCGACAATATCGTAATTGGATTATGAGATTGCTTGAGGAGCAGCAAACTAACATGATACCAACTCCTGTGTAAGTATAAATTGTAAATATATATTTTATCACAATGACATTGAAAAAACAATATTGCGTAACATGAAGTTGATAATTTATTTTAGTGATTCACCAATGATATCAATGCCTTTCGTCCCTGAAGTACTCGGAATATCAGAGCGAAAAGAAGTAAAGAATATTTCAGATTACCCTCAATTGGAAGAAAGCTTTACTATACATTTAGGATCTCAAATGAAACAAATGCATAATATTAGAATATTAACAGGTGATGTCCTCGATTTTTGTAGAACAAAAAATAATGGATCCAGGTAAATAAATTGATGTTGTAATTTAAAATGGATTATGAGATAAATCTCAAATAATTTGATTACAGCAGTTTAGAACCAACTCCTCAAAGACTACAAACTGCCTTAGGCCTGTATTCAAATGATTTATGTGGAATTGTTGTTCTAAGTGACAATCACTTAGGAAGTTACTCTGGAATTACTAAAGGTTTCTTAACTTCAATTATTTTATCTTTACGACTGTACTTGCGTAATGATCTGATTGAACTTTTTTTTCAGAATTATGTTCGATAAGTCAATTTACTACGGAATTTCATTTCCCCTCAATGGATGAACAGTTGGAAAAAATTCGCGAAGACGTCAAAGAAGCTGTGACGTGGCGACAAGCACATCATCGAGATGTAAATGATTTACAGGTTCGTATATGCTGATTTTCAATATTAAAAGTTTCATTCATTTACCTTATTTCATTATTGATTGGATATTATTTAGATGAGAAAATCAACATCGAGTAAATCATTACAAACAGGAGATGTGTTTATAACAAGGCATTCAAATTTAGCTCAAGTTCATGTTGTATTTCATATGGTTGTCAACGATTCCCTTAGATCAGGTAGAATTGTAAAACTGATTAATTTTTTAACAACTTTTTTTTAATAAGAACATTACTAAAATATTATAATTTTTTAGGAGATATTAATTCAAGACATCCAGCAATATTGGGATTGAGAAATATATTAAAGACTGCTTGCTGTAATGATGTGACAACCCTTACAATTCCTATTTTATTAGTGCACGAAATGACAGAGGTAAAAAAATTTTTTTTTCAAAATGTTATTAAACTATCTTTATTAATGAGTAAATTTTTGTTAAGGATATGACGGTGGCGTGGTGCACAAAAAGAGCAGAGTTAGTTTTTAAATGTGTTAAAGGCTTCATGATTGAAATGGCCTCATGGGGAGGAGCAGAATTGAAAAATTTACAATTTTTAGTACCTAAAGGAATGTCAGAAGAAGTATTTGGTACTTTGGCAACTATGTTACCAAGTATTTTTCGTGTATCAAATCCCTTGGTGTTCAAAATGACTGGTGCACCAAACACGCCAAAAAAATAAGGCAGATTGTGCTATCTCTTCCCGTCCTCTGTGATGATCATGCATTTGTTGAATCATATCGGAAGCTCTTGCTACATTTAATAAAACAGTGCAAGAATAATGATAAGATTGACACTGCAATTAAATAAACGAGAGATGCTGTTTTCTGCCACTTTTATTTACAATTTTCACTTGAATCATTCAAAATAGTTGGAGAGTTATATTTAAATTACAATTGTATATAATAATAAGTATATTAATATATATTTAATCATGTAATACTTTAATATATATTTTACAATATTATCCATTCTTTCATTTAAATTGTGAAGAAAATTGTTTTTATAAAAAAGTACTAATGCTATTACTACTTGATTTTTAATTTTTAATTAGACTTGAGCTGATTAAATGATTTTGACTTCAACTTATTGACTATCAGAATTACAGTGGAGTGTTTATTAATTGAAAAAAATATAAGATATCGTGAATTGAGATTAAATTTAATAAAACAATAAATATATTTATCGAGGTGCAATGAGGGCAGGGATTAATATAGAATGTAAATGTAGTAAGAATTATCGAGAGTTATCTTTAAAAAATGGTACATTGCCTCGCAATTCTGAACTTATGACCTAATCGTCGCCGCTGGCGGTTGTTGAATTCTCGACATTTTGATGAATCTTTTATGCTTTTCAATTCAGTCTTGATTAAATTATTCATCAAACTACAATTTGGTGTGGCTCAAAATTTTTTTTATTTATAGTAGACTTGAATAACATTTATACAGTTTACAATGTGGAAAAGTGTGTGTACATTAATACTTGCTATTATTTTTGACGTACAATCGACTATGGTGAGTGTAAAATTATCTTTGAAGGATTCCTTATTGGTTTTACAATTTTTATGAAAAAATGATTATGTTTAAAATAAAATTAATTAACTATTCTAGGTGGATTTATCATATCGTAATCTACAAAAAGAACAATTTTTTGTGACAATTCAACCACAAATTAATTTACATAATGTCACCGATTTAAATTTAAAAGGAAATTGTTTTGATAGTTTTCTCGATTGTTCTACTAATTTGAATAACTTGAAAACCTTGGATCTTGCTGAAAATCGATTGCAACGATTTTTTTTTCTTTGCAATGATGAATATAACTTGGAATATCTAAATGTGAGCCACAACGAATTGGAGTATATTGATGATAATGCTTTAAATAATCGAGTACCTAAATTAAAAATTCTGGACCTTTCGTGGAATAAAATTACTGTTATCAATGAAACTATGCTCGAACATATGAAGGTACTATTTATTTATTATTATTACTAGATAATTAAATTTAAATGTTTCATATAAATCTCTATCCTATACTTGTTATTGCAGATTTTAGAATTTTTATCTGTTGCTCACAACCCCGTTATCGATATCCACGAAAGAGCATTTTTACATCAAAAGAATTTGCTTCATTTAGATATGAGTAATATTTCAACAAGTTTCTTTCCATCATCTTTATTTAAACCAATGACTAATTTAAAATTCTTAAACATTTCGTTCAATCCAATTGAAACGATTCCATTTTTGCCGATAAATTTGATGGAACTAGATATTTCTGGAACTCATGTGTTATATCTCGACAGCTTCATACTTCCACGTCTAACAAAATTGCATATAAATTATATGCCATTTATTACCGAAGTGCTATTGAATGATTTTGAAAATTTAACTTTGATGGAACATCTATCAATAGAAAATTGTCAAAAATTATCAGACTTAAGAGTTTGGCCACCTAATACTAGAATTTTACCACGATTACGGTTTTTATCAGTCAAGGGTTGTTCGTTAGAGACACTGACTGATGATCTGCGACCGATAATGCAAAGAACTTCAGTTGTGAATTTGCAGAACAATCCCTGGCATTGTGATTGTCGGATGCAATGGGTAAACAGGCTGAATTTATCAAGTGAATTGAGTGCAGAAATTAGGTATTTATTATTTTTTTCATTAATGTTTTTATTTAATAATTTAATAATTAATTATATTTTAATTAATTATGATTATTATTTTTAGATGTAAATCACCTGAAGAACATGAAGGAAAATTATTAATTAAAATTCCAACTCATGATTTGAAGTGTGTGGAATTTTTAAGTGCTGCATATCCAGCTTTATGGGCATCAATTTCAATTTTAATACTTGCTCTTATACTTACGGGTATTTATCTTTTCTGGAAAGGTCCTTTAAAGCATTGGACATTACCTAAACGAGGTAGTGATTCAGTTTCTTATAAAAATGTAAAAGAATCTTCAAATGACTTGATAAGAATACTAGTAACTGATGATCGAGCTGATGAATAGAATAAATAAATTTTTTTATACCATACGTTTTGTATATTTTGATAGAAGAGATGAGAAATATACTCTCTATGATTTTCTACTTTTTCTTGATGCAGAAGATAATCGATTGAATGAGAGAACAATACTTGTATAATATAAAAGAAATCAAATTACCTACTTACAACATATTATTCAACTATTATATATACATCTGAATTGATGTTTTACGTTGATGTTACACAAAGGCAATGAGAAAACATTCTGATTTACGGTTCATTTAGTTTTAGTAACCACCATATCCCACACCCCATTCTTGCCCGGTTAGCCAATAAAAACGTTGATCTACAGTCTCTTAAATAAAACTTCACCATGCGAGACATTCCAAACTCTTTCAATCAACTCGCCAACCCCTTTTCTAAACCATTCCTTCCACTTTTTGTATCGTACATAAATGGTAAAAAAATGAAATTGTTTGCTACAAAAGCACTCAGTGGCTGACTGATTTCAAATGAAATTTCAAGTATCACTTTTTTTATCACTACTCATTATAATCATTATGTATTTTATTCTATTTTTCTAAAGTTCATGGTATGATGTGAAGATAAATTTATGATTAATTAGTTGAGTTAATGATCCACATGAAAAAAAAATCTTAACATACTTTAAGATAAAAATGATTTATTTTGTAAGATGCTATAGAGTATTTTAGGAGGTTTAAAATTAGAACAAAATTTTGAATTCTTTTTTAAATGAACAGATATTTATTTCATTTTTTTCACTAAGTTTTACTGGTCGTTTTAACGAACGACCAAATGATGCAATGAAGATGATCGAAAACCTTGATGTAGGTAGAGATCGCGTGCGATGAAGCGATGAGCCTTTGTGCTGAAGTATGATCTTCCTACGGGAAGCCTATCAAGTTACTTGTGCTTGGGTCTAGAAAGACTCCCTGCATGCGAATCTGTATCGTATCTCCACTGTATTAAATCCCTTCTGTGATGGAATACTATTATTGCATGCCATGACATATTGCTTAATCGCATCATGCATACATATATAGTGATATTATGCGACAACTGATGATAATCAACATATCGATCCCCTAGATGGAAATCAAGATCATAATTTTCATCTTGATTTTTACACTTACAATTTATTCATTCATTTTTTGTTTCCTCAGCTGAAAATGATTTTTTTTGGGCTCTATCTATCGTAAACTCGTGGCACGAAGGATCCAGAGGTTGTGGGTAAGGGGATTTTATCTGATTAAACCGTCATGGAAACATGGGGTTACGCGTGTAAGCCTACGCGCGCGCGTTCATGGGGAATATTGAACAACTGAATAATGAAAATAAAACCCACGATGTTATCGTTAAGCACTCAGGGATTACATACGCATCGTTGCATTCTTGATAAACTTATGAAGCTCACTTTCGCTTCTTTAAAAATTGGTTTTATACATAAACTAGATGGTATAAAAAAATTCATGAGCTTTCATAATTTTTCCAATATCCTCAATTTTATTTATTTTGTAAACATTTGTTATTTTACATAGAAAATTTGTATTATCAAAGTTTATTTCAATAATTAATTCTATATGAATACCATTGTCTTCCTGACCCTAAAAGTATTTTTTTACTGTTGCTGAAATCAAAGAGATCCCTGTTTGATCCATCATTATTTCAATGCTTACACCAGTTGTGTAAAAAAACTGATGTTTATTTAGCTCCATTAGACAAATAGGGAACATTTACAAAATAGATTATTCACACCCTCACTACATATAGAGTAGAATTCATTGGTGCTTCGAGTTATATCATTGTGTACTCCCTTCTTTATTAGTGCATATACATGTTGACGTATGTATATATGTTCCACTCATCCCTCATGTTCGCTTGACCCTGCAGTATTTTGTATCCAATCATCAGTCGAAAAAGATTGAATGCTGGCGAGGGTTTTTAATGGTCCAAAAATGTGGTTGCTGCTTTTCAGTATACTGGTATTATGTCAAGGTGTGAACTACATATAGTTACATGGAAGGCAAATACTAGTATAGGAACAAAGGTGAAGCACAAGGGAATGTGAATAGATGTAGAATGAAACTACTGCGGGCAAGCCGCTTATACGATCAGGACCAATTCACAGAACAATCTCAGTTCGTTTATTGAAAAGTGTAGTCTGGCTTACAATGCCAAACGACAAAGAATATGCTTCTTAAATATACTGTGTCCAAGCTCATCTTGTTGCTGCTGCTTTCTCACCTTTTTAGATCGTGATCCGATTTTCCATTCTCAAGAATAGCCACTGTAACCCGAAACAAGGCACGTTCTCCAGCTGATCATTATGCTATTTAATTGGTCTAGCCAATTTATCCATTCTCAAGCTCTATTATTTAATTATTTGAATTAATTGTGTTACTTCAGAAGAATAAGTATTTGAGTGAGCTGAAAGAATACAGAATAAATGTAATGATAGTGTAAAGTTTTAATTGTGAATTTTAATTTTGACATACTGAATTTAATTGTTTGATTAGATGATGAAATATAAATCATTTAGATATGAAAACACTCATAAAAATTGAATATCGAATGAATCTTGATAAATTATCTTACGAACCAGTACTCCAATCTATTTTATGATATATCTCAGCTATAAGAGGAATGAATATATTTTCTGGAGGTAAAGAAACTTCGTTCAAAGGACTGAAGCTGTTGATAAAGCTCCAAGTTTTTTCTAGAAATGAATCGTTAGGTTTGGAATATTTAAATTAGTTGATGGTAGAGTAGTTGAAGATTTTGGTTTAATGGTCTATGAACAATATTCCGGGTATTCAAGGCTCATTTTTTTCTGTTATGCTAGTCATTTGATGATCACAGATGAAAGTTAGACCGTTGTATATACGACGTACATACTCAACAGTTAATCCTATGTCTCAAGATGTAGGCACGTTTCTTTGGCAGCTTTTATCTTAAGAAGACACCAAGGTTGCACCTGAAACTCACTAGAAATAAGTCTATGCTTGTAATTATTTCCAGATGTGGATGTCATCTGGACACCTTGCTCAGACTTTCCTGACAGCAGAAACTTTGCCATGTCCCTAGGTTTCTCCAAATTTAAATCTCACAGACTGTGAGGTGAAATATCGATTTTTATGAAAATTCTGCGGGTCTTGGGTCTCGAAAGTTTGAAACATAGACGCCTTTTTACTTTCGAAAGCTCCATTACTTCTTAATTTTTCATGCTAAGCTAAGTAGCTGAGAATTTTGAGTTTACCTAGCAAAGGTATAATAACATTTATTACTAGTGTAGGCTTGATTGGTGAAGAAAAGGCAACTCTAAGTTCATACAATGACCAGGTATTGTCTGGATTTTCCCTAGGATCAATAACTTTATGATAGGTACTTGAAATTCAAATGAGAAGGACCATAAATATTTGAAATGTGCTCCGATGGTGTTGTATGGAGTACATGTTTGAACATGAGGGTACTTGAAGATATTTATTATTATTCTTATTTTCAATAAATTTTAAGTGAGTTGTACTTCTATCTGTACTTGCTAATAAGATTTAGGTTGAAAAGTTAATCGGGTAATAAATTAGGTATCAATAAAACCAGGTAGATGTTTTGTCATTAAATACTTAACCTAAATTTGTAGTACTTATTCTCACTAGCGGTACTATTCTTAATAGAAGTTAATAATCTACTTTTCATATTGTGGTATTCCAAAACCACATTCGTTTCTTTATCATTATAATTTTAGCTATTTAAAATATTGATTCTTTTATTGATACATAAACTTTATAACCTTACAAATTCTATACAAAAATGATAAATAACTTAAAGTGTAGCTTTGATAATATTTTATTTTTTTAGTGATGATGAACTAAGCTAAGAAATTTAAAAAGCTCTGAAGTTAATGTGTCGAGAAAACATAAGATAGGATAAGCAAGTTAGGAGGGAGTGAAATGTTACAACAAACACCTTGAGAGTTAACGGGTGCAATATATAGCACGTATAAATGTAGCGGAACTCAGGGTGGTATTTCAGAGGTAACGTATGTGACACAATATATCAAATTTCTTCAGTCACTTCCTCTCTGTCTCGATAATATTTTATGGCGCCAGTAAAATAACTCATAAAAACCACTGCTGACATTTCAAAAGTAACACAGCCTTACAATCCAACTGGAATAATAACAACTACATATACACATGCAAATGTATTTAATGAACTGTTTGATCATTTATACTTTAAAAATAAAATTCCAATGGAAACGTTATTGAAAATGCCGCAAAATGTTATCTACCAGGGGATATAACGTGCATACAATAAAACGTTCGTTGCATTGAATCGAAGTGCAAAATTATCAGCTGCACATTCTACTGTGCATGTGAAAGGCGGATTAAAAGCACAATAAAATCAACGGCGAGATGGAGATGTAGAGGTTTAAAATCCATGCTGTTAACAGTGTATTTTGCAAATGTGTTAACGATACAATATTAATACATAAATTCCATGAAAACTGAACAATTAATATTAATATTAATTATTCATCATTTTTTACATTTACTTCTTTTCGATAATTTAATCTATTTAAATGCTGATAATATGTAAAATTTATATGATTAATTGAAATAATGATATTTTTGTTGAAAAAATAATTAAAGTTGACAATGGAGGATTGATTATTTTAAATGCTCTAGGAGAGATCAATAAAGGAAAACAACTATCAAACAAGTGTTTAGCAATCAACAATTAACATGTATACATGTTATCCAGTCCTCGTTAACAACCTCATTAACCCTAACAGCCAGTGAACTCAGCCGCAACTTGCCAGTTTCGTGCTTGTTACTTCCACCAGAAGTAAAACAAACAAATCCCTGATGTGGCGCCAACACAGATGCGTCTCGTCATCTCGTGATCCTTCGTTCACTTTAGATCTTACCCTATGCATCTTTTTTTCATGTAGGTATATCTATATATCTCTATATATATACGTCTTTTATAAACGAAAAGAAAAAGGACCAAAAATCATCTTTCCCTTGAGCTATATGCCTCTAGCTTCGAATTTCTATGACATAGCTCTTCTAACTTGCTCACGTTTCTTCAGATCTACTCTTGGATGTTCCCAGTGCTCCTGAGCAAACAACTTCGAGACGCACTTCCTCGGCGCCACTTGCACTGACAAGTTGACATCAACCAAAATTGACTTCTTGATATGTAGTAATGATCCTGTAACACACACACACATCATTGGTAAAATCAATAACTTTTTTTTTTAATATTTGAGTGATACATGTTGTTATTATAACAAAAAAGCAACCTGGGTGGTTAATATATTTATATATCAGTTTTTTTTGTTGATACTTGGAGATAAGTTTGATGAAGGAACGGGACAAATGAATCTTTTGAAGCTGCATGTTGTTATCTTGAAAAAAATTCTATTAAAAAGATGTTAAATAATAACGAAGTTGGAACTAAATTATACTTGCAGACACAGTCTAATACAAAAAGAGTGGATTAACCCTACTGACTGCCAGATTTTCAGTTGGAACTCTTTTCTCATGCGGAATAAGCTTTTGCTTTGGAGTCTATTGTTAAAAATATATCTAGACTGTCACAGAATATTCTTATTTATAGGTAGAAATTTTGGATCCAGTCTATATGGTGTAATTAGAATAACTGTTTTTAATACTTGCCAAAAATTAATATGTAAAAGGAATAGAAAATTACCCGCTTTTGTTTATAGTTGACCTAATCTATAATAACAATAATTATTAACAATAACAACAATTATGATCATTAGGATTATGAGGATGTATAGCTTGTCTATTCATTGTACATAACCTCAGTTTATAATAGAATAATAGAGCAAGAGGTTTAACTTAGGTATGATAATAAAAATTTCACGTATTTATACTATATTGAAGATTGTCAACACAAATTTTGCGGTCAGACATCACCAATGAATCTTATTCAAATATTAATGAAGAGATCAGTTAGTTACATCATTACAAATATTCTCACATAATTTAACTCGTTTACAGAATACACCACCAGTCAATGACTAATTGGAGCCGTAAGTATCTACTTTTCAATACGACTTGTCATCGGTCACTGTGGGGGTCTGTTGGAGGATTTGCTGGTATCCCATTGTTGATGCCGTCTCCTTGTCAGTCTTCTCTGTTTTCATTCCTATGACCCATCACACTCTTACACTCAACTAAAGCCTGAGATACAAACCCTCAGGGAATCTCTGGAGATTTAAATTTCACGAAGTTTCTTCGGTACTCACAGGTTTTTCCCAGCCATCTTCAAGGACCTAAAACATGTGTTTGGGATTGGAGAAGGAGATCTTGGGATATTCCGACAGATTTGCTTCCAAGTTTGGTGCTGTCTTTTGACATTATCTATTCTTGTTTGTGGAGAGCTGAAATTTTCACAAGCAAATACTCTGCTGGATTGGATGTGCCGATGTTATAAATTATAAATGAACGTTGCACAAAAATAAAGAAATGTCACAAGGAGAATAGTGAATGAAGAAGAATATAAGATGTCTATGCAAATTCATTTCCAGGTATTGACTCTTTTTGTGTATCAGTAACTAATAAATATTCGTCCATGTACTTGAACCTCAACCTATATAGTTTGCTCCAGAGTTATTGATCTTGTAAATAAAGTAATATGTTGTACTTGAAATAATTTACTATGGTATCTAGATATGTGAGAAGAGGGTTGTAAATTAAATATTTGCGTATATCCAAAAATTTTAGGTGTTGTAAATATTCTAGAATGGACAATGAGCGATTATATAATATGGTGGCCATATTATGAACTATTTTTGAAACTATAGAAAAGCAGAAAAATTTTCCGTTGATACTAAAAAATGTTTTTGGTTGGATTGACTTGCACAGTCTGCGAAAAATTTCTATCGAATCATAGAATATTTGGCAAGATGTTTTTGCATACGGACGTAAGTACATAGTACCTTAAAAATATTTAGCATATCAGAAGTGATTTACTAACAAAATAATTACAACAATGTTTAGCAAAAGTTTTGAGGTTATTTTTAAGAAGAAAATGATAAGAAAACAATTCAAAATGAAGGGTATTTCCATGTAAAGAGTGGTTAACAAAGATAAGTAAAAGTTACTATGTTTTGATACTGTTATTACGAATTATCAAAGTCAAATGCAGAGCACAGAAGAGATGACAGGATATAAGGATCAGTCATGTTTTCCTTAGCACTTTCATGGTACGAAGTTCAGCGAGTTAGTGAATAAAGGACAAACACGTTTGACGGAGTAAAGGGACGTGAGGTTATCTACTACCCCCTGAGTGGGGAGATTTAGTCAGGCTATAGTCAGCCAACACTGGTAGGAGAGAAGGTATATATAACTTCATTGAATAGCCAAGCAGTGGGGATAATTAAACTCACACAATTGTAAACAGTAGCACAGCGTGTGGCTGGAAGAATAGTTACCATGGCGATGACGATGAGATCCGGCCAATCGGCGCAAGTTTTGTAGGCGTGGCCATATGATTGGCCCACCGGAGATCTGGTGAACGTCTGACAAAGATGCAAGATGTTGAAAGCAAAGTGGAAGTAGGGGTAGTGGTTGGTAGTGTGGCAAAGAGCTCTGGTGCATCGGGAGGACAAACGTATCATGCGGGGCAGGGCCGGGGCTGAGATGCCGGGTTGTAAACGAAACCAGTTTGCTATCCGATACGATCGAGGCAACAGTAGGTCTGCTCTGTTTCTCCGCGAGATATCGTAGGTAATGGCAAAACGGTCGAGAAGAAAGGAAATTAACAGATAAGGAGAGAAAGAGATCGGTGGGTTTGATGGTCCATCCGGAAATCCTGAAGACACTTTTACTTCAGATCTCCACCGAGTCAGATCAACATTGTTTTTATTATCACAGGACGAAACAAAATAATAAATATGATAACAATAGTCCTATTTAGAAATGAAACATAGAGATAGTGTTAGAGTGTTAGGAATTCAAGCAATAAATAATTGCAGTTGTAAATAAGTGAGACTATTAGATGTCTTATTACCTAGTAGTCAAAGAAATGAGTGAAATTCATGATAATAATCATTGATAAAAATGAGCAATGAATCATTATGAAGTTTTGAGGATTTTCAAACAATTAAAAACATTGAAGATAGTGTTGTTAGTGACTGTTGACAAGTGATAAGAAAATATTGTTCAGCAGATATTTATTGAATAAAAATGTCTGCCGTGGCACCAGCTACTGGAGCTGCATCAGCAATGTCTAGTGGTAATGGTCCAATAGTTCCAGCGCCAGTATTTGCATTACCTACATTGTCTTTTACCGTGTCTCAAGTTGCAACAGTGTGTGAAACCCTTGAGGAAAGCGGTGATATTGAAAGATTAGCGAGATTTCTTTGGAGTTTACCGGTAGCACATCCAAACATTCAGGAATTAAATCAAAGTGAAGCTGTGCTTAGAGCACGTGCTATTGTTGCGTTTCATTCTGGTCATTATCGAGAGCTCTATGCTATTTTAGAGCGACATAAATTCACCAAAGACTCACACGGTAAGCTTCAGGCAATGTGGCTGGAAGCACATTATTCTGAAGCAGAAAAGTTAAGAGGGAGACCACTTGGTCCTGTTGACAAATATCGAGTGAGGAAAAAATTCCCTTTACCGCGGACCATATGGGATGGTGAACAGAAGACTCATTGCTTTAAGGAACGTACCAGGTCATTGCTTCGTGAGTGGTATCTTCAGGATCCTTATCCAAATCCTGGAAAAAAGAGGGAACTGGCAGCTGCGACGGGCTTAACACCGACGCAAGTTGGGAATTGGTTTCAAAAACAGAAGACAGAGAGACAGAGCTGCTGCTGCAAAAAACAGGTATGTGTCAATATTTTCTTGGTAGGTTGGGACATGGAAAATTACCACTACTATATATATATATATATATTATGGTAGGTTTGTTTAGTTGTCTGTCAAATTGATTTGCTACAACTTTCGGCCTTGAGACAAGTTCCCACGTGCAGAAAACAATGTACCCGCATATTGTAAAATGAGAGTTCAAGATAAGTTAATTTATTAGCAGAAAAAATCTCATGTTTTGTTGGTGGAGGGGATAGGAATATTTTTATATGAATCAAGTAACATTTAATGAACATTAATCGTGAAACGTTTAGTGGTTATGTCCCTTTGTAGCAATAGAGACTAAAATCTTCCTCATCTCCACTGTGTTATCCTCAACAAACATGCCTTTGTGAGATTGTTATTACGGTATACACGCTTCCTTCTCTTCATCTCTGCAAATGTTATACACTCGGACCGTCAACGACGACGAGGGTCGCGTAATTTCATTTCTACGTCCGACGGAGGGTCGCTGCCGACGGGCGAGCTCGATTTTCGAATTAAGTCTTTCAAATCGGATTTCACTTGTGCTCCTTCTCTATTCACAATTCACTGTTAGATTCCCTACGACTGATGCATACACAACTTAACGGCCTTTACAAAAATATTTTGTCACTCAAATATCTTCATATTCAAAGATATTCTCAAGTCATCATTGATTTTGATTTATAGAATATCACTGTCAACAATTATATTTATTATTGTAAAGTGAATAATAACAATATCAGGTGTAATTTGTAATTTTAAATTAAAATATCCCTTGATAGATACATTAGTGCATTATTCTACTCTAACAATGCATCTGTGATTATTATTATCAAATTTAATACAAGTGAGAATTCATTACCTAAATTGATGTTTATCATCATCATCATAATAGCTAAGAGAGCAATCACGTGATTGAATCACCAAATATTTTCATTTTTAATGTAAACAAAGTGCGGAAAGAATTCTATTATTCATCAAAGTTTTGTTGTAAATGGAACCCGAGTGTTTTCATAATAAGATCAATAATATAACTTGTTATTGATAACTGTAAAATTATATTTATACTTTTGAAATGAATATACCTGACATAAAGCTACAAGTTTCTAAAGAAAAGTCAATTTTATACCTGCATCAAATGCATTCTGGATCGTCTTAATGTCATCATCGGGTATTGAGAAATTTAGTGTCATTTCTTAGCTTTCCAGTGGCGTCTTGTCAAAATCATATCGATCTCCTTAATCAGCTTAACAGGTATTAACTGGTGCTTTAATCATTATATGATCGTGGTCATTATTCTATAATTTGCCTATGGTCAAAGGTCAATATAAAAAGTGCCAAGAGGGTCTTTGCTTAGGATTGGCAACAGATGATTTATGACTTGGAATTATCTTTCACTAAATACAAGAATATTTGGTATCTTCTAGGTATCAATGACTTAATGTTTTGATTGCTCAAGGAATTTTAGTGAGCCACATCATTGGTACTTTGCTCCAACACAACAGTTTATTTAGAATTTAAAGTTTAACCACTTGACTATTTAGGTGGGAACAAAAATCAAAGTTCAGTGCAATTTTATTTCTATTGTTAGATAACGTGCTTTTCTCATGTGTACAAAGAAGAGGGCGTGGATGGATAATATGTGTACTACATGAAGAGCAGCAGTAAGTGTATGTAAGAACAGTAGAATAAGAGAGAATCCTATATGGAAGAGGTTCTTTCTGGAAACAAGGATGAGTCAAATCGCGTTTTGAACAGACATAGTTACAAGATGATGTATGGGACAAAAGTGTGCACATTTATATATCTATATACACCTACGGATTGCCGCAATGGCTGCACCACAGTATATTTTCGCGGTCCAGCGAGCAAGTTATTCAATATGCTCAACCCCGAAAGCCCCGGAGCAATCTTCGTAGTTCTCATATGTATAGGTTGTGTATGGTGAATCGTGTTTGCTGTGCTATACTCTCTTCTTGCTTCATCTCATCTTCTTCTCCCCCGTTTTATCCTTTCTGATGCTTTTATAAATATGCATCTGCCTTGACGTATGAATTCACTACAACCTCTATCAGTTCTCCCACAAGATGTTGTATTTTCTAGAAAAAAAATCTTATCTAACTCTATATTCACCTGTATTTTTAAATTTGTCATCTTATGTTTGACTTTTTCTTCATACTCATTTTGTTGTTTTCTGCTTTTTCGTCACCGTCTGTTATCTTGATATATGTGAGTTTCAAACAAGTAAATCGCAAATGTCATGTCATTCAGACAGTCTTCAAGTATAACTGAACCGCCTGGGGTAAAGAGGAAAATAAAATAGTGATGACAGATGTAGAAATGATTTTTTTATTATAAATCATCAACTTCTACTGGTGATAGTTCACATGGTAATAATGAGTGAAAAGAAAAAGTTGATAATCAAAATTAATTTTTCATTTTTCATTAAAAAATAAAGTTGGTTTTAATCAAAAATGAACAAACGATTAAATATTTAATTTTTGATGTGTCTAGCTAGTATAAAAAATTGTATAGGATATATGATCAGGACTATGGATAAATGGGCCCGCGGGCTCAGTTATATTATCTAGAAGACAAAGGTAATGATTAATTTCACGTTGGATGTCTGAGGATCATTAGTACCCCGGCTTCCATGACACCTGCTCTCACTCTCCAACGAACTACATCAACTCAGGCTTTGTGATAAATTGTGTACCGTCTGGTTTCCAACTTAACATCAAATTCAAAAACTTTAATCCTTGATGCGAATAAAAATTCCATCCCATTCATTTATTCTTACTTGAAATATCCATGATTCTGTTACGTCAAGAATGGCTCTGACAGGTGAATCGTTTATTCTTTTATGTTCAATAGAAAAATAATTAGACTCATTTGTGACACGTCGAAAAATCGTAAAAGTATAACCAGAAGAGGAAAAAATGAAAGTAGATAATTGCCCACCGACTCAAGGGGGTGCAGCTGTCTCTTGTTTCCGTAGTATATAAGCTTTTTGTTTCCTGAACTCATCTGGCTAACACCATCACTGCCACATATAGTGTCACATTCGTACATCACTGAACAGAATCAGAGCTTTAATAGGACTTGGTGTATAGCAAAACGTACGGCTGTTTTCATGACATCACCCTGGGGGTTCCCCTAGCCAGCCAGATTCAGAAATATTGTCAAACTCAAGATATTGGACCACAAGCCCACTAATTCGCTTATCGATTTGCTACATACATCCTGTCACCCTTTTTGTCATAAAGTCTCACATTTCTTTACAGTTTATTTAGTTTCAATGGTTTACTCTTTTTTGCTACTCTTTAATACTTCATTCAAACAATCACCTCTGCATGACTTGATCAAAATAAGTAGTTGATAATCAATAACAATTATATCACATTTTTTTGAAAATCAATGAATAATTATATTCTGCTTTCAAGTTCAACTAAAACATATGGTCATTAAATGTTGAAGTGATAAATAAAATAAATTGATGAAAGATGGAAATTTACCATTAGCAATGTTAAGTTGGAAGTTATTGTTGATAACCCATCTCTCATTTTCTCTGGATGAAATGAGTATTAAGACAAGAAGACAATGCTTGAGAGATAACTCAGTATTCGTTATCCCTCCGATAGGTCAATCGATACCCAGTCCATTTGACACTACCGATTATCCTTCCGGATGACCGTGTACGGCTAGCCGCTGATTATCTGCAGCACAATAACAAGAGAGAAGATATCCTTCTCCACTTTCACTAACTCAACCTACCTATACTAAAGAATCTATATAGGTATATCCAATTTGTTTTACCAACAACAATAATCAGCAAAAATTTTACATTGTGATTACATAATTTTTGACATCTAGATACAGAAAACATTAAAGCAATGTTGTTATCAACCACTAAACCTGATGGACAATTTTTTTATTGATGGTTAGATTTATTTAGAAGAATGATGGCAAGTATTGGGATGCTGTCACTGATGATATAAAATTCCATAGGTACTGATCGGTGTCTAGTTACATAGAAAAACACATGAGTGTATATTGAAGATTTCCAGGTATTTTCAGTGTGTCGATCAAGGATGCGAAGGGCACATCATGTAGGTACATGAATAAGCAGAAGACCCTTCATCTATATTGCTGGTGCGGGTGTATCAAATGTCACATGCGGTTTCTCATCTATGGTGTCCAGCTACCCCTCGGCTGTTTCACGGTTAATTAAGCAGCTGACGATTTGACCACGAGACAGTTTAGCGGGAAAAAAGAAAAGAACTGTTATAAAAAATAACAATCTTACCAGGATGATTAAAATGAAGAACAGTAACATCTTTTAATCTATCAAAGAACTTTGGTAGATCATAGTATCTTTAATCTGCATATTGAACACTTATTTTACGCTCTTTTGTAATCTTCCATTCTACTGAAATGGATACTTGTCATTGTATAACTCTGATGACATTGGTAAAAATGTTCACAGTCTGAAGAGGATCATTGGATTCCTTTGTAGTTAACGGCAGCTTTTTTGACATGGAATTATTATGTTGGTTGTGTCGAATGAATCAACAGCCGTAAGATGATTTGGCAAAATATAGAAGGGCATCCTAGATTTTTTCTGTTTTCTTTTGCCGTCATCGAGGTTGTTACAATGATTGTTTTAAGAGCAAGCTGTTAAATCGTGTACACCAGATGATTCATCGTCTTCGATTTGGAAATCTTATGATGTTACATCTTCATTTTTATGTGAACCTTTGTGTTGTAGATGTTCCTCTGCTCTGTTTGATCTTCATTTTTGGAAGACTTTGAATCATCAAATGTCTTAATCATCAACTTTACATTGATGTACTTGGTTGTAAAAATACATTCATCATTTTGGAGCTAATTAATGACAGGCCAGCTTATTAAGTTTCAATCCAAGATTTCTAATCATGACAAATTATTTATTTGTCTTAGGATCTATTGTTTCTTAAATTTTTTCATCAGCTTCA